AGTTTAGTTCAATGTTGTTGTCCTCTTTGCCTGTGTTTTCCATATATTCTTTTGCTCCTGAGTCGCTTGCCTGGACATGTTTGTTTCTTTATATTTTTTTTAGACGTTTTTTTTTGGGGGGGTCTTTTTTTGACTTTTCAATTTGATTTTTTTTTGACTTTGACTTTTCCAGTTGACTTTTTTTTTTTTTGATTTTTTTTAAATCAAGGATTCCGGCCTTACCATATGAAAGTTTTTTTTAAAATAAAGTTAAAGCTTGTGCACACACCCCGACCTGTTCCTTTGAAGTGCACTTTGTTTCACACCCATGCCAGTACTTTGACAACCATCCTTTTGATCCATTCGCTTTCCTCCGCACATATCAGGTAGTTCCTTCCACTGACTGATCCCCCCTAAAAAATTGGTGGACCACCCGACCGGGTGGTCCTTCAGGTCGTTCCTTCCATTTGGGTCGGGTGAAGACCTGCGTCCGAACCCAGGAACTGGTGCACAACGCCGGCAACGCCAAGATCTGGGCCACGCCCACGGAGACGGACGACGGACGACGGACGGAGGACCCGGTGGCGGGTCGAATGGAACGAGAAGCGGGGCGCGCGCGGTGGAGGTAAGAGATGTGTAGATGTCCAAGGAGTTAGCTCAACTAGAGGTGGATGATGTTGTGATTCCATCGAATCTCAGCAACTAGACTTGCGATGTGCCCAGCTTCCACACGTGAAGCTTTTCGTTTCGTCCTTTGCTTTGTGACGGTCACAAGCCTTTCGTTTGCTTCCCAACGTTTCCTCCCCCATTTCCAAAGAGCTCCAGTTTGCTGAAACCATCGTTGGATCTTATTACGCTGAGGTGTGGACTGCAATTGACTATGCGGATGAGGAGCAGAAGGTGCCCCCCTTACTCGGTCGGTCCCCGCTCGGGGGAAGCGTGGACACCACGGAGTGATGCTGGTGCCAGGGGTGGAGTTGACCGGTGTGGCTCGTCCCATCCAGTGAGTGGATGCGACAAGGGCATGCCTATCCTCCAAGTTTTGGCACCCCTATCCTTGTGACTGCCTGTGACTGCTGGTGTTGTTCAGTTTGATTTTTGGGTGACGGAGTGACGGTCACATGGGGTCAAATGGGTCAGATGGACTTCAAACCCATGCAGTTTCGAGCAAGCCCTTCGAGCAAGCCCTTCGAGCAAGCCCAAGAGCAACCCGTGCAGGTGGAACAGTTCGCCCTGCGCTTCAAGACCGAGGAGATTGCCGAGGGCTCAAGGGCTGAAGATGCTTTTCAGGTCAGCCAAAAGGGCGTCAACGGCTGGGCGTGAACCATGCCAGGTCTATTTTGAAGAGAAGCACCCACCGGTGCGATGACTAGTCGACCGATGACATATGTTTTGATAGTCCCATTTCGACACTTCTGCTTGGCATCACGGCGGCGGTGCATCGTCTTCGACCGGGGATCGCTCGATTTTCCCGCTCGGTCCGAGGCGGAAGAATTCGGCGCGGCCTTCCTCGCTGCCAAACGCCCGGAGCCCCTGCCTTTTTGGAGCCCACTTGTTTTGGGTTTTTGTTGCAAGGCGATAGGTGCTGCTCCACGGCGTGTCCGAAGGGTTGCCGTGGAGACTAGGGGTCGGCTGGACCTCTTCCGACTCGAAGATCGTGGGGTTCGATCTTTTTCTTTCCGGGACATGTTCGGAGCCTGCCAAGGTGGTGAGTCAGCTCCCGTTTGCGCCTGATTTTGGAACAGATTTGGCTGTCACACTGGTTGCGATAACCTTGGGCAATCCATTGGTGGCTGCGCTTGGACGAATCCTGATGTGTGCCGCTTGCTCACTTTTCCTATGAGTTTTTTTTGAGGTCAATGGATGGCACAAGCCCCAGTGTCCACCATGTGACTTTTTGCATGTTCACCTGATGCGATGTGAGTTGGCATACTAGTTACTAGGCAAAAAGACGAGGAAGAGTGGGTGCAGGCCACGGTTTGATTTTCTCATATTTTCTTTAAGGGTCCGGGAAAAGGCTTGGAATTGCAGGATTTCTGGTCTGCTCTATTTGTTGCATCTCTTTTTCTCATTTCTTCTGCTGCATGACGGATTGTTTAGGCTCACGCAGACCGTTCGCCTTTGTTAGAGATGACCTTTTTTTCACACCTCGAGAGAGAGAGGGAGACAGATGGATCTCGCAAGCAATACGGTGTTATTTTTTTTCCAAGGTTTTCAGTCCGATTTGGGGCACGGTCCGACCGTCATGGGCGTGTGGCACTTTCTCGCTGCGGCCGCAACCACCGCTGGTGCAAGCGAGCTATTAGCCACGCACGCGCCCGAATGTGGCTGGATGAATTGGCAAGGTTTGGGCTGGTTCGTGACCGTGTTTGTCTCGGACCCAGAAGGACATTAAATGACCGTGCAGAACCGTAGGCTTTGAAGACCATTTGAAAGAAAGGTTGACCTGGTCTTGTAGTGCAACAACCCGTACCGCCGTACCAAATAACAATGGTGGTTCAGTAAAAAGCCATTAAATCAATGGTTGAAAGCCTAGGGTAAGCAAACAGGCGTTCAACAAAACATCCACAAAGCCCCAGAAACAAACGAAGATGACGAAGACGATGGAGTTTCGAGGCGTTTGGTGACTAACATGACGAACCAAAAGCCGAATCGGCTGATCTCTAAGGCTCAGCGTACAGCAAGTGTCTGGGGTTGAGCGGGAAATGCTGCCCCACGGAGAATGGCAAATTTTTGGACTGCTGCAGTGGAAGTGAGGCACGGGGCTTCTGGCGGGCTCCGGTGGTGGTGGTTGCTGCCGCACTTCTGGTATTCATCATTCATCAAGTGCTTGATTTCTCCGCTCTGCCGGTGCAGAAGCAGTTTCCTCCTGTCTCGACGTGTCCGATGTGTAAGTGTAGCGCGCTGGCTGGCAGGCAGTTCAGCCAACGGCTCCTACCGCACCCATGCCGCCACCTAGCTCTGCCAGCTTCAATTCTTCTGGGCTGGGACCTGCATGCCAAGAATATCTCAAGGTGCGCGGTTTGTGCCTGTCACATGTTCCTTTCTTAAGGGCTAAGATGCTTGCAGGTCACATTGTGGCATTGTTGCAGGGTTAGGCCACCAGCATGCGGAAAACCACTTCTTCAGTTCCATCCATGATAGACACATGTGACAACAGAACTTACAAGTGGACTCATTTTCACATCCTTTTACCCCTTGCAAACCCTTGCGAGAAATTCTCTTACCTCTTACTAAGAAATCCTTTCACCCCTGCAGACCTGGGAATCATAACCCAGCAAAGGAGGCACACGGCACGCCGTCCAAAGCTGGAGCCAACACCATCAGTCAAGCGCCAGACCTGGAAGTCTCGTCGGTGTGTGGCGCCATGACCGACCAGTTTGGCGACGTAGACCTGAGGCCGTTCCCTAATGCATGTAGACTCGTGATGAATAAACCTCTCCGTTTTTGAATTGGACATCTTCTTCCATATGGGTTGGGTGAGATAGAATTTCCTAAGAAGTCTACCTTATGCCCTATGCCGTGTCGATTGCTCTTCGCCTTCGCAGGCCAAGGGGCTGAGCTCCCCCGAGGCCCTGGCGGCGCAGCTGCAGCGGTGCAGCTTGGGCGCCGCACATGGACGCTATGCGCCTCCAGCAGAGCCGGACCTACCCGGAGCGACCGCAACGCGGCCCTGGTTTGGAGGGAAGATGGTTGGGTGAGTTCGTTTTTTTTGACCTTTTTTCTTATCATGTTTTTTTTTGGGGGGGGGGAGGTGTCTATAATAAGTCTATACATTGTTTTTCTTCTTCAGTGAGGAAGAGGGATGACGATGGTCACCCCCAAAAAAGGGGCGCCAGAAACCGGCCATTGATGAATCACTTCTGGAGCAGTCTTTCTGTTTTAAGATCAGAAGTGGTGAGAGCAGTTGATCGGAAGAATCCGAAGAAGAACCACCCATTGAACCTGCGGCCTGCTCTTGTTTGACGGAGAGTGGGAGTGCTCCCGCGAAGCGCGAAGAAACCAAGGACACGACGGAGCTGCAATGCCAGTTGCTTGTCATAGAAGTCCTGTTGACAATTGTTGACATATAATATGATTATTATGATTGACCACGCCATCAGAGGTCGGTTGGTTCTCCTTTGACATGCCCCTGTTCTGAGTGTTGATGGACGTCCGACCTGGTTCCTTGTTCGAAATGGCTTTCAGACATTTCGGGAGTTCGGACGTTCAGGAGTTCGGTTGTGTCTCGTCGTCGGTTCGAGCGGTTCGATTCGAGATGTTTCCGCATCTCTGAGGTACAACTCGCCCTTCGGGCAGAATTCCATGTGTTGCGGCTGGAGGCACGTCGGTTTTCCGCATCTGGCAGACAGGGCATTGGAGAGATGTACAACAGCATGCAACAACCTCACGGGCACAGCAACCCAACACCGGTTTGCAATGGTTTTTTCAAGGTTTTTTACGTTCAATCCCCACAAACTGGATCCAAGCAACACCCCGGCTCCTTTCTTTTTGCATCCTCCAGGCCACATTTCAACTGGGTGGTCGGCACCTGTGAGAGCAACGCTCACATCCCCAACGCCACCTTCTGCGATGGGATCCCGCCCTGCGCTCGGGCGCCGCAGATCAACTACGCCGCGGCGCCTGGGCGGAGCGGAGGACGAGAAGACGGGAGGAGCGGAGGAGCAGAGATGGGCGACGTGAGAACGAGGAAGGATGAAACTCTTGAGATTCTTTTTGGAAGAGGGGAAAAAACATCAAAGACTTGGTATTGGACGGATTTTTTCTGGTCCAAAAACATCAGACGGACTGCTTCAGAAAAGAACTTGGAAGGACACGGAACAGACCGGCTCGTCGTGTTCGGGTCCGTTTCGGTCGTCAGGGCTGGTGCGTGCGGGTCGGTTGGGGCCCTTTGGTGGGCCGGTTGGTGGGTTGGGGCCCGATGTGAGGCATACCAATACAACGGCAGCCACTTTGTGCTGCAAGATGCCTCCACGGCGGGAGACCTCTCAGATGCTGGGGTGGCTGGATCCTTCAAAGACAAGACTGGCTGGGAGAAGGTCAAGAGTAAATTCAGATGGGAAGGCGGCGAAGGCGCGGCGTTGGCTTTGGGGCGCAAAGCGAGACCTGGCGTCTTGGGATGTTTGGGGTGTCTTGTTAGAAGCGCTTTCTTCGTGTTGTTCAATTCCTTGGGCTCGTTTTTGCGGAAGCTGTGTGTGCGCCCACAAGAAGTTCAGACACTCTTGCATTGTATTCATGATCGAGGTAACCCAGAAGTTCCAATGACTCATTTCTCCCCGGGGTAAAATGAGTCAAGACTGGACTCTCAGGGTAATTAGATGTATTAGTATATATCATCACCCATTGCGTATATCTCGACTTTTTGATCTCACTAAGACGACCGGCCTCCGCCGTTCGCCGTTCTAGCCCGGCGAACGGCGCCCGCTCCAGGCGACTGGCCAACGAAATATGCTCCATGGGGTCTCGGGGCACAAGGCCCCCGTGGACTCACTCCGCCGGCCGGTTTGTGGGTCTTGAGTGTGGACAGCTTCTACTACGGCACGTTGTATATGCTGTCGCAGTTGACCCTGAATGCACAGGGCCACAGGGAGCACAACAATTGCTGGGAGTGGGAATTCGATGCCATCGAGGGACTCTTGGGTACGGTGCCCAAGGGGAGCCCCTTGCCCGGAAACTTGAACCAGTTGTACGTGACAGCCACTGCACAAGTCACCGGATGCATGCCGATGCCCGGCACTGCCGCACAAGGCAATGGGAAACGGCAGACCTTCTCCGAGCCGGAAAGCTTCCGAGGCTTCTGTCGTGCAAACCCCAGCGCTGTGGGCTGTAGGCCTTGGACCTCTCAAGATGCCAACATCTGGCACGGTGGAGGTCATCCCGGAACCGATCGATTTGAGAATTTTGAGCACACGCCTTATGTCTTTGCCGTAGTTCCTGGGCGATGAATGCTCAGATCAACAAGCCTTGCTACACACACACACATATACTATTTATATTATCTATACATGGTGTGTGCACATGTGCATCTTTTTCCCTCAAAAATGCCGTGATAGAATGTGGTTGTTTTGGTGGAACTACAGGACAAGCAACTGAGAAATCCCAAACTCACCAGAAATCATATATATATATATATATCCTGTTCTCCATTTGGCCTTCACTCCCGTGCAATTCTTTCTCAGGTCCTTGACCACCAGGGCTTCTGGGTCTACCGCTGGCGTCCCGACTCGGAGGGACACACCGGCTGGCCGGGCTTGGACCGTTTTCGCGCGAGCCGCGTGCTGCCCCAGCGGCCGCGGCCCGTGAAGGATGCCCAGGGTCTGAAGACGGACGTGCGCGGCGCGACGGAGGAGGCGGTGATCTTGATCCCCAGCCTGCCGCCCGAGGCGGCCTGCACTCGCTCCAGCCCGGAGAGGGTGGATTTCCGTTGGGGTGCCGGGGCGTTGGGATCCATGGGCTTTCAAAGGAAGGACTACAAGTTGGGGCAGGAACAGCAGGGAGCTCAAAATTGGTGGGCACATTTTGTGGACACCCACCAATTGCAGGACTATCCCCTGTCAATTGCTGGAGTTCCTGCATCTGAAGCAAGCAAAGCTTCCTACTCCTGCAGTCAAAAGGACGAGTTTGGCAGCGAGTGCGATTGTGAGTATGGAAAGGCACGCCGGACGTCGTTTCTGAGTCAAGTGGAAGGGGCTCCCGGGCCAAACTTTGAAGTTGCGATGATGCTTCAGAATCTGTTGCGGTGATGGTTGAGGGGCAGGCTGACATACTAGTTACTAGTTGCCAGTGGGCTTACCTACTGGAAGTAGTATCAAAATGAATCTCTGCATGTGCACCATTTTGGTGCAGTAGGACACTCAGCAGGACTGGCTGGGGGGGTCTTGTACAGAGTGGGCGCGGGATTCAAAGTTTTTGTGGGCTGTTCTGGAACTAAACTGTAGCAACACAGGAAGACCGGCTCTTGCCGTGCACAACTGGTCAACAACTTCAAGAAGAGCATGGCCCAACTTGACCGCACCACCATTCTTGGGACACAAAGTGTCTCCCAATCTTGTGGACACAGCTCGTGTCAACTTGATGTCCTGTGTAAATCCACGGGGCTCATTGAATCTCATTCTCAACATCTGACCGGCCAAAATTGCTGAGACTGGGCACGTCTTGCATCGCTCGCCGCTTGCTCTGAGCCCTCAACTTCTGGAGGCCGAGTACGACACGGGCACCGCCGATGGTGAAACAGGTTGCTTTGCAGCCTTGGCACAACAACAGGCACATGTCTCTGGGCTTAGCTTGCCCGCCTGCGGCCAGCTCCAACACCTCGATGTGTTCTGACTGTATAAGACTCCGTAGTGTGGATGACCTGAGCTCTGAGCTCACCCTGAGGCTCCCAATGCACTTGGGTCATTGTTTGACATGGGTCATTGTGAACGGCTGCCCTGCCCGTTTTTTCGGGAGCAGGCTAACTCTTCGCCTCCCGAATTTTTGGTCCAGATCCTATGCCCATCACTGGTCTTGGGGTGTTGAGTCAAGCACATCCTCTTCACCAGGCAGAGTCTGGCTGGCGCTGTATGGGCTGTCGTTTGGTTTACGGTGACCAGGCCACCATGCTTGAAGAAGAATGGGTCAAGGAAGGGAAGCAGCACACATTCCTCCATAGATGCCCAAATTCTTGTTCTTTTGGGTGGGAGGGAAGCTGTGCTTATCAATTTGCATGATTTTGTATGATTATGTGGATATACACGCAACTATTTTAGTGTTTTCACCTGCATATATACATTCTTCCAAGACAGGTCATCGAATGCTCCATTTGTGAGACAGCTCGTCCCGGCTACGAAGAGGAGGCAGGGCGCACGCACCAAAGGCTGCCGCGGGGGGCAGGCCGCGGGCCTCGTTCGCTCCACTACACAGATGCGACCGAGCCGTAACGGAGGTCCGAAGGCTCGTGTAGAGGACCCGGTCTGGGACTAATCCACGGTGCAGATTTCACCGGTGGCGATCCGCAGAAGGGAAGACGTGACATGTGATGTCATTGTGAGATGAAACCTGCTGAACAGAAGGGAGTTCACAGGTTGCCGCTGCCAAAGCGGACAAAAGCAAGGGGATGTTGGCATCTCAGCTTGGGGCGTCGGAGTGTGGGACGCATCCACCATTGTTTGGGCCCGAGGCAGAGTGCAGCAGCCGCCTTCTTGGGTGGTGGAACCTCGTGTGAGACTGAGATGGGCTTCCAACCGCTTGCATCATGAGTCTAGGCCCTTAGGAGCACACCTTCGGCTCATGGATGCTCACGAAATGTCGGCACTTGGGACATTTCTTGGCTCCTTTCACTCCTTTCCCCATCTCTTCTCGTGTTTTTCGTCCCTTTGGACACCCCACAGGACGAAGGAGAGCACCGCCGCTGCGTTCGTGCCCCAGTCGTCGCGACGACGGCGGAGCGCCCTTTGCGGCGGCGCGGCGCGACCCGGCCGGGGCCCGGTGCCCGGAGCGTCGATGAGGCCTTCGGCGCCTGCGCTCAGCTTCGGGTTTGGATCCTCGAGTTCGGCCCGGGAACTCGGGGACCGGGCGGAGTCTGGGTGGCTGAAGACCTGGGAACTGGGAACTGGAACGGCGCGGAGGAACGTTGGAACTTCATTCTTCTAGGAGCTCGAACTGGGAGGTCCTCTCCATTTTTGATACCCATGTTACCCATGTTACACCAAAGTATGATGGAATGTGATGGATTAACATGGCCATTCTGAGGAGAACATCGGGTCTGTTTGTTTGGATGGGCACCAGCCGGGATGAAGTGGGTTTTGATGTCGCCGGATGGACATCCAAACATAGAGCTAACATGTTGGGGTCATTGCCTCGACCAACCGAGACGGGTCTGGTGCCGCGAAAAAAACGTGCCGCTAGGGCGGGCTTTTTGGCGCTTGCAGCTCAGAAAGGGGTTGAGAGACTACTGCGATTTTGGTCATGGATTGCTAAGATTCATGGTCACTACAGGAGAGCCCGAAGATGGAAGAACATCCAAGAACCATGGAGCATGCCAAAAGCATTCCAAAAACCAACCGGAAAATGGCATTGGACACCCCTTTTTGTTTGAACAGCTCCATGTGCTCCACTTGTCTCAAGTGACGAAATAAGGCTACACCAGCCAGCTCATCAATCTTTGGCGGGGCGTCTGCTGGTTCGATCTTTGGTTCTTCAGACCCTCCAGGCAGAGCGTCGGGTGAGAGTTTAGAACCCCCCCCACGTGTTGCTCGCACCAGACAGTCGGGTGCGTGTGAGAACCCAGCACTTCAGGTTTCCCCACCATGTTCCACCCACCAAAACGCGAGAGAGAGAGAGAGAGGGAGAGCCTCAAGCATGCCGTTGTCCCGCGCAAAGACACCGTTCGCGCGGCCGAATACATCGTGAACGCAGGCGCCGGTGGTGCCCCTTCCAGCTCCATGTTTGGATCAGGTGCTGTCCTAAGACGCAAATCGAAGCTGACGCCTTTGTCACTACCAGGGCCCCCCCCAAGGGGTATGGGTGTTTTCGTCACATTTCGTCACTACTTCCAGTGCTGACTGCCTTTCACCGCAGCCATGGATCAAGCTTTTCGGGAAGCCTGAGAAATGGCCGAGAAACCGGACGAAGAAGATGAGGAAGAGTCCGATGAAGGTGCGCCCGGTCCATGTGAGCTTTCGTCCGGCGTGGAACAGTCCGGTGACTAGGACGAGTTCTGAGTCCTGAGTCCTGAAGTCAGGGACCGTCCCCTCTGAACTCTTGACATGGAGGATTGATATGGGTTTGTCTCCGCCCCCACGATGCAGAATCTGGATTGGAGATTTGAGGGTTTAAGCTCCTAAGGCTCTCTTGACTGCTTAAAGGAGCTAACTCCGGTGGATGCTCCATGTTGCTCTGAACTGGCAGCCCATGTTTTTTTTTTTTTTCCGGAGCGGTTTCCGGTGCTGGACCAAGGTGTGCAGGAGCACTTGAAGGATGCCGTTGCAGGCACCCTGAAGCTTAAACGCTTGCTCAGTGCCTTGGATGCAAGGGGACAAGGCACCTTACTACTAATAACAAGAAGCTACTAGTATCTCCTGGCATTACTACTAGCAACAAGAAGCTACTAGATACAGTAGTAGCAAGCAAAGGCTCTCCCAACTCGCTCGTCCAAGGGTTTTCTGATGAAGAGTCAGCTCCCGGCGAGCCTTTCCCAGTCTGGATCAAAGATCAACACCAATCCACCCTTCATCACAACAGATATACATTGCAACACAACCTAAGGATGCATGAGAATCTCAGTGACACCCAAAGCCATTGCATGAAATGTTCGACATTAACCTAGACTCATTCATTCCCTTTTTTCGTTGAAGGTTTATCTTGCGGCGAACGCCGTCTCAGTCTATTTTAGCCTATCAATGTCAGCCTCATGAGTATAGGTGCAGACCATGAGGGGGAAAGACATCGGTCGACTTTGTCGTTGAAGCTACGCTTCCCTTCACCGCCGAGTCAAAGGGCCGTTGCCAAGGGCGCATGGGCAGGTATTGTAGGTGGCGGGATTCTTCTGGCAAGGTCATATGGTTGCGCCGACGTTTCAGCCTTGTCGTATTTTCAGGACAGGTCGCTGTCAAGCAGTTATTCATCTGCATTATATTCCCAAGGTATATCTGCACTTCCAATGACTCATTGAACCACACCTGGAAATCATAACTACCAGGCCAGGGTAAGATGAGTCATGAGTCATGACTGGACTCTCAGGGAAAAATCTGCACTTCGGCAACAGTTTCCTGCACTCCCGAGGTGAAGACGAAGATGCCTTTGCCAAGCTTGGCTCTTCCGTGAAGAAGAGACGAACCGTGGAGCGCTGCGGGCCCGCGGAGCAAGCCAAAGCGACTGGCCGCTGTGGGTGGGACCGGACACCGGAGGTCATTCCGTCTTGGGCAGAGGTGCCCTTTTTCCCACTGGAGTCGACCTTGATCCAAAGACACCTCTGCGGAAATCAAGGGTTGGGATTGAAGCATCGGTTCATTTTCCTTCGGCGGATTCATGTTGGCCTGGGATATATGTTCCTTAATTGAAGGGCTCTTCTTCTGGTCTTGGCTCCCAGACCAAATGCTGCAATCTGCAACGCTTCAGTCTGCAAGAAGGAACGGGTGTTTGAGGTCTTCCAGATTCAATCCGAGACGAGACTCGTCATCGGGCCGCTGGAATCATGGGCCGCGTTCACCTCCTTCCCAAGTCTGAGGTGACCCATCTTCTCACCAAATGGGGCTCCCTGGATGACGTGCTCCTCAGGTGCCGCGGGGTGCTGGGCTCTTTTTCACCCAAGTCTGGCATGTTCGTAGCTTTTGGACCACTTCCTCTTCGATTTTTCTTTATCTGGTTCTAAATTCATCTAAATTCACGGATTGGCAGGGCGCTGCAAAGAGCTCTTTTTGTCTCGTATGGGCAGCCTTATCTGATCTTATCTGCCTTCTTGCCTGTTCGTACGATGCGCCGAGGCATGTTTTGGAGGGATTGAAGCTGCCCGAGCTCGATATCTTGAACAACTCGGGGTATTTGCCCGATAAGTTCAATGCATGGAAGTCCTGCGCCGTGCCACAGCAGAATCCGTTTGGGCGTTTGGGTTGGGGAGCGGGCGAGCGGGTGGCGGGTTGGGAGGCCTTGTGGAAGTGGCGGAAAGTACAAGAGGTCAAGTGCTTCCATCACGGTGGAGAAGAACCACGACCGGACTCTCATAGTTTTTTTTCCTGCATGAAGCCCCCACAGCCGAACAACTTCAGCATGTGGTCACGACCAGGTAGACACTTAGTAGACATTTAGTAGACATCGCCGTCGATGAACTCGTCACAGAGTGGTCTTTTTCTGCAGTCTTTCAGTCTTTCTTTCAAAAGGTGCGCTGCGGGTCTTTCGACTGTCCTTGTAGCCTTAGTTTTCCACCATAACATAGCTTGGAAATGGATGCTTGGACGTGTCACGGGTTCACCAACTCGTCGCCCGCAATGGCTTGTTTGTTTTCGTTGGTGGTGGTTCTTCATCCTCAGCGCCTACCCAGGACCTCACCGCCATGCACATTGCGGGCATGCGCGAGCGGAACACGGCCGGTGGCGGAGCACTTGATGCGATCGCGGCCTTCAGGCCCCTTTTTGCCCGCAGCTAGCCCAGAACTTCCAATATCTTCCATTTCGACTCATGAACTACCCCATCTGGAAGTCAAAATCATCCACTACCAGGCCTCAGTAGTTCATGAGTCACGACTGGACTCTGGGGGTGCTATCTTCTGCAATGAACATGCCCGAGGTCGTTTGTAGGGGTGGTGATAAGATTGAGAGATGTTTCCCTGAGAGTCCAGTCATGACTCATTTTACTCGGGAGTGGTGGATTATGACTTCCGGGTGGAGTAGTTCATGAGTCGAAATGGAAGTTCTGGGGTTTCTAGGGTGCTTGTTTAGGTGCCTCACCACACTGATCCACCTTCTTACTTCGTGCATCGAATTCGATGATGGCCTCCACAATTCCCGTGAGCAGACGGGTGACGCGGCGTCGCAGCGACGGCAGGTTTAATTGGAAGCTGGACGGCACGACGGATCCCATCCTCCGCAAGCTCAGCCATAAGGACTTACGCCGCTCAGTTGACCTTTGTGGTGCCGTAAATAGAAAGAAAGAGACTCGTGGCGTTTGGCACGTTTGGTTTGCCAATGAACAGGTGCGAAGCACAGCTCACGGGATGCCGATCCTTTCCTTGTTTGTCTTCTACCGTCATCTGAGGGGGGTAGGGTATTTTGGAGCTAAGCCGCCAGGCGGAGCTATACGACTGATGATCCCAAGGGCCAGGGTCGTACCGGGTGCTTTCGTTTTTTGTAATGCCACAGGGTCGACCTTCCGTTGCGTGAGTCTTTTTTCTGGAGGGGAGAGCCAATCGAGATCGGCCCTCTCACACAAGAAGAAGTCCGAGGCTATGTGCTGACACACTATGATGGTGAAAGAGCAGCTTGCCATGCATTGCCACGCGAGGCATCGCAGTAAATAGTGAAAGAAATCGCTGTGCACTGTGCACCACACAAATCCAGGTCCACGTTCTCTGCAATGCGGGGTGTGTTGGGAACATTGGGGAACGTTCTCGGCTCGAGGTAGAGATTTTGACCCGACTCAGTCTTTTGTGGTAGTGACTGGTAATGGTTCATTATCGCGGCTTTGTCCAAGATGGATCAACATGTGCCTTGTCAACGGATTCTTTTTATCGCGAAGAATGCGTGGGACATTCCCTTTCTCCATGAGGCCTTTCCATCTCACCCCGAAGGATAAACGCTCCGTTCGCCGGTTTCGACGTGCGAAGGGACGTCTCGAAGGCTCCCCGCGTATGACCGCGTCGCCGTCCGTCCTCAGGACTTGCCGAGTCTGATCCAAGAGGCCGTCGACTCAGAGCCGGAGGTTGCAGCGACTGGAGTTGCAGCGACGGTGCCATGGTGAAAGGGAGGAAGCGCTGGTGCGAACATGGAACGGACTTGCGCACCCGTGGGTGGGATTGCATCAACTGGAATGAAGGGACGACATGGGATGAGTGATTGAAACCAGGGCTGATAATGATTGGGATTGAAACCTCACCCCAATTTGGCACGTTGCTGAACATTTGTGAACATTTGTGAACATCTGTGCAGAATGCCCAAGTAGCTAAGAAGCCGGTCTTTTTGCAGGTCTAGGTATTGAGTCTTTCCTTTCTCAATACCTACTAACCTTAGATTTTCCGTGTCCACCTGGCTTTTCCGGGGTACTATGCGACTTTTCGCGGTGAACCTCCGCGCGTGCCGTTTCCCACGTGGTTCCCAGGCACCGGGTTGCACGGCTCTGGGCCGGTTTACTCGATTGGAGCTGATCGATCCGGAAGCGGACGCAGCGGTCTTCGGAGATGCCAACTTGAGTTTCTGGCTTTTTTCGTTTTCATGCCGTTTTCGACGCGGCGCGTTCCTAGCACGCGGCCGGCTTGTGTGCGCGAGAAAGAGAGAGAGGGAGAGTCGTTTCAGTCCCCTTTCAGAGCCCGGAAGAGTTTCTCTCTTCAAGCCAGTCTTTTGAGCAATCTCCTTTTCTCTTTTTTGGGAGCAAGGACAATCCCGATCTAAAGCACCATGTGGAAAGACGGCAGGCGTTTTGAGAGGCTTTGACATTGAAGCATGGCAAACTTCAAGAGGTGGTGATTTCAATGTTCAGGCCACACAGGACACAGGACTGGTACCCAGGATTCCCAAGCAACTGCAGAGCATTTTCTAAGACACGCTGAACACCAGTAACACACACACACACATGCATCAAAATGCCCAGAAGTGGATCTTGCAAGAAGTAAGAGGCCGCCCCTGCCAGATTCGCTCAACAAAAACTGTCTATCATCCTCAACCTTTCATTGCCCAAGAATTCTGCACGAAAGTTGCTAGAGTGGAAGTATAGTTAAAGACGAATGCAGCCACAAGTCTTGGTCTTAACGTTTACTTTTGGGGAGGATTTGTGAGGACGTGCTTCCACTTCCCGAGAGAAGCTAGCCGGTCAGTTTGGCCATCGCACATGATATATTTTGGCGTCTTCATGCGTTTTTTTGCGTCTTCATGCGTGCGTGCTCTTTTCCAGAAGCAGCGACCTGAGGCTTTGCCTTGCAACTCGGTGAGCAGTGAGCAGTGATCTTTTGTCGAACTCCACTGGGGAAGACTCTCCCCAAGTGGAGGGGCCATTTTGTTTTGCGCTCCACCCCTAGAAGTTCACAGGTTTGCTGTGTCAAGAGGGAGGGCTTGGCTGAAACTTCCCTCACCGAACTGGAGAAACGACACGATCGTTTCGATGTCCGAGGAACCTCGTGCGGCATCGCAAGGCAGGGACGATGGGCTCGGGCGTGGTACCGTCGGGGTGTGGACGGTGGGAAGCTCCGGTCGAACAAGGCAGGTGGATTTGGCTCCGGACTCCAAATCCCCATGCCATTTCTTTGGAACCAAACCCTTGCATCTTGCATCCACCCCCCCAAACAAGCTAGCTCCTGGCCGACTTAGACCACGTGACCACGATCGGCCTGGCCCACTGCTCGCCAGGCCTTGGGTCATGTGGGCCGGGTGATTGCCACCACCTTCGAGTCGCTGGAGGTGCTGCGCGAACGGTATGCAGAGATCGATGAGACCATCGCGGAGCTGGAGAAGGATTTTTCCGAAGTCTACCACGCATCTTGGGCCCAAAGGGGTTATTTATGACCCATCGTCATCCAGCCAGATTTTTTCGGTTCTTTCTTTCATTCTTTTGGTCCGGTCCATGGGAGAAGTTCTATTTGGAGAACTCATCTCCCCTAGCACAAAATGTGTCATTCACCTCTAGCGCTTAGCCGCCTGATGTCGCGGGCGAAGTTTGCTAGGAAGAATCACTGCAGAGCCGTTGAACATTGAGTGTGGGCTACCACTTTCTAGTGGGGTTGCTAGAGCGCATCGCTACTAGTAACACAGGGGATTACTACTAGTAGCATTCTTACTACTAGGAACAAAAAGCTACTAGTAACAAAGGGCATGGCTACTAGGAGCAAGGACGCTACTAGTAGCTCCTGCTCTTACTACCAGGTAGCAAGAAGCTACTAGGGTTGCTAGAGCACATGGCCAGACCACTTGTAACCGCCTTGGTATGCGTCGTCTCATCTAAGGAGGTGGACTGTACGAGGATAGCTGTCCATCCGCAATTCAAAGACCTGGAAGGCTCTTTGGGAGCTGTTTACTACAACTTCCCGCACGCAGGACCCGATGGCGAAAGGGGTAAGGGCCTTAAAAATTTTTTGCGCGATTCCACACTGGGTCTGGGGTCTAGCATTTGAGCACTGCTTTCTTGGGTGAATATGGATTTGACAAGAGGTCCTGGCTATGCATTTGCGTGTGCAATCATGCGCACATGCCAAACGCATAATATATTCTGAAATCTATTGTCCCTTGGTCATCCCATGCGTTTCCCATTTCCTTTCCCATCCTTTCTGAACAAAGGCCGGTAGCACGAGGACCCGACCCCCGCGGACGACCCCCTCCCTTTCGTTCGCCGTGGCGGCCGCGAGGAGCTGTGGGCGGGTTCTTCGATGGCCACCCACTGGTCAACTGGCGTCATGAAAACTTGATGCGACTCTTTTTCCGCGCCCTGCGCGCGTACGTGAAGCCTGGCGGGATCGTCAAGGCGGGGGTGTTTTCCACTGCTTGGGGGGGCGGGGGGCCGTTGGTACGGTCTGGCGGGTCGGCCTGGCCGCCGAGAGGATCTGGGAATTGGGTGCCGGTCGCCACTCATTGTCATTGGAGAAGCCTGACGCCTGAGCAGCTCTGAGCACTCTAAGACTCGACTTGGTGGACTGGTGTCCTTCTTCACAGGTGCACAGCCCCTTGCTGAAAAACGGTGTATCACGAACTCACTTGGTGGCTGTAATTCACTTGGCTTGCTTTGGGTGTCGTCCCTGAATGGCCTGAGGCAACCAAGTAGATGAAAAGAGAGCATGTGACTATAATTTGGACTTCCTTGTGACATGGCATGGCATGGCAATGGGAGAGAGAGAGAGAGACTTTGCTTTGACTCATGTTTGGCATGTTCCATGATATATATTTTTATATATATATATATATATTATATATAATTTTTGATAATATTTGTCGATCGGGTTGGTTCCCTTGCCACCCTAGTGTGAATCTCTTTCCCAAAACATGTGGTGTCTGAATTGGTCCACTTTTTTCCGCAAGAAGATGGCTTCTGTGGGGATCTCGGAGTGGCTCATGGTCGTTGGCTTTCCGGGTCACCAGTGCCCCGTCCGCCCCCCCGCCCCAACGCCCACAACGGGTCCCACAGACGGCCGCGTGTGGTAGACTTGTAGACCAGTAGGTCTGCAGACCTGCGGCAGACCTGCCAGGTGGCATCCAACCAGGGAGCTGTGGGAGTTCGATATTCCTACATCATTTGCTCCGCGGTGGAGAACGAGTTCCGCCACACGGAGACCATGCCGTTTCTGCAGTGGAGCCTGCACCGCTATGGTCGCTCCTATGGAGATCGGCGGGACACCTATCGACGGCCGGATGAAGGAGAAGGCTACAATGTCCAACGGGCCGAGAAGGATATGGTGTAGCCCAGCAGGATTACAGCAATTTTTTCTCTGAAAAGAGCAGATCACTGGGTTCTACTCAGAACCTTTAGGTGTGTGTCTCTGTGTGTCTGCTCTTTTCTTTTAAGAACCACCACCTCACCACCCGCACCTGCTTCCATTCTCCTGCGGATTTTGCCCGTGCTCTTCTTACCTTCTTATCTACTCCTGCTCTTCGTTGTGTGTCTACTCGTCTTACCAAACTTCTGCTTCCATCTTCCATCCCGTGCTCTTCGCCCGTGTCGTGCACGACATATCCGGTGCTGCCGTGCCGATCCCGGCTCCCTTCGTGTTCGAAACCCCCACCGATGCGCACGAAAGCCGGCCGGTTGTTCCGCCTGACCCCCGGGCCCATCGTCCCCCCTTGCCGTTCGTCACTGCGATTGGGCGGAGGTACACCTTTATCTATCAGCCCACCGGACAGGCGCTGGCCCCGCAAGACATCCGTCTCCCTCCCACGTTTAGGACCATCGAGGCCTGCCCTGATGGGCCCTTCGATGGGATGTCCGGGGAGTCGCGGAAGAACTTGGCGAAGCAGCTTTACAGACGTCACTTGGAGTGACCGAGGGGAGAGACCGAGAGGCCTTAGGAGAGGCCTTAGGAGATTCTCATCTTACCCCCCTTTTTTGGGTTTTTGTGTCGGGCGGGGCAGATGTTGAAGGGTGGAAATTCGGGTTCAGAGCGTGAGGATAGGAGATGGTTGGCTTGGGAGAAGGTAATCTGTTTAAATGAAGATGCCAGGAGTCCCGAAACTATTGAAAGAAAGCTTCTTGAGAGGAATGTTCCATTTGAGAGACACACAATTCAGGGATGTCCTTGTGTTGTCTTCGATCATTCATCCCATTTCTTATGAGGCTTTATGCTGGAATGCTCTGGGACTCACGTGGGTTAAACTCAGCCGCATGAGTGAGTGAGGGCCAGCACAGCGCCGAAGGAAATAGATCTCCGCCCTGCGCTAAAAAAGTGTGCATCCTTCTGAGATGAAACACAGCCTGCTTGGATGTGCATGGAAAGAAAGCGCATTTTAAGATCCTTAAATACATACACACACACACATATATATATATATACAATATTGCCTATTGCTATTGCTCTCCAATATGCTTTGATTGATTTGATTCGGTGAAACTTTGAACGACAAGTGTGTCCGACTGCAGGTGGTGGCTCATTTGGCTTTGGTGTGTCAGGCCTGACCTAGATTATAATGACAATAATATGCCTAAACACCCCTCCAGCAAACATGGAAGTGGACAACCCCCTGTTTGTATGGAGGAAAGTTGTGTTTCCAGGGGTTATGTTCCACTTCCCTCATTGTTTCAGGGACACGGCCGAGTATGAAGAGCCCCTAAAGGTTTCTCAGTTTGCGCTGACATTGGTGAAGAAAGCTTCAGCTGCAGAAACTTTTGTTTGCGGCGTGGGAATCCAGGCAATGCACAACAAGCAGACGGAGTCGGCAGCTTGAGATGCCAGATGATGAAACACATCATGCCGCAATACAATGAGTTTCATCACATGTTCAGTGACTTTTGGAGAAGGTCACGGCCGAGACGGCTGTGGGAATCAAGTTCGGCCACTCCTTGGTGCCTTGGATTGTGGAGCGCAGACATTTTTCACGACATCGTCGTCGACCTGCCACCCCTGGCATTTTTTCCGCCCGGAATCCATCATCCACTGGCCAAGATGGGTGGAAACACCGTGAAACGCCACTCAACTCAGTGACACCTCTGACCTGTGCGACCTGTGTGACCTTTGCGTGACCTGTTCCGCCCCGTGGGGAAACTCAGGCGCCCCCGACCTCTCCGCCGGTTCAGTCCAAAGCGGCGTCCGGGGCCCCAGGTCGATCCCGGCCACTCACCGCCGTGCACCGCCACGGTCGATTCTCGACGTCTCGGCGTCCTCCGCCGCAGGGCACCGCCGCCGCCGCCCGTCGCGGCCTCAGCGGTGCCAGCCACCAGCCGTGGCGAAGGGCCAAAGAGGGATGGCACCGAAGACAGTTCTGGACCGCTGCCGATCCGAGGCAACCGTCGATCCATCTCAAGTGCCTTGCGGCAGCAGCCTCGGTGGGTTCGGAAGAGCGCGGAAGATGCGTCGGAAGGGCGAGGCGTCGCGCAGAGCCGCGCCCTGAGCAGGAGCCTACAATTATCCGTTTCCTTGTGGCCAGCCACGCCCTTGGTGATTATGGCAGGATGTGTGTCTACATGTCGCGGTGGATTCAGTGATTCAGTAGTTCAGGCAATTTGGATTGCCACCATGTGTGGCGCTCAAATGAACGAACTTGCAGAGCACAGCATGCCGGTGCGGTGGTTGGAGTTGTGGAAAGGTCTTGCATCAACAGAAACTGGTACTTCTGAGGCATGCCCCATATGGGCATGGCCGGCATGATGGGTATGCCAGCAATGCCCGCTTCTCAAGGGGCGCACCTCACTTGTACATATTGTGGCATTAGTGGAACGTTTGTTCCATGAAAGCCTTAGACATTAGCAGTTGTTCCTTCCATAGACGCCCGGTGACGGGCCCAGTGGTTGACCTTTGGGGGTTGGCCGCTGAGGTATGGCTACGGGGCTGATTACTCCAAGGTGGATGTTGGAGCCCTAGTGGCTGACCAAAGGGTGTTGATCTGTGAAAGCCCCTTTCCGCTGCCAACTGCAGGCATTGGAACGGTCAGTGAAGGCGAGGATCTGCTGATCTTGAGTTGTTGATGTGGTATGATGTGACACCCTTGTGATCGTGGTGCTTTCCCGACTCGAGCCCAAAGCTTGGACAGAGAGAAAGGCTCAGTAGTCAGATCACAGATCGGTGTTTTTGAAGCTGTTTGGAATAGCTCGTGACAGGACCTCCAAGACAAGATGAAGGCCGAAACCGACAAATCGCCTGACTCACAAACCGTTCGGAAGCTGGAGTCTTGGGCCGGTGCTTGAGGAGCTCAAGGATGCCTTTGACACTGAACGCCAAGAACGCTCCAAGGCAGGAGTCTCTCCAGGGTCCGTGGCACTCTGCGTTTGGGAGAGTGAAATGGAGGCCCCAGCTCAGGAGGGCCGGGCCTAGGAGTGGCCATCTGCCCCGTCTCCCCCGTTCGCCATCTGAACGTCTTTTCGATGATTTTCGATTGCAGGTGGAGCTCACGGTGCAATTTCTGGAGAAGAGACTACAAGAAGAGGAGACCATCTCACCGATGCTCTGGGCCGTTCCTTTCGTATCCTTTTGTATCCTTTTGTTCCTCTCACTGGTTTCTCGTGTAGATCGCGAACGGAACATAACTGGACAGTTATATAGTCTTCTTTAATAATAAGAACATCACACATACACAGAGGCATTTTAATATGAGAAATGTGTATTAGATATTTTCCACAAAGGCATATGTGACTTGTACTGAACCGGCTTTTTTTTTGCGCCCGCGCGCCGAAGCGCTGGAGGAGTCCAAGAGCAGCCGGGCCGAAGCGCGCGTCCGATCTCCCAGCCGGAGCCGCCGCGTTGCTCCTGCGCTGCGGCGCGGACTCGAGAGTCGGATCCGAGGACCTGGCCACGTTGAAAAAGTGGGATGTTTTGGGAAGGCCACGTTCAGTTCTCTTTGTTGAAGGTCCATGTGGAACCGAGTTCGCGAACTCGGAGGGGTCGGAGATGGTCGGAGGGGTCGCGGCAGAGAGTCACCTGAAGGCCTGAAGGGTCTGAGCAGTCCACCGGTTGGCCTGCCATGAACAGCCACATCATACTAAATACTGTGCTAATGTAGACTCTTGATTCATACCCCCCTATGAAGAGGTGGGCCAATTCAATTGGGGGAGGTTCTTAATCAAGAGTCCACATTACGTGACTACGTGTATGGCTGTGACATGGTGTGCATGGCTGTGACGTATCGTATCTCAGATGGAAGTGCCAACCAGTCTGTTCGTAGTGGAGGATCGCCTTCCGAAAGGCCATGCCATCCACGTGAGTCGGAGGGTCCCAAAGCTACGAAAGGGGGGACGAATCAGATGATCTACCTGATGGCTTGGCTGGTCATACCTGAAGCTAAATTTGCGCCGTTTGGCAGGCTTGAGGGGAGACATGATGTGGACAACATGCTGAGGTCACTGCAGCGGAAGCTCAAGTCAGACAACTTGAGGGTGTGGTCGAAGGACCTGAAGACTTGCATTGCTGTTCTTTTTCTGTCCCAGGTGTTCTCAGAGTGTGCTTGGCTGCGTTGCATCGGGGCCTGTCAAAAATGTTTTGAGCTGCGTGTAGAGGGCCAACCAAAAAGAGAACAACCTTCTCGAAACATGTCATGACGGCAAACATCGTTTGGCAGGACTGCGGAGGTCAATGGATCGGCCGCAGCCTTGTGTTGCAACAGTGGGTTGGTCTCAGACTTGTTGGGATGCCCCTACACTTCCTTGAATAATGATGGAAGTGGAGTTCAACACCGGGTCATTGGTCTTCGGAAGTCATGGTCATCGAAATCAGGGCCATGACATCCACATAACCATGATGTCTGCGAGTGTACCTTTGATTCATACTTTCCGACCTCGGTCTTCCTCAAAGAGGAGGCTGGACGTCTCTGGGACTTACCAGAGAGAGAGAGAGAGAGAGATAGAGAGAGACCCAGTGGTGGAGTGACTTTGTTGAGACCCCCAGTCCTTCCTGACTCAGGCCCTCGCCCCTTGATGATTCCAGGCCTGGCTGACTTCTGAACGCAAGAAAAAGAGCCGAGCCCAGTGGGCGAATCACCGCGCGGTGAATGCTGGGGCCGAGCCGCGTGGCGCTTGTCCATGTCATTGAAGGTTTGCCGTGAGGGAAACCACACTTGGCACTACTCACTCCTCCCATCTACGCCTCGACAACCGTATCTGTATGTCTGTGGAGTTATGTTGTTTTAGGGAGGGGAGGTGCAAGCCTGTGGCAGTTCCTTCTTCTTGTTGTTGTCAGGCTACTTGGTGGCCTTCAGAAGAGTCTGGAGGAACAGCATGGGTCTGAGACACGTTCAAGTCCCATGGGCCCTTTGACATGCGTTCGGTTCATCGAAAATCCAACCCATGGAGGCAGTGCGCAAGACTAGTCACTGAGTCGTCCCCAACCTTTCCACCTGTCTTTTTCAATTTGCTTGTGGCTCCGCCGGAGAAGAAGAACGATTCGCGAGGCTCGGATGACAGATCCTGAGACGTTTCTTTTCCTATTCTTTCCTGCTGTTTTTGGTCCAACCCCACCAGAAAACGACCGACCGGCCCGAGGTTAGCTCCGCTCCGGCAGGGCTTGGAGCAGGTGGGACCGGACGGCTCCAGCACGCGCCGACCGCGACGCCGTTCGACCGCGCCGCGACGGGAGTCCTCCGCGGTCGGTGCCAGAAAGCCAGCGCCAGCGATGAGAGCCTACGACTCTTGGGCAAGGCTGGTTCCGCGGCGGGAGGGTGGAGAAGCACCACATGGCTGGGAGGGTGGAAAAAAAGGGGACTTAGCTGGTGGGCTTCTCCCACATAGGTGGTGGAAGAATTGTGGAGTCCCCTCCATCCATTGAGGTTCCACAAACGGATGGGTCATTGAGGTTCCGCATTTGGCTGGCAGGGTTTCGGGGGATGCAAGTTGGACGTACCGGTTGAACCATGATTCGGTGATTCGACAAGATGTGTCAAGAATCAATGCGTGGAAAACTGCACCGGTTGACTGGAGGCATCTATATAGATTCAAAAAGCAAGAATACGAGCAATCCGAGTAGGGTCCCCCAGTACTCAACCCACCGGCACCGTCGAGCTTGGCAGGTCTTAGAGCAAAGCCGCGACGTGGACAGCTGAGCTGACACAACGGGAGCCACCGGCGTCGGAGCCTCCGGCGCCAACGCGAGCGCTCCGAGGCCGAAAGTACCATGAAGCAGCGCTTGGAGGCGGGGCCACCCAGCAGAATCAGATAGGGTTTTGCGATGTGAGAGTGGTGGCTTTTTCATGCCTTCAGATGGCAGGCTGTGGAAGCCAGACTGGATAGAATGGGGCATGAGCCTGCCTTCATGCCTATGACCAGGCACACAAGACTTCTTCTTATTTCAGGGTGCCGGCATGACGGCTCATGCTGCAGGCCACCCTTGGACCGCGTGGCCTATTTCCAAAGTCTGCATGTGAGCCGGCGTAAGTTTCTGGACCTGCTGCCTTACTGAACATTGATAAACATTAGATTAAGGCACACACACGGGTATACCGGTATACCCATATCTATATCTACATCTAAGATTATCTAATTTTATTTCTAGACCATATGCAGAATACACCACATCGACAGTTATGGCCCTATATGGCCAACACCTGGCCCCTTCCTTCTTCTACCTCCGAGGAGGGCCTCCTTGGCTCCGAGGTACAACAAACCGGACGGCGCCTGGCCAATGGATGTGAGGAGAGAACCAGCTCCGAGCTGCGGACAGAGCCGAGAACTGCATGGACAGAGCAGGATGAGGGGTCACGAGTTTCTGCAACTCTTGCAGCAGGAACACCCGCCCGCCCTGGTTTTGTCTTTCCTCTTGGCTGTCTCTGGCTCTTGACAAGCAGGAACACTGGGCAAAAATACCTTTGACATCACAGAGGGTCATGATGCAGGTGAAAGTGCCACTAGTGTGATGGATGCCAACCACTCTTCGGCACAAGAAGACTTCACTTTGACTGCCATCAGTGTGACCAATGGCAACTGCAGTGCAGATGGATGGCGGCACCATCAAGAGGGTACAGCCAGCTGCAGAGGCTCGTTTTTGAGGGGCACGTTGGGTCTAGTCATCGAAATTCATCAAGTTACGATTCGAAGAAGAGTCCACCAAGCACACAGACACACTTGCCCTTTTTGGAGTGGATGAATGACCTAGTCTTCAGTTGCGAGTTTCTTCAATCCAGCAAGGTCACGGTCACTGGCTGCAGCAGCCATGAGCAAGCCTGGGCCATCCAGAACCTCCTCATCGAGTGGTTTCTGGGCTTTTCATAGATCTTCATCTACTGAGTCCCAACGGAACTTCTTTGGGGCAAAACATTGGCAAAAAGGCGCCACCTCTTTGGGCCCAAACACGAACCTCCCTCACCCCCAACCTTGCCTCAATGAAGACCATGAGCAAGACTTGGAGCCTTTTCGGCGGTACCATGCAGGCTTTTTTTCTGTTGACATCGCTGGAGCTTGGAACATCAACTCCCAAAACATGCCAGACTTGCATGCGAAGTTGGCGAGTGTAGTGGCCTCAATAGACAGACAAAATAGAACCACACGCGCACCCCCAAAAACAACAGACTTGGTCCTATACCTGCTGAAAGATGTGCACGATATGTGAGAACTACCCTTTGACTCACTAACTAACATGGAAGTGGACAATGGTTTGTTGGAAGACGACTTTCCTCTACCAACAGGGATTGAGCTCCACTTCCATGTGTTCTGTGTTCTTCAGTGCGGATCTCCATGGGGCCCCCACGGTCCGACCGGACCACGCAGGGTTGTTCCATGATCGCGAAGGGGAACTTCCGAACCATCCGTGTAGATATGTGTAGATATATATACCCTGGCGGTCGTCGACCATTTTTTACAGGGTGGTTATCGAGCGGCCATTTTTTCAAGCCAAGCGACATTTCTCAACATGAAGTGTTGAGGCCCCACACATGGACATGACTAAACATGGTTAACATGCATGGACATGACTAAACATCCATCAAACCATAGGTGCTTTCATGATTTCTTTTCCTTTTCACTGTGCGGCCTCCTGTGGGCCATGGTTCGGTGATGATGAAGGGCGTGCTTTGGAGCGGCCAGTGGCTGGGATCAAATCAAGAACATCGTGACAATCACCAATTGATGTGTTGTTTAATCCTGATTGAGGTCATACTATACCTCGTATATATCGAATGAAAAAGGCATTGCGCAAGAGTGGGAAACTCGGTATTCCTCCAACCCCTCTCTCGGCCGCTTTCCAAAGCTGCGGGCCCAGGACTCCATCAGGAATCTGAGATCCTTCGATTAAATCGAGCTGCCGGTTCCCTCCCTGAATCAAGAGGCTGGCCCAATCTCTTGAAATTACAACCTTTGAAACACGCTAGATTTGACTGATCATGCCGTGCTGCACGAACCTTGTTGTTGATGGATATATTATTTGTTGTTTGGGCTCCGAAGCGAAGCCATCTGGGGAACGGTGGCCAGCTCGACAATGGCTGATCACGCGGAGGACCGTGTCAGCCTGCTCAAGGCACTTGTTCGATCGAGTTGTTCAAAAACATGACAACGAGAGGAACTTTGGGCATGCATCATGATGGTTGGCGCATGAGCTGTAGTGTTGAAGAAATCGTGGGAGGCCTTCTACTCGGACATCCTGCAGCAGCCCAACTTCATCAAATCAAGGAGGAAACTCTTGAGAACCAGGCTGAAGATGAAGGCAGATGATCAAACGGTTTCTGGGATTGACCTTCAAAACATATCAAGAAATATGACACGATGCGATGCACGAGCTACGATGTTATGTGTGATCTGAGGTGCCTAGCTTTGCCTTCGTGATCAGGTATTGGAAGAAGGCCACGATACAAGAAAACGAGGCTGGATCTTGATGGTTGGGCACTACAAAGTGGCTTTTGGGCACATTGCCCCAATGCCCCCATCTCATGGCATGCAGGTTGAAATGGATGTGAACTTTACCTTTTGCCTCGAATAGCATCCTTTGCACACAACGTCCCGAATTTGAAGGACATGGAGGACCTCTGACTGCTAGCAATGAAGAATTTGAAGCTCTGTCTAAAAGTCTTATCGAAATGTGATTGAAATACTTCAGGAGGCTTTGGCTTGGGCGTCCATGCATTTCAACTTGAACCCGGACTTCGATGGCCACGCTGCCCATGTTGTATCCTGCCTTATATGGTACACAGGTACACATGTCAAGGACCCACATGAATGCCACATTTATCATAGAGAGAGAGAGAGCAATTCTCTCACATTTTTGTCATGTCACTTTCTAAGGATTGGTCGACAGTGGAAGCTGGTGTTCAAAGATCCATGGTGACCTACGCCCTGACCCGTTTTCAGAAAAACACGGGTACAAGGTGGGAAATGTGAGAATTTAAATTGCAACAACAACTGTGCCGGCTTTAGCGTATGGGTCTGAAAAGTCTATTTGGAGGTCAAAGAAATCGAGGATGTCCCAATTGAAGCAAGTCATCCGCTCAAAGTTGGAGGTGTGGGCCAAACGAATCTTCAGGCTAATATTGCATGTGAAATGTGCACATGTGCGCTGGTAGGCTGAAGGAAAATTGACTGCGGAGGGCAAGAAGCTTGCAACACGGGGAAGGTCTGCCTCGATGGACACTCTTTTGCGCAACTAGAAAAAACTGTCCACATGTTGTTCACTCTTTTAATGACAACATCAAGTTTTCCCATTTTGAGCTGCATGTGCCTAGATCATGGACGCTGCAGTTGCACTTAGGACTTCACGAAGAAGGTTAGCGCTGATGAGGTGGAGACTTTGCCAATGGAAGTGGAAGGTGAAGCGTTCAAAGAAGAGCTGCAGGAAACGCAAGAAGATGAAGAACAAGAGGAAGCAGAAGAGGAGCCAATGGAACATGACCAAGAGTGTGAAGTGCGTGAGACTGAAGCTGATGCTGAAGGACTGGAGCATCGTGATCTACCAATGCATGAAGTCACTGACTCTCAGATTCCTGTGGGACATGATCTATATGAAGCAACTCCGGAAAAGGTTGAGGAGGACAAGAAGAAAACCTTAGCCACACACGAGGTTCAGAGGGTAAAACGAAAGGCAGAGTATGAAGAGCTGAAAGCAAAAATCGAGATGCTAGAGCCTATGGTTTTTGATTCTGGTAGTTTGGTTTTTGATTCTGGTAGTTTGGATTTTGGTCTTCATTTGCAAAAAACCTGTTATCTTGGGGGGTGAAAGCAAGCACACAAGATGAAGGGTGTCACAATGCAGCTGGGCAGTGCAGCGGCCAGCATCATCTATGCAGCCCAGACCTCAGCTTCCAAAGGCAGATGGTTGACAGAGTCAGCGGCTGCAACAAAACTCTTAGTTTCTTTTTTGGCTGTATTTGGCCAGCTTTGTTGTCGAGAGTCAGAGGACCCCATTCTGAACTCTGAACTCTGGACTCGGGCACACAAACAACACGGTGTATTGCCTTGGGCCTTGGGCTCAGCTCACCTACTGACAAGGACTGTGCGGAGGCAATTTTCCTTCATATCTAGAAGGCAGCCCCAGATCCTCATCCACTCATTGGTCTCTGTATCCGTCTCGGCCATGGCGTCGAGTAGTGTGTAGAGGTGCTCATTGTGAAAGCAGAAAGTCGGGCTCTGTTTCCACTGTTTTGACCACACCCATTCTGCAAAGTTTGCCTCCCATGTGCCAGGTTTAAGCCTCAGCACAAGTGGCATGGCTACAGAAAACCAATCGTTTAGTTTAGAACAATCGAACTGCGCAACCTTTGGTTATCCACCAGGTAGCGGCTTTGGTTCAGCGCTGCCAGGGTTTGGTGGCTCATCCACGAACACATCGCTCAACCAAATCTTGGTCATTAGGTGGTTGCAGTCCGCCATGACTTGTTTGAGCTATCAAGGCTTCTATCCACGAAATCGGTGTAGTGCAATGCAGTGTTGAACAATTCAATTCTGACAACTTTTAAGCTCTGACAACTTTTTCCATCAAAGCCAACAGTCAACCAACAGCTGTCACTTGAGGTCTGAGCAGCCGCAGAGTGCATAAGCCCAGGAGTCGGAGCATAGCCCGGGAACCTGGCAACATCAGGTCAGGTCTGGGTCTGAAATGTGTAAACAGTATGGTACAGGGTGCTGCGAATTGACGTGGCTTTTTCTGCTAATTAACAAGCGCCTCTGATATGTTACTTGCCAGCCGGTGGCAAACACCAATGCGGCTTGGAAGATGGCCTGGAATCTACAGCTCCACTCACTGACGGCTGCAGCCAAGAATTGGTGGACCATACAGCTTTCCGCTTCTGGCCTCTGGTCTCTGAGTCTGGGGCTCTGTGCTTTTCAGCGGTGTTGCTGAGCCAAGCCTTGACTGCTGCAGTTCCCATTGCTGCTGGGTACGCCGCAGACTTGTCAAGCAGGGTCTTCAAGCCTTTGAATCGGTTCTTGCCGTGGCAATCAGTCCAACGTTCAGTCAGGTAGATGTGGTTTTTTCCCTTGGCAAGGGCAAGGCTTGGCCAGCTTCTGAACCCATGCAGCTGGCCCCCACGAATTTGTACTTCTTCCACAGCCTTTTCCCTTTTGCAGCAGACACATCAAAAGCGCAGCGATGGGTCACAAAGCTCACCAGCTTCATGCTGGAAATAGCTGCCCGGAGCACGGGGAAGTTGAAGATAGTGCTGCTAGGTGGGTTCTCAAGGATGACCTCAATGCCTCGAAACTGTGCCAGCTGCATGAAGAAGGCGCACGCCTTTGCTTGCAGATTGCCCTCTGCAACTTTTGGGTACGTTGTGTCACCTTGGAAGTTGTTCTTGTGTGACCGCAAGGTCCGGCTGATGTTGAGGCCCACCCATGATGAGCAAACAGGCGCAAGCCAAAGCAACCCTCCAAGTGCCAGCTGCATGACTAGCTTCACCGCATTCACAAACCCAGCCTTCACAGTCAAGTCTTCGCAGCTGCGCCCTGGAATGTTGGTGCGGCCCTCAATTCTGAACTTGTCGAAGGGTTGGGAAGAAAGACCTGATGCAGTCGCTGCTGCTGCCACACTTCCCACACCGGAGAAGATTTCGACTACCTTCAAATCTCGCGGCAAGCCATTGAACGTTGGGTCACTCAACACAGAGGCCACTGTGCAGCCAAAAAGCACCAAGGCAGCCATGTCCAGGTCAGAGCTCAGTCTCTGCACGCCAGACTCTGCTTGAACCGAAACTAAACAAGCACTTTAAACCTGGGAAGTTGAAACTTCAATCCAACTCACCCCTGCAACTTTCCTAGGCATGACTTCACTGTCAGACCTTTTCACCTTTCTGCCTACCTGCGGCTCTCCGCGCTCAGCACTCTGCTATACGCGGCTGAATTTTACTAGCATTTGCCATGACACATTTGGCAAATGGTTAAAGTATGGGTTGCGTGTGCTTGGCAGCGGCAGCTCTCTCTCAGCTGCAGCACTTTCCAAGAACCCATCTTCTCATGGAACAGAGTCACGCCCACGGGCTAAAAAGCGCAGCTCTCTCCCCTTTCTCGTGAAGATGGTGTCTTGGTCTTGGCCTATTCAGTTGGGTGGTTGAGAGGATGATCTGTTCAAACCACGTCTAGCTACAGTATATACTGTGAAGATTTTCTGGAGACGTGCTCTTTACAGCTAAAGCGCACAATGGGCGGTGCATATCCCAGTGGATCGCTGTCGAGCTTCAATCTGTGATTGCATCTGGGAGATTTCCAGACCATGAGCGGTTGATTCTTGCATCAACAGCAATGTCTCTTGGTGCAACTGATGTACTTGTCCTGCATTAGATGTTCTTCCCATGTCCCTCCAAAAAATCTCCTCGCTGATGTTGGAGAGCTGCAGCAAGCAAGGACCGCCATCGTACGATTTTTCTTCATCATGGAGGATAACCCGCGTCACATGCATCTTGTTTGATTAGTTAGTTAGTTTTGGTTGCATTTAATCGGTGAAGTCGCCAATAGGATATATACCTTTCCTTGTTAATTTGATCCAGGTCGGAAGGGGCATCGCGTGACCTTTGGAAAGAAGGGCTACTCTTTTTGGAAGCGTATAAGGGCCTGCAAATGCTGAGTGTCAGGCAGGTTCGGGGTTCATGGATGGACAGTGTATCAAAACAAACAATGCCTGCAGGCTCAACAAATGGGAGTTCCTCCTACGTCCCAAGGTGCATGAGCCTTTGTTGCATTTGTTCACTGAGTTCTACTTTGCCACTGTATCATTGGCTGGGTGGAATGATGGTTTACTTTGATCATCTAAGATGCTTGCACACCTAGCGTGGAATGCTCGCACCTATAGAATCTTGGCATTCGGAATATTCCTTACACTGAACAAACACTGCAGCTCAGAATGTGTGGTTGCAAAAGGTCGACACGTCAAACCGTGAAATGCTAGTATGGCCAATAAGGAGCCAACCCTCGATATACGCACTGCTTCCACGATGAGGACGCGATGCGCTGGTTGAAGTGTGTCTTCGATGAACTTTGGAGCTCATTGCAGCTGATCAGTTGGTGCAGGGCACATGAGTTGATGTTCGATCACATCTGAGGCGTGTGCAACCAATCCAGCATGAAGTATAGATCGAGATGGGCTTTGCGTTGTGGGCGTCTACAGTTGAAGGCCATGAAGCTCCGCGCTACGCAGTGGCTTGTTCTCCCATAGAGCATGCTTTTGACTTGGTTCATTTGCCGGGTTTGTGTGGGATCCATCTAGTAATTCTCACCCAACGTTTTGATCAACCTAAGGCTGAATCTCTCATCTACCTCACGGCGATGACAAGCTGGCAAAGCCAGCTTGAACACTTAGCCAAGAAAAGGGGAGCGTGAAATGTCTGTTGGCGAAACCGACATTTTTTCAAGGGTGGTTGGACTTGTAGGGTATATATATATATATTATATATACCCTAGAAGTCCAAACACTATATTTTGACCGGCTGAAGTAAAGGACATTCCTTTTCGGGTCACCTAAAGACCATTCTTTTTATGGTCTTTGACTCCCAGGGTATATATATATATAATCAATGTCCTCCTTCTAACTCCATGTCAGGCCCCTCTTCCGAGAAGAAAGACACCCGGCGGCCCGTTTCAACAGACGCCCTGCGCCACCGGTGAATCAGTCCCACTCCGAGGAGCGGGTCTCCACTCCTCCCCGGTGGTCCGACCGTTAGACCTCCGGGCACCGCGGGCATCACTCACGTCTGACGTGATGGAGGTGATGGATAACATCACCGGTGTCACGTAGATTCTCGTATGGAAACACATGCGTCAGTATACAGCTATAGAACATGCACCCCTCCGCACGTGCCCATGTGCGTGGTGGTTTCCGTTCTGTTGCGCCGTGCCGGAACCCCAAAACCACGTCGTCCATGTCGTCCCGTGCTTGCGGACGAGGTTCCCTCGTGGCGTGAAGCTGTTTTTCAAGATTCAATCCTCTGCCAAGAAGCTGGAGGCAGGGTCAGATCTGGTGGATCTGAACACTTCCAGATCGGAGGTAGCGATTTCGAAAGAACTTCGGTGCAATAGAGTGCGGCATAGTGTGCTGTGAGCCCCAAACCAGAAAAAACAACACCCCCGAGATGAGCTTCCTTCATGCGAGTCTCCGCTTGGGCGTGGCCAGAGGGAATGGACTTGGGGAGGAAACAAGCCCAACAGGCCACACGTCCGTCGAAGAAACAATGAAAAGACACCATGCAGTGTGTTGGAGAAGGACTTGGGGGAACAAGTTCAGATCCTTTTCCCTTCCAGGCACTCAAAAGGCATATCAAGGCATCCACGTCCCAAGAAACATCGGGGCGTCACAGAGCCGTTGAGAGTGACGCCCGGTCCGCCCTGGTAACCCCCGTTGGGTCCTCAGGTCCTGGTGAACGAGAAGGTCTTGGTGTCCAAAGCCGTGTCCAAGTTACTGGAGGACGACATTGCGGGGCTCTGGCCGACGGACCGGGCGAAGATCAAAGCCGAAATCCGTGGCTGGCTTGATGACTCGCCAGATGAGCAGCAGCAGGCACCAAAAGGACCTCCAGCATTTGGAGGTCATAATGTATATACCGTATATTGTTACAATAGACCGTGTATATAATATAACTACAGGTATATATATATATATTACTTTCTTGTTTGTAATTTAAATATTCCCTTTGTTCTTCCTTTTTTGGGTGGGGTCATTTGACAATGAAGTGTGTGAGATGAGTTGTGGGATGCCATCCAGCTGAAAAAGGCATTCACGATCCTCGATGTGTGGGGCATTTTCTGATCCAACTCGCGTTTACGAGACCCTACAGGTCAACAGTACTAAATGAGGTCAAGGACCAGGTTTCACGAGCGGTCCTTGTTTCTCGGGTTTTGTTGATAGATCGACGATAGATCTTCCCTTCTGTCCGGTACTACGAGGCACTGCCCTTCTGTCCTTTTCCCTTTGTGTGGGGCTCCACAGGCTCCCAGCGAGAAAGACCCCTCCGTGCGGGAGAAGACGGGGAGCAGTGCCTTGGAGATCGTGGGCTCCATCTCGGTGATCCTCTCCGTGGGGGTGGCGATCTATGTCTTCACGTATTTCCTTTCACTGGGCCTGAAATCTGGGCCGCGCAGTGAGGAGTCAGGAATGGAGAACTATGAACTGTGATTAGCTTTGATGAGCTCTGATCAGTTCATTACTGCTTGGTTTCAAGCAGCAGCATTTGGTGCCTTTACCTTGCCAGCTCCTCTCAAAATGGGAGGGTCGCCCCCCTGCCACCTCAGTTTGACACCAATCCTTTTTGTGTATACCCCTTATATTTTGGACACGGGCAAGCCCCCCCCATTCTGAGCTCTCTCCGCAGCTGATGTGCCGTTTGACCTTGCAAGTTGATACCAGTTGTTTTGACCAGTCACCCGTGCATGGCTCCCCCCAGCCACAAGGCTGCTGATGGGGAAAAAGACCGTAAATGGAGAAAGAGAATGGTTCAAAATGAGAGGTCTCGACCTGCGCCACCAAAGAGGTATAAATTTTGATTTGGAGGCAGGTAGCACACACGCCCCACTGCCACATCATGTTTGTAGGCAGACATCCGGCACACATGTCTCCTTCCAAGCATGTCTCACCTTCCGTCCGCATGAACTTCTTCGGCTCGTCAGGACGAACCTCAGCCGACCAATATCTACTTGGCTGACCCCAAGTCTGGAGCTCAGAACCGTCCGCCTCCACCACTTCCGACACCGACGGACACCGGTCGATCCCGCGTTCCAAACGACCTGCGCGACCGCTCCGAGGCCCCTTCTGAGACGAATTCCCTGAGCGCCAGTGGTTCGCTGGGGGTCACTTGCGTCGAACGATGCGACCGAACTGCGGCCAAACCACCTGAGTGGGGCCAGCGCCGCTGTGTTTCAAGAGGGGCCTCCACTCTCAGTGCAGTCTGGGTGCACTGGCCTTTAGGTGAATGTAACGAAAAAAGAACACACAGAGAGAGACCAGATACGGAATTGGCGCAAACCAACCGTGGTTGTGATAGTCACACATAGTCAGACCAGTTTCTAGGACTTTAGGGACTTTCCAAGTCGCAGACTGCTCCAGTGCCAGATGAGTCTCGTAGACGGAGTCTCGTTTGGTCTGCCAGTTTTGTAAAGTCGCTCTCTCCACCACGGCTCGCAGCCACTTCTGGAGCTGCTCCAGCAGCGCAGGCTCGTTCGCAAGCCGCAAGCCGCTCCCGTCGCTGTCGTGCCAAGAGTGGCTCCGCGTTGCAACAAAAGACAAGGCGCCTTCTTGACTCCTGTGGAGGGACAGGACCCCACGATTTTGATGTGTCCTTTCAATTGAAAGGCTGCAAGCATAACTGCCTCAAGACTTTTCTGACCGAGGTTTGTACTGTGCGTACTGAAATTCAGACTTGTGCAGCTTGCTTGGCCCAAACTGAGAGCCCTGCTTGAATCTTGCAGCCTCTTCCCACCTACCTGCGTGAAAACCAACTCAGAAGTGAATGGACACGCAGTTTTCTATTAAGGGCCCTAATTAATACATACTTTGATTTCGAGCTTTGGCCAGCTCTGTAGACAAGTGTGGTCATACGAGCTTGAAGATGGCATCCAAAAAGTCTTCTGTTCCTGGCTCAGTGTGAAAAGCGCCTCTCGAAAACACGCTCAGCTGGGAAGTTTGGCTCGCTCCGCTTCAATGCACAAGGTTCTTGGTGTTGCTTGCCTGGCGTCGACAGCTCAGTGGGAAAAATGGGATCCCATCGAGACACTGAGCGAGAGAGAGAGGAGAAGAGGCATGAGGCAGCCGAGCTTTGGATGCCTTGCTACCATTAGTAGCTTCTTGTTGGCCTCCAACCTGCTTGCGATGGCCTCCCTACTTGCGATGGCCTCGACCTAGCATCCTTGCTAGTAAGCACAACTCTGCACTTCAGAGGATGCACCCCGACCCATTTTCCACGGAGTTGAAGTTCACTCTTTGTTTATTCCCCAAGGCCACTTTCCAATTTCATTTGGTTGGTACCACGCATGATTGCTGGGCACCTGTTCCAGTTCCACCGGCCTGTTTTTCGCGTCCCAGGTAAATCGCCTCACAAGAATGGCCGAGCAGGCGCCACGACTCGTGACATGCGAATGGATCATTTAGTTTCAGATGGGTTTGTGAATCACTAGGGGGGATCCCCTTTTATGATCTATAGCTTGTGGCATTTGATATATACGTGTCGTGCAGGAATTAGTGACAGTGGGCAGTTCGGGAGCTGGTTCGTTGGTGGGTTGTTTTGCTAGTTGTTTCCCGAAGCAGGTGAACACCTGTGGGGATTTCTTACTCCTTATCTGTGGGTGCTAGCTTGCTGGTCGTAGGATTTTCTCCGCTTGTCTCTCGTTGTCTCCGGCTGTGCTGGGTTGCTTTTGCGATGTCTCCGGTTGTCTTCAGGCGTGCTGAGTTGCTTGGGTCGTCTCTTTTGCGATGTCTCTGGCTGTGTGGCTGTGCTGGGGCGAAAAGGTGCTTGAGTCACCTGTTTGAGACCTGTGTGTTTGATTGTCTCTATTTGTCTGAAGGCCGTCTCGTTTTTCTCAACACTTGGCTACTGTACTTTTAAGTATTGTTTTAAGATCTTTTAAGCTTTGAGGTCTTGTGAATCTTGAATCAAAAAGATCTTCAAGTTGTCTTGAAATTATGTTTTCTTTGAGCCACACCCACCTCATCAACATCACCTTCGTGCAGCCCATCGTCTGCTTTGCTTTTGCAACTCCTCAGCACTGGGCCTTGTGATGCTTTTGTCCACTTGCAGGTTTGCAAATGCTCGACTACCCAACTGACAGATGCACATGATAACATCACCAGCTCAAACCAAATAGACTTGCTGTGCCCTTGCACGACCACCGCGAAAGCTGGGTGGAGCATGCAGCCGGTCTTGGAGAAATGCAAAGCCAGAATGGTTCAGGGATGTCAGTTGGTGTGCATTCACCGATTTCTGGAAGCGACTGACCTTTGCTCAACCGTGATCTATTCTTTTGCGGTTTGTGTTCGAAGCTTCACTGCCCAAGATGACCATGTAGCCTTTGGGCTGTTTGTTGCGGCGGCCGTATCACTTGCCACTACATTGTTGTGGATTGTGATGATGCCGCTCTACACACAAGTGTTGCGCATCATTGAGGACATTCCCGCCCTGGTTCTTGCGGCAATCGATGTTGCTGAGTTCGGAGGCAGCTATTTTGCAATCTTCAATCTTGCCACTTCTGCATGCATGCTTTTGCGCTTGGTCCAGCCGCTGGTCAAACCACTGTGTGCAGCCACTTTTGTTGTGGCAGAGGCCCAAACAGAGGACAGCCATCCAGATCAAGAGGCTCCACCACCAGTTGTCCCAAATGTTGCAGAGAACGGGCCAGATGAAGTCGTAGCTCTGCCAGGGCCGGAGCCACCACAACCGAAGACTCATTCAGAACCAGATCCAGAGGTCAGGTATGTGGAGACACCTACCTGCGACGATCAAGCGCCAGTTCCAAAAGTCGCAGGAGAGGTGCCAGATGAAGTCCCAGCTCTGGAGACGGAGCCACCACAATCAAAGACCCTATCCCGTCCAGAGCCAGATCCAGAGGCTCAGAACTGGGGCGACAAACACATCTTCCTGTCTGGGCGCTTTACACATGAATGGATCTTGGACTACATGAGCAGAGTGCAAGAGAAGCTTGAAGAGCGTGGACTTCCAGTCTACATGGTAAAGGCAGGTGGTGGAGAAGATTTTGCCATGATGACCTTGGAAGGCTTGCACCGTGCGAAGGTAATGGTTGCATTTTGCACCCAGAAATATGGCGAGAGGACCAAGGGCACATGGGAGACTTTTGAGGAACTCATGCATGCAAGACGCGAGCACATTCCGGTCATTCCAATAAAGCTTGAGGAACCGTATCCACCTCAGCCAGGTGGAATTGGGGGCGAGCTAAATAAGATAATGTTCACCGAGCGAGTGTACATTGATGGTCAATCCCTTGATGAGCCTAAAGCTTTGGACGCAGTGGTGGAGAAGCTCGTAGCTGCAGTGAAGAAGCATTGGCAGGACTTCGGCTCCATGGAGAAGAAACTTATCATTTGCAGCGATGACGCTGAGTCCTTCAAATCTATCCCGACTGAGGAGCTTGACAAAGTGGGAGACGCACAATTGACGTTTGACCCTGACACCCAGACATTTGTCTCAGCCCGAAGTCAAGACTCTCCAGTCGAGGTCTCGATCCCTGAGGAGGAGCCAGTTGAAGACCTTGAAAGCAAGAGAGGTGTTGGGCGTTGTTTGGTTATGTAGGTCGAATTGCTCCGGGCAATTTGTTCGGCTTTTGACCTAATCAATTTTCTTTGTTTGATAGCATGGGGCTTGTGCAGACCCACAATTTTTACATCCCGTCACCTGTACAGAAGTTTTGGTGCATACCAGATGTGTCTAGCGAGTCAGAAAATCAGAGTCAGTGTTCAACATCAGATTTGATTTTGTACTGCTTTTCTTTCTTCCCTGTTAAGCAGCTGCCCCTTTTGCCCATCTCAGGCAAGTCTTTCTTGGCGGTGCGTCCCGAGAGAGCTTGGAGCTCCATAGCCACTTCTTCACCTGACGTTTGACAGTTGTTCAAGCTTCAGTCCACTGGGGAGGGCAGTTTACTTACAAATGTTTTGCAGTACGGTACATGATGTGCACACTCTGACATTGGTTTTCAGTTAGCTCAGTTCCCAAGCTGAGAAGGAAGGTGATGGAACGGCAAGGCGAGGGGTCCAAAGATTTGAAGATGTTTGAACAAAAGAGTTTCCCACTTGACTGCGGTGACATGCTGCAAAACGCGCTGCTGCTGAAAGCGGCTGAAGGAAAATGGTTTGAGGGGTAGTAGCATGAAGAAAAAACCATGGAACCAACGAACAGCGGCAGGGTGGACCATTGGTGTCAATGTGTTGATCTGCAGGTACAGGATCAAGCGTCCTTGATCCCTTCCCATCTGTGGTCGTAGCTTCGTTGCGTGCAGTGGACCACAGATGCTGCACGCCCCTGCGACTAAGTCCCTTTGAAACAGGGTTTTACACACACACACACATATGATGCCAAACAAGTGTTTAAACCAACAACAGTTTTCCAATCTACTTGTCCAAAGGGTCACAGACATTGTGGTCGAGGTGGATGGGACGTCATCGTGCCCATCATTGGATTTCTTGACAAGTAAGGAGGAGGGGCGGGCCTGCAAGGGTCCAGCTACAACGCCGCCCCAAATTTTCAACTCAAGGGGTGGCAAAGCAAGGTGCTGACCTTTGGTCGCAGGCATTTTGCTGGCTCCAAAGGCTGACAACAAGATGATGTTACTCATATGATGCCAACAATCACCGGCTGACGCGAACAAACCAACACAACCCCAAACACTAAACGATGCGCAACCCCACAGACACTTGTAAAAGTACAGCCATGTATACAGATTTGAGATGCTGCTGACCTGCTATTTGGTGGATGGCATTGACAAACATTGATGAGCACAGACAACTATGGCCAGATAGTTAAAGCATTACACCAACTTAACGCTCCAAGAAGCACTCAACGAAGTTGAAAGCAGATGGACATCGGACGGAACCTGTAACCAAGAAACAGTTGGATGAAGATTGCCTCAAAAGCTACCACCGAAAGAACCTTGGACCTGACACAACACCCCAACTCAAAAACCGCATCCTTCAAGATGCATCAAACAGTCATGACTCCAATTTGAAGCATTCCGAGCAGATTGCATCAGACTGCCTATTTACCTTTTGAAATGGAGACATATTCAATCAGAAAGGATGATGAGAACAAACTCAAGACATATGAGACGACTTTCTGCTTTGACAGGGGCAAGCCACTCACGGACAGACCAAAAAGGACACCCAACAATGTTGAGCAAGCAATAATTCAATAGGATACGAGAATTGCGAACTGGAAGCCAAAGAGGCCTTCAGAATTCAGGTTGACAAGGCTGGATAAGAATGGCCTTTTCTACAGCCGTAGTGGCTTGTCCTGGTAGCCCTTTGTCATGGCTCTATGGTGAGGAGAGGTTTCTCTGAGTCCACCTGCTCTCGACCCCCCCAACTGCTTGAGTGGACTCATGGTCAGGGCACCGGTGACAGCAACTCCTGCTGCTACTATAGCATATTATAGCCATAGAGAATCCAGGTCTGCTCCAGTGCCAGATGAGTCTCGTAGACGGAGTCTCGTTTGGTCTGCCAGTTTTGTAAAGTCGCTCTCTCCACCACGGCTCGCAGCCACTTCTGGAGCTGCTCCAGCAGCGCAGGCTCGTTCGCAAGCCGCTCCCGTCGCTGTCGTGCCAAGAGTGGCTCCGCGTTGCAGCAAAAGACAAGGCGCCTTCTTGACTCCTGTGGAGGGACAGGACCCCACGATTTTGATGTGTCCTTTCAATTGAAAGGCTGCAAGCATAACTGCCTCAAGACTTTTCTGACCGAGGTTTGTACTGTGCGTACTGAAGTTCAGACTTGTGCAGCTTGCTTGGCCCAAACTGAGAGCCCTGCTTGAATCTTGCAGCCTCTTCCCACCTACCTGCGTGAAAACCAACTCAGAAGTGAATGAACACGCAGTTTTCTATTAAGGGCCCTAATTAATACATACTTTGATTTCGAGCTTTTGGCCAGCTCTGTAGACAAGTGTGGTCATACGAGCTTGAAGATGGCATCCAAAAAGTCTTCTGTTCCTGGCTCAGTGTGAAAAGCGCCTCTCGAAAGCACGCTCAGCTGGGAAGTTTGGCTCGCTCCGCTGCTTCAATGCACAAGGTTCTTGGTGCTGCTTGCCTGGCGTCGACAGCTCAGTGGGAAAAATGGGATCCCATCGAGACACTGAGCGAGAGAGAGAGGAGAAGAGGCATGAGGCAGCCGAGCTTTGGATGCCTTGCTACCATTAGTAGCTTCTTGTTGGCCTCCAACCTGCTTGTGATGGCCTCCCTACTAGCGATGGCCTCCAACCCTGCTTGCGATGCGATGGCCTCGACCTAGCATCCTTGCTAGTAAGCACAACTCTGCACTTCAGGTGGGGGCTTTTGGTGGCGGCACCTGCTTTTGCAGGCGCCACGATGTTTTCGACCGTGGGGTCTGATCGGGAAGATGGACGCGCTTGGAGAGACAAAGATCGCTCGCTTGGACACCTCAGTCGCAGGTTTTTGTAAGAATGGTGAGAAAAAGAGGTGAATGGGATATTCCCTGCGAAAACCAACACCTGTCCCGCCTCATGCATTTGGTATTTGAGAGGAACACCAGGGCCTCTTTAGGACGTAAAGAGACCAAACAAACATCCAAGGAACAATAAATACCATTCAGTTGCCCTTGGTGAAGCGGTTTTTGCCCTTGGTGGCTGCCAGGCTTCGCGTCCGCTTCATGTCGCCGCGCAGCCCAGGCTTCAGGGCCTCAGGAACGTATCGACGCCCGGCCGGGCGGCCAGGCTTGAAACAGCGTTGAAAGGCTCCAAAGTCACAGCCGAATTCACCACAACATCAGCCTCTGTTTCTGTTTTGTCGACACCTTTTGTTGACGTATCCTCTTCTTTTTCATCATCGCTTTTTGGACTTTCACATTTTCACGGATTGTTCATTTTGATTTTCTCCGACGGTGGCTTGTGGGCCCGGCACCTGCGCTCAAGCAGCCTTCTTCGAAAAACATGCGCAAGGGGGGAAAAGGCAGAGTACAAGTCAGGCTACCTTCATCAAGGGAGATCGTTTCTAGCAGAAGACATGAGTCACTCAGTTCCGCATTGGTTTATTTGTTGAGTGACTGGGGACCGCACTGACAACACTTGGATTCCGCAACTCTTCACTTTGAAGGAAGGACCTATCCAATGTTGCTGGCATTCCGCTCGTTGGAGAAGAGCAGCCACGGCAGCCGATGGCCTGGCTGAACAGAGAGATCACATGGGCAGCAAATGAAGGCTCTGACTCCCTGTTGGTCCTCATTGGGCAGCGGTCAGACTCTTTCAATGCCATCAATATTGCCACAGCACTCCACCGACTAGCGCGATTGCATGGGGCAGATGGAGGTAAAGGATTGTTAGCTCAGTCAGATGCTTTCAAGTCCTTGATCGTTAAGACGACGAAGGTACTCGGCATGCCCGCCACCGAGTGTGATGCCAGAGCAGTCTCAACAATTGCTCATGCAAGTGCCGGCTTGGGGCTGCGTGATGCTACTCTGACAGCCGCCATTGTGGACGCTTCTTTGGCACGTTTGCCAGATTTTGACCGGCAAGGTGTGGCCAATCTGGCCTGGGCTTTGGCCAAACTGCCCAGAGTCAAGGGGCGGGCCAAGTTAGGGAAGCAAATCGCCTCCTCATCGCATGCTTTGGTGTGGGACTTTTTACCCCAAGAGCTTTGTAATGTCTTATGGGCCCTTGGAAAGCTGGGCGTGCGCGATAACAAGCTCATGTCGCTCGCCAGTGAGGCGGCCCAAGGTCAGGGCTTGGAGACCTTCACGCCTCAGGGCTTGTCGACCTTGGCGGCGGCCTACGCGCGCGTGGGGGTCTTCGTGGAACCGTTGCTGGAAGCGATCCGGAGCCAGGCCGAAGAGAGGCTGAAGGAGTTGAACTGCCGCGACGTGGCACAGCTCGTTTCTCTTGGCGAGACGGGGGGTGAGAAACAAGATGAAACAAGAGACAGCGGTGTTGACGGGGGGGGCGGAACCTCTTTTTTTCCCTTTTGCTGCCTAACATCAGCGACTTAAGCTATGATGCTTCTGCTTCAAGGTCAAGGGGCGTTGGTACTTTTCTTTGGCACTCTTGTTCCACATCACCTTGCGGCGTGCCCGGCAGAGGGCAAATCACAAACAGGCTTCTCACTGAGCCCCTGTTCAAGCCTTTGGTTCCCGAGCAAGGTCAATGTGTCAAAGAATCTATCGACCAAATTCTTTTGTCCCTCAATCGAATGACCAAAAGCATCCAAAAACGTCACAAGCGAGCAGATTTTGGTAGGAGGTACATTGTTCACATTCTAGTTGCATCATATTGCTCGACACCAAACTGGCTAGCTGGCTGGCTAGTCAACCTTGCAAGCTCTTGTTGGGGGGATAGGATGGCTGCTTCAAACGCTACAGCACAAAGACTAAGGTTTGGAGTCATGCGAAGTTCAAGCTTCTTCGCGAAGATTTCCTGCAGAAGCTTTGCAAACGTGCTGGGAAGCTGCCTTTGACCGAAGGTCAGGGGCTATCCGGGTATGTCCAAGCTGTTTTCTGAGGTTCAAAACTCCTCCAACAAGAAGCCATAGAATTATGTAGGGATATTTTCCTCCACTGGATGGGAGTTCTTCCATCCTTTTTCGGGCGCGCATCGCGGGCTGATGCCTTTTGTTTGGGGGAGCTTCACCAACAGGACCAAATGGACCATGTGACTTCCATGGATTTCAATGACATTCCTGCCTTGCTGCGAACTGCGGGGGCCACCACTGCTTGAGTCTGCTTGAGTGCTTGGTGAAGGGAGACAATTTGAGACAATTGAGGCTTCCACCCCTGGATGCTGGACCGTCATGTGGGGTGGAAACCAACCCCCCATGTGACGATCCCTGCTCCGGGGTCTCCGGAGCAGCCCGCCAGCGGCCCATTCGAACGGTCTTCGGGTCGCTTTGGTCTTCGCGTCGGATCGCTCCTTGGAGGTGGTGCGGAGCTAGTGGTCTCGCAGCTTTTGTGGTCCTTTGGAACTCTTCGATGGGTGAGCCCGGCCAGTGTGTTTCTGAACTTTTCTTTTAAAGCAAAGCACAAGGGATGGGAGTTTGCGAGCCGGGTGTTGACCGCCAGGTGTCCCGCAGACTCTGCAGACTCCGTAGACCATTGAAACCAGTATAAACTATAAACCCAGTGCGTTTTTGCCGAGACTTAGTTCCTGTTTCCAGTTGGTTTTTGGAATCCTATGGATGGAGAAGAATCCAGGCCCTGATCCTCCAGCCCTGACCTATGAAACACCCGGTAGTTCATGGTAGTTCCTTACAGAAGCTCTCCATGCAGTGGTTATCCATGTGAACTTGGGATGTCCATCAACCTTCCTCTCGAATGACACCTCCTCCCCCTTTCTGGAATTGGATCAAACAGACTGATCACCTGCCGCCACTCATCCCTCCTCGTCTCCCCTCATCATCCCCCCCATCCATGACTGCTGAGCACTTCCCAGGTGCCTCCAGGGCCGCTGCTGGGCGTTTTGCTCGGCCAGGCCCGGCAGTTGGCGGAGGGCTTTGGCGCGCACCGCAGCGTGCGGCTGCTGACGGCACTCGCGAAACTGGCCTTTCTGGTGGAGGGTGACAGCAATCAAGGTGAGGGTGTGTGTGGATGAGTGGAGACAACTAAGGACAAAGATGGATATATAGCTTTTTTTTTGGGTCTCAGGCATGAAATAGCACCATTTAGACAACACCAATTATATAAGCTTCTCACTGACTGGTAGCCAGCAGAGTTGTTTTTTGGATATTAATTAGTCTTTTCTTCCAGCTGTTGATCTCTCCCCCAAGAGCTCTTATATCAAACCCTCTGAGCTTCACTTCCTAGCAGTCTTAACACCACCGAGGCCTACAGGAGGTGGCATTGGCCTTGGCAGCCAATGTCGAGCTGCTACACATGCGTATGGGAGCGCAAGAAGTGGGGATCAGCGCTTGGGCTCTGGCCACTCTGCAGCCCAAAGGTTGGCGCAAAGTGCTTCGAGGCCGAGGGAGCGAAGGGGTGCGTGCTATCTCCGCCATCTGGATGTATTTGGGATCGGTAAGAGTGCTGGGGGTTCACTGTTTTCATGCTGTTTCTATATTGCCCTCTACATCCACATCCGCATCTACCCCTCTCTCTCTCTCTCTGTCTGTCTGTCTGTCTGTCTGTCTGTCTGCCTGTTACATGGAAACAGTCATGATAATTGTAGTCTAAAAAGTTCAGTGCCCAGTTTCTGTTGAATCACTGAAATTCACCGTCCTCCCACCACTTGCAGGTGCTCCACGTATTCCATACGTGTTCCATCCTTTTCTTTGTTGAACACGAGAGGCCCTCCAAACCCTCGAGTCACCTTTTGCAGGTCTGGTGGAGCGAGCAAACCAGGAGCAGATCCTGAGCGAGTTGAACTGGTGGTCTGCGGCCCACTTGGAATATGCGCTCCGATCCCTCTCACCACGAACTAGTTCGTCGGCTCCCACGGAGCTCTTGACATCCCTCACCCTGCTGTGCCGAGAGGAAGCGCAGCGGATCCGTGTGGAGAGCAAGGCCTTTCGAGAGAGGCCCCTCCAAGTGGCAGCGGAACTGCAGCCCTGGAGGGCCTCGAAGTTGCCTCCTGGAGCTTCAGTCCTCCTCTTCGGCCCCAACCGCCACCTGCGCCCCGCGCTCCTGCAGGCGGGCTTGCGCTGCGTCCTCTGGCGCCGCTTCGCCTCAGGTCGGTGCCGGGCCAGTGCCTGGCCGGAGCTGGAGGAGGTGGTGGAGAAGTCTCCGCCCTGCGCGGCGGCGATGCGATATCCGGACTCGGGGGAGTCCTTTGAGTTCGCCTTAGATGCCGTCGCTGCCCAACTCCCAGAGGGCGCGCCCTTGTGGGTGTATGGCGACGTCCGTGAAGGCGTGCTCAGCACCACCCGTGCCTTGCGGGGCCTCTTTCGCCTGGAGGCGATCCACGAGGAGAAGGACTGCCGCGTGATCTCGGCGAGGAGGGCCACCGGCGCGGCGAAGGGAAGCTTCGAGGCCTGGCTTCGGAAGGAGACGCTGGACCTGCTTGGACAACCTCAGGAGTGGTGGTCGGTGCCTGGTCTCTTTGCTGCGGGGCAGGTGGATGTGATGACACAGTATTTGTTGGACACTATGGTCTCAATCAAGACATCGGATGAAGCATGGCAGCTAGCTGAAGGCGAAGCGTGTAGCGTTCTTGACTTTGCCAGTGGAACTGGTATTCTGGCGGCCGGAGTGATGCGATTGCTGACGACGGGCCATGTATGTCTCTTGGATGCGGATGCTGCAGCGCTGGAAGCTGCTGGTCGAAATCTTCCAGAAGCATCACAGGTTCTGTCGGATGGCTTCAGATGTGACCTGGATCGCAGATTTAATTTGATCATCTCGAACCCGCCGGTACATCACGGCCATGCGGATGATTTGGATTTGCTGCTGGAGTTGCTGCGCGCCGGACCGCGCTTGCTGGAGGAGGGCGGTGAAATGTGGCTGGTGACACAGGAGCACATCCCCACAGGGCGGCTATTTGAGGTGGTCAACCTGGAGCAGGAGGGTCAGGAGAGAATTTCTAAAGGGGTTCACCTCAGTTCGAGGATGTTTTCAATTTCAGTTTCCACTGTTTCCACATCCTTTGCAGACCTGTTCGAGGGGGGTGAACATCCAGAGGTTTCGAAGATCATGTTGATTGATTGGACAGAATTTGCCGGAAAGCTGACAGGAGGAGAGCTCATCCTTCTACGAGAATGTGAGCATGTACCCAACTTGTGATGGTCGATTCATTGTTTGGCGTGCGGGACGCGGTGTGCGGCCAGTCTCGCGCCCACGCAAGACACACAAGCGCAGCTCTTGCGGGGCAGAAGATTGCACGCCACTCAAGCGGATCAAAAGAGAGAACATACCACGCGCCACGCGGATCAAAAGCGCCCAGAAATGTTGTGCCGCTCCAGAGATGCGTTTTCAGGACTTCGAAGCCTCTGGGACGGAAACTGGACTGGGACGTTGCTGACGATGCATGGCGCAAAAGGATGCAAAAAGGGATGGTTTTCAAGCGGGACACCGAGGTGAATTGCCTCACAAGAATGGCTGAGCCGCAGGTGGGACCGACACCCAAGTGATGGAGTGGGCAGGCGGTGGTCGGATGCAAACAACGCACGGAAAAGAGGTTGACCTCATGGTTTGGATTTTTAATTGGAAGGAGGAGGGGATAGCTTCAACATTTGGTATTTGGATGTATTTTGCACATTTACGGGAAGTGGGAATGTTTCCGCATGATATTGATTAATTTCTTTTCTGAAGTGGGCAGTGTTGCTGATGACTTGGCAGGCTGGAACACCCTACTTTCCACAAGAAGACCTTTTCCTAATTCCCCACCCCGCCTCCTCAAACTCCTGTAGCATCTTGGGTTTGACTTCTAGAGCTCCAAACTAACACCCTCTTTGTCGTTGTTCCGACACGTCGCGAGGGCGCTAGTGACAGCAACTCTGGCTACGAGCTCTGGGTGGACTTCCGACTGCAGCGCTTGCGGAAGCCGCTTACGAGTTGGGGTCAGCTGGCGTCTCAGGGACAGACGCAAGAGGGCAAGAGGGGGCCCAACTTGAAGTGAGTGGGTTTTTGCGCGTCTGGGCGGCGGCTTCATGTTCCATTGAGCACCCATCACTTGAGATCTGAAAAAGAAAGACAAGGAATAATAAGGAAAATAAAACATGAAACAAACACATTTAGGAGTTATAAATATGATTAAATAAGGAATAAACTGAATTAAACATCTAGAAACCTAATAATAAGGTGAACCCCCCAAGCATGACCTCTCTCATTTCGAGTTCTTTCTTGAAAAAGCATGTCCGCCTGAAGGCCAGGGCCCGTGTCGCCCGCGGTCGCCTCTTTGCAATCTCCCAAGGCGGGTGGAAGGAGCGACCGATCTGAGCAGAAAACCGGTCGAAGCGTCCGAGCCGCGAGAGGTGAAGGAAGGCTTAATAGATTTGGCACGGGACCTCAGCGGCAGAAGGACGGCCAGAAGGACTGGGTGTTGAGGATTCCGGTGGGTGCTGTGGTGTTAGTATAATTAGCGATGGAGAATCCAGGTGGGTCAATCTTTCATAGACCTGGAAACCTTTGGTTCTTGTTGGTGCTGCCTCTGCTGCGAACAGCTGCGTGCGCCGGGGCCCTTCAACTCCTTGTAAATCCCTTTAACACCTTCGTTGGCCCTCGAACTGAGATGCAGACGCAGCTTCTTGGGAAGCCCTTTTTGAGGCCAACAACCTGAAAGAGAAGTTCAACAAGATTGGCGTAGAGCTGCTTGGGTGATCAAAGTGGCTTTTGGCCAGCTTCCATCTGGCTGTTTTGACTTCGAGATGCTGGAAAGAAATGATTGCTTTGATGCAAGAAATTTTGATGTGTGCCAATCGCAATTTTGCAACTCAGGCTTCCAAAAGGGAAGATAATGAATGGTAGTGCTGGCCACGTGACTTTCTTTTTGCCCTATGCTTCTTTTGTTTTCAATGTGATTGGACCCTGTACCTGTCCTTGTCATGGATGACAGGTGTAGTGATTGACAAGAAGTTCGCGAAGGAGGCTTGGCAGAAGCGCTGAAAGCGACAAACATAAGTTATGCAAGTTTGTTGCAGAGCAATAGGATGTACCAAGGGATCTCGTGACCTCATGGTCAGACCCAAGAATTCCCATGGCAAACTTCCACCTTTTGCAAGATGGCATGAAAGGACATCATGATTCTCATGGATTTTCTCGATCTGAACATTTGGGCTCGACGCCCAGGGTCAACGACGCCCTTCGTCAACACCGGAACGACGCCCATGGCGCGAAATCCAGACCGATCCACCGGATCCGCGCGCGCGGCACGCGCAGGGTCCGAGCTGCTGCGGCTTCAGCAGAGAAGCCGCGAGCTGCAGCAGGAGGCCACGGACCTGGCGAGTGCCACGGCGCAGTGTGTGGAGGAGCTGCTGCACCACGCGGAGGAGCTGCGGATGGAGGTTCAAAGCCCACGGATCTCGAGTCCGAGTGTGGAACGGTGTCGCGAGAGGGCGGACAGGGAACGGTGTCCGAGTGGTCAGAAGCCATGGAGGAGTGATGGGAGATCTGGCAGATCGTTTGCCCATGCCTTACCCTTTGCTGATTGGCCCAGGTCTTCATGTTTGTCGTCCTCTTCTCGTTTGGGTTTGTCGTCCTCTTCTCCGGTCTGGCGCTTTGAGGACTTCATCCGACAGCAACGGGCGCAGGCGGATCTGCTGGCAGCCTCCGATGAGAGCAGCATGCAATTAGAAGAGGCGCTGGTGAGGGCACAACGTGCCATCGAAGAGACGAACTGTGCGCCTTCCACGCATCGATATCTACAGAGCAGTCTGCAGATCCTGGAAGCCATGGTGAAAGCTGAGGCCCGACGGCGCGCCTTGCTGACCTTGTAAATGCCAAAGTTGCAGATGACAAAAGTGAAGCTCAAGTGCTCAGAGAAGGGCTGAGAAGGGCTGAGAAGGGCTGAGAAGGGCTGAAGGGATGTCTTTGAAGGGGTGAATCTCAGCTGTATCCGAAGTCGTGCAGGTCTTGGAAGAAGTGCGGGATATGCAGATTCCTGTTTTCACCGCTCGCCCGGGAGCTTGGTATGCATTGTTTGTTACATGGACGGCTTGCGAGACATCCAATTCACACGCGTCGCGTCGCGCGGCGCGCGGCACTGAGGCAAAGAGGTGCAAGGAGCCCGTGGCCCTAGCGATCTGAGCGGTCCCAGCGACTTCGGATTTTCTGTCTTCCAAGCCTATGGGCTATCACTGAGGAAAGGATGGAAGGGAACTCCTTCTTTCTCTGCAAGGCTGCAGATGGCAAGTCTGGGTCTCCCAGCCCTCACGAGTCCACGCCGTCGAAGAAAACGCCTTAAGCTACCGGACCGTTTGAGGCCAGTAGCTTGCTTGGAGCCCAAGCAGGCCAGACGAGCGCCTTTGGCGTAGCTGCACCGCGTGGGTGGTCCAAGTTTGATGTGAGCAGTCGCATGGCAGATTCGCCTCTCCAGCGTTCAGCCACATGCTGCCGAAGATGTGTATAGCTTGGACGTCGCCTCAGCTGGTGGGGCGGGTGGACTCCCTCCGCCCTCCGCCCCGTGCCTGTCGGTGAAACCTAAGGAGTCAGACGATGTCAAGGCGGCCTCGGCCAGACTGCGGGGCTTTCGCCGTGTGACTGCGTCGTGCTGTGAAACTCCGTGCATCCAGGCAGACCGGGAGAAGGAAGAGGCAGACTACATGGAGCGGTATCGTGAAGGTGAGACTGCAAGCTTGTGACTACACTTGAGCAAGGGTCAAAACCCGCCTAATTGAGACATGAAAGAGCCTTGTCATAAGGCTTTCTCGCGTAAGCCAAAGACTGAGTCGCGTAAGCTCGCGTAAGCAGATTTTTCAGATCACATGTTGCGTAAGCATAGTCGAGAAAGTTGAAAACCATGTTTGGAATAGCTGTAGCCTTGATCAGGGAGATGTTGAGTTGCAGTCAAATGCATTTGTTCAAGAGCCAATCTGTTGTTTATTTGCTGGTGGGCCTATCAAGATGCACTGGCCAAAGGTTCACTGGCCAAAGGGCAAGAGAGCATGGCCTATCAACCATCAATGCAACTTTTAGAGAGATGCACGATAATCCGCGTAAGCTGCGCGTAAGCTCCGCGTAAGCTCCGCGTAAGCCTACTTTGTGTTTGTGAGTTACTTGCCCACAATGCCTCCGAAAGCAAAGCCTTTCTCTGAACTGCAATGGCGACAAAGACAGCGCGTCCTGCAAACTATTTCTGAAACCTCCAAGCGCATTGCCCGTCAGTATCAGAAGCTGAAGCTCTTTACATGGAATAGTTCGAAGCTCTTTTACATGTGCGAAGAGAAGACGGAAGATGACCCAGCAGCGCACCCCTCAGCCTGGTGATCAAGAACTTGATGCTTTTGATTCGTCTTCTTCCTCATCTTCTGCCGACTCGTCTGACAGTTCTTGAGCATAACTTCTGCTTGGAAAACAATTTGCGCGTAAGCTGCCGCTGTGGTGTGGTTAAAGTGTATGTTTCGCGTAAGAGCGCGTAAGCTTCAAATAAGTCCCTTTCCCACGCGTAAGATAAAACCTGGGGCGCGTAAGCATTGCGTAAGTGCATGCGTAAGCAAATCCTTACGACATAGGCCAATTACACGACCTTTTGACCGCTGCTCACTTGTTTGGTGGCTGCAGAGTTTTGGGATTCTCCAAGATGTGGACTGGAACATGAAATTGCCCATTGCGCTTCTCCTTTCTTCCCCCGTGCTGTCTGAGCCCTCTCCCCCTCTCCCGATTCCAGTACGTGCGAGGCCTGAAAGATCCCAGCAAGTACGTGCTACCTCCAAGAAGTCGCATGCGCGAGCTCTTTGGTGCGCCCCAAGCGAAACTGGGTCTGGTCGAGTGTTTGTGGATGCTTTTCGTGAAAGTGTGTGACCGAAGTGTGACATTGGGGGGGGAGGGTAGGAGCTGGGAGGTGGAAAATAAGATGACACACGCGTGGCAGTTGGAGGTCATAGATTTCTCGATCTAATGCCAATCGCCTTAGAATGTTGGTCTTTTACATGAGCCAAGCTGAGCCAAGAGTATTAAAGAGTTTCAGTTTTAGAGGTCCAAATCTCGGAGTAAGATTATTATTGATCCAGTCGTGTTTCGGCACCAAACCCTCCGTTTTATCTGTTGTCCATCGAGCAACCCACTGCAGGTCTACCGCCGGAGCCCCGCAAGCCGGACCGCAGCCGGCCCGCGGACGTTCCGCGCGGAGCAGTCGGCGCGACGTTGACGCAAGGATTGAAATCTAAGCTCACCCCAACGACGACCTACCCCAACAACGCTGATCAAGCAGTCGGCGCGACAGCGTTTCGTTCCGGGGCGCCTGAAACGGGTTCGTTCCGCACGCGGAGTGGGGGAAAGAACCATGGAGCTTGTGGGCACGGACCGCACTTGTGGGTATAGATCTTTTGGAGCAAATCGGATGTTGGAGGGCCCAATCTGACGTGTTGGAGTCTTTTGGATCCAATCTTTTGGTTTCAGGGACTCATCATGACTCATCTGATTTTGGGTGTGGCGGAGTTGAACATGGAACTGCTGGGATGGGATGAAAATAGATGGGAGGCTACTCGCCAAGACGATTCCTCCAGATGCTCTGCTGTGGGGAAGAGCTCTGTGCCAGCCTCAGGGATGTGTCACACCCGGTTCACACCCTGCCTGGCATGAGGCGTGTGTCTCGTGCTTGGGGGTAAACGTGGGGCCATGAGATGCAGCTTGAAGCAAAGACAAGCTTGCACTCATAATATTAACCAATTGGCGGTGTCCAATATTTTGGAAATCTTGTAATTTATAGTATATATATATATATTATAGTTATATTTACATGGATAAATATATAATTATGCAAAATATGTTTAAAATAAACCATGAAACACAACAAAAGCCAGCCGATAGGCAAGGCTTGAGGTGGCTATGCGATCGAAGTGAGTAAGGGGGTGTGGGGGGGTGGTTGCGAGCAATCTCGGGGAGCTGACCCAGATCCTGGTGGGGGAGAGCGAAAAAAAAGAGGTGGCCACTTGGCAGTGAAAACGAGTAGTTTTTGCGGGTGTTGTGATGCCGGTGATGTAATTGACGGCCAGTAGTGCATGATTAGCATCACGAGGGGCTCAAGAGGCAATGTAAACCGTTTTCTACCAGGGTGGGAGTTCATGTCAATCATAGGAAACAGGGGACAACGGGATGCGAAAAGTGGTTGGAGCTCCTCCAGAAAAGTGCGCGCCTCCCATGGCCAGTAAAATAGTGTGAAAGGGAGGTGTGTGTCTCTCAAGACATTGTGTGATCTGTGAGAAGCCAGAATGCTGTGGGGAAGGTGGTAGACAAAGAGTGTTTACAAGAAATGTTAGAGTTGCTTGGGGGTGCCCTTCTTTCATGGCGAAGACGCCTGTCAACTATACGCAAATTGGCACCCCATATGGGGTGCGAGTTCATGTAATGCTGTGGTCCGTTGAGGGCAGGAAAGAGAACAAAATGCAGCGGGCAAGCTTTGAGTTGCTTGGTGGTGCCCTTTTTTTACGGTGAAGAGGTCTAGTTGCCGAGACAGGCATAGTGGAGGAGGACGTGATAGGAAAAGAGGGATTGCAAGAAAGAACAGGGAGGGAACAGAATGGAGCGGGCAAGCTTTGAGTTGCTTGGGGGTACCCTTTTTTTATGGTGAAGAGGCCTGTTGACCTGACGCAAAAGGGCATCCCATTTGGAGTGGGAATGTGCAAAGTGGGCATAGCGGGGGAGGAGGTGATAGGAAAAGAGGTGGGGAGCTCACCAGGGCTCTCGCATTCACCCCCCATAACCATATTGACATGTTTTACGGTGGCCCGCTTTCGCCCCCTCCTTTCTCAGGTGTATATATATATATACACACGCTGCATATGTTTTAAACCGTCATGACGAATCCTAATCCCAATGACCCGAAAAACATCTTCCAGGTGAGGTGGTGGCCGGTTGCCACGACACCCATGGTCACCTCTGGATGGTTGGGTCGACCACCGCTCGCTTCAGGATGGACCGTCAACGAAGAGGAAAGGTGGGCTACAATCTCAAATCCGAGGTCAAAAACGTGGCCGAGGCTGGAAAGAGACGAATGTTCACCCAACCAAACAAACGCGCAGCCCTGTTTGGATTGAAGAGAAGGCCCTTTTCAGAAAAAAAACTCCTTCTCCTCCTTACATCAGTGTGAGTCAAGGCCCATCAATCAAATAATAGTAAAACGTGCTTTGTCTCGAAACTCCTTTGTGAGACCCGACTCTGCGAGGTTTTCTGCAATATTCGTCTCAAATGGGGCGATCTGCACGACCCAAAAATCATCGTTAGGGAGATGCCAGATGTTCGAAGCTGCATTTTTTTGGGAGTTTGAAACCACACCCATGTTGATGTCCGAGTTTGACCTGCTTCGAGGCCATTGCAGTTACAAAGGTCGTGGACAATCAATCCTAACATTTCAAGGCAAAAACGCCAGCCAGAATTCAATGGGTGCCCTCTTCCTTCCGGCCGGCCGTTTGTGGAAGATGGTGCGGTCGAGGAACCAGCAAGCCATCTAACGTTTGCCTTCAGTTCGGAAGCTCAAAAAGTGATGATCGTGATGTGACAACAGCCTTTGAGACCCTTTGACTTTGCATAGTGAAGTCGACAGCCTTGTGAAAGCTGGTTTGATGCCGCCGAAGCTCCGAACCATTTCCCCCGAATCGAGTGCCTTGCTGTAGTGGCCATTGGAGTCGCCGTTTGATGCCGTTCGCCTATCGGGGGTGACCACAGGGAATCGCGTACTTCCGCGGAAAGAGGACTCCACTGGATTTGCTTTTGGATTTCTTCCTCAAGTGGGCGTTCAAACTGGGTGAGTCACCTTTCATGCCCACCATGGGCCCCACCTTTCATCTTTCATACCTCAAGCGGCGAGTCTGTTCTCGGGCCAGAGAACTAATTCTGAATGATTTGTGCCAATTACCAGTCCTGCCGACATCATCTGCGACTGGCGTGAGATGTCGGGGCTCACGGATTTTCCGCTGCTGGTTCCACAGCTTCGGTCGGACGCAGTGACGACGCGTGCGCGCGAGGAGCTTCGAGCTTCTGCGCGTGCGGTGAGGTTGTTTAAAGCATCACTCGTCCAAAACCAGACGAAGAAGTTCTGGGTGAAAAGCAAAAGTTCTACATCAAACACAACCGAACATACTTCTTGACTAGCTGCGGTACAGAAGGTATTTGCAGTATCCTGCAGACAAGTAGGGCTCGAAAATGCAACACGCCAGAGATTGAAGCTCAGCAGCAGAGCAAGTAGATCCCAAATGGGGTCTTGTGAGCCTCAAGACCAGTAAGTACGACACACTCAACAACACTCAGCATTCAAGAACGCATGATGCTTCAGATCTGCTTCAAAGATGCCAATACTCTACAGCGGCGGTCGACCTGGTTGGTTTTAGCCTGTCCTAGTCTGTCCACATGGCGGGTGCATATGGCACGTGCTCTTCTGCGGCGTCTGTCGCCGGTCCACGTGGCACACTCAGGTCGCAGAGGCTCCAGAGAGGTCTGGTTTTGGGCGCCGGTCGGGAGAACTGGAGAACTGGTCAGCAAACGTCCTGGTTAATAGGATTGTTCGGATTATATCGGCTTTGGAGGAGGATGTGGATTCCCGGAGAGTTCCTTCGCTTTTTCTTGGTGGAAGGGTCTCAGACTGTTCTACGGCCTAAGGGGCTTGGGTGAGGATGACCAAGTGATGTTCACCTGTGTAAGAGAGGCACATTCCCCGAAAAGTGCCTGCCCAGAATGCAACTGTTTTGATCTTTTTCGCAGTTTGATGTGGGATTCTTTCTGTATGATAACCGCATTTGGGGCACACAGGTAGATACAATAGCGACGTCTGAACATCCAGAGTTTTATGAACCACTTAGGTCTTCACACAGGCGCGAAGCCAGAGGACCAGCGGCCCGAAGAGAGAGTTCCAAAGGACCCCTGTGCTTGGCGAATAACAGCCTGGCCCAGGCCTTGGCGAATGCCGAGGCCTAGTGCTTCTTGTGCACCAAAATCCGGGGAACACATTCACACTTTGCCTGTGCCACATCAGGCTTGGTCAGACAGTCTCGGTTTAGGCAATAAGATGGGGGGAAGCATCAGCATGAGCCAAAAGACCATTCTATTTGAACTGGTGACTATGTCCTTTGATGTCTTTGGAGACCTGGCCATGATTTTCATTCTTCTCATTGAAATGTCATGTTGCTTTTCCCAGCTTCCGCTGAACCAATCACTCGATTTCGCCCTGCGGACTTGATCTATCCGGCTTGTTCGCCGCCAGATCAACGTGTCGAACAGCGATTTCTCCGCGGTTTCTCGGAGCGAAACCGCCACGGGACCGACGGCATGGCGGAGACGGCTCGGACCCTGGGAGCACTACTACGACACTCGACACCGGGGTCCTTCAACGAGGTGCTGGGAGAATTCAAAGATTCCTTCAAAGACCCACGCTTTGCCACACAAGTCCTTCGAGAGCTGGGAGCCAAGTGCTCCGGAAGAGACGCGTTGCAGCTGTCTTTGGAGCTGTTGCGCTTCATGCAAGTCCAGCTTCTTCAAACCAATGCCTTCCACTACAGCGCCGTGATCAGGGCGATCCCGGCGTCCGTGCCGGAGGAGCGCGTCCATCGCAGATCCCCGTCCGGATGGGAAGTGGTCATCGACCTGTTGGCAGACATGGATGAAAGGCGAATTCCACCGGATTCGGTGTGTTGGAACAGCGCCATCACAGCATGTGGGAAGGGCGAACATTGGGAAGCCTCTTTGTCTTTCTTCGAACGCACCGCTGAGCTTGGATTGGCCAGCACCGTGACGATGAATGCGATGATGGGAGCCTTTTCATGCGCAGGGGAGTGGGCACGTGCACTGGATTTGTTTGATGCAGCTGCCCGTCCGGATGTGATCACCTTCAGCTCAGCGATGGCAGCTTGTGAGAAGGGGAGTTCATGGAGACGTTCCTTAGACTTGCTTTCTTCAATGCATTTTGCCAAGTTGCAGCCAGACAACTTCAGCTACAGCTCTGTGATCTCTGCATGTGCAAGTGCAGCGCGCTGGGCATTGGCCTGTAGCGTCTTCGAGGGGATGTTGAGCTCCTCCGTTTGCGCCGACCTCGTGAGCTTCTGTTCGCTGATCAAGGCACTCGATGCGGGTCAGCAATGGCAAAGCGCCTTGGCCAATCTGCAGCACATGCGTCAGAAGTCCATGGCCCTCAGTGAAGTTGCATGCAATAGTGCCATCAGTGCCTGCTCTTCTGGAAGCCAGTGGCAGCAGGCCTTATCCCTGATAAGTTTAATGCCATCGTTGGGTCTTGCGGCGGAAGAGGTGAGTTACAACACAGCGATCAGCGCGTGCGTTCGAGCAAGCCGGTGGCAGACGGGTTTGGCTTTGTTTCAAGAACTGCCCGCCAGCTTTATTGAGCCAGACCTTGTGAGCTTCAACAGTGCATTGACGGCTTGTCATGCGAGCAGCAAGTGGCAGCTGAGCCTTACCTTGCTAGATGTCATGACCAGAAAGCACCTTGAGCCCGGTGAGTTTTGCTTTACCACCACCTTGAGTACTGCAGCTGAGCCAGGAGGGTGGCAGCTGTGCTTGCAGGTTCTTGATGGCCTGCAGGCACGGCACGTGCATGTGACAGCTATTATGTTTGGTGTTCTCATGAGCGCATGTGAGGACGATTCTGCATGGGAAGCCGCTCTAGCTACCTTGCGCCACATTGAGTCACATCACCTTATCCCAGATGCACTGCATGTGGGCTCTGCCGCTAATGCCATCCGTAAAGGAAAGGACCAAGGAAAAGATGAAAGCAAGATGAAAGCCTTGCAGCTCATAAGCAAGATGAAAGCAGTTTGGAGCCACGCTTGGCCTGGAGATCTTCGCCCTTTCCAAGCAGTCCTTGAGGCATGGCACCTGACGCACCTGACGAGGACACAGAGGACGAAGGTGAAAACACACCCGCCTCAAGGCATCGTGCGTATTGGTGAAGGTGTCGTTGCATGCTTAAAGCCAGCGGGGGTTGCCACAGAGGTCTTCGTGGAAAACCTTCGCTGCGAAACTCTACCGGAAGAAAGGGGCCCCTTCAGTGTCGTTTCCCGTTTGGACCATCCCACCTCAGGGATTCTGATGCTGGCACTGGGTGAGGCGGGATCTCCCCAGGCCAATTGGCTGCAGGTGCAGTTTGCTAGTCGCTTGGTGGATAAGAAATACATTTGTTTATGTGAAGGCGAGCCTTTGGGTTCAGTGGGCTCGACTGGGCAGGTGTCTGTACCACTGCTAGCGGATGAGCTCCAGGGTCGGATGGTGGTGGGGGATGCCCAGCCCAAAGCGCGGGAGGCACTCACCAAGTACACCATCCTAGCCCGATATCGTGCGCCCAACACCGCTCACACGGATACAAGAGAACTGACCTTGTTGTCAGTGAAGCCCATCACGGGGCGGATGCACCAGATCCGAGTGCATCTGGCCTACCTGGGTCGTCCATTGCTGGGAGATCTCACCTATGGTGCCAAAGCCTCGACGCTGCTGACTTGCGAACGGCTCTTTCTGCACTGCCGCCGGGTGAAACTCCGGGATTTCACGGGACAACCGTTTGGTGCGGTGGCCGCGTTGCCGCGCGAGCTGCGGGAAGTCCTGGATCGCTTGCAGCCGGTGGAGACCGGAAAAAGCTGGAGCAGGGTGGATGAAGGTGGAGGCGGACGGAGGTTTCGGTTGAAGTAAGTCGGTGATACACGATGCATCCTGAAAGCATCGGGACTACCCAATTTGGTCGGCACCCAAGAGCCGCTTTACTTGAGGGAGATTTTGGTTGATGTGCTCAATTTGTGCATTTCAGTGCTGGGTTGTGTTGGAAAGAAGTTGGCGTTGGCGTTTGGGACCGGCAACACATACTAACAAGAAGTTACTGGACTCTAGTGACGCGGAGGCATCTGGACCATTAACCAGGGACCTTCACCAATCGCGAGGACCTACCTGGCGATGGACGTTGGGAAAGGCTTGGCTGTCCATGATTTTTGTAAGATTTTATGAAGTCACCACGCACCGAGAGAAGATGCCAGTCGAGGCTGCCCCCAGCTGCTGCTAGTTGTTTGGCCAGCAATTTCAGTCTGACGGTCGAAAGCTCAGCCATGCCGGGGCGGGCAGAATGAGCGAAGAGCGTTTAGTAAGCTTAGTAGACATGCGCTCGCAAGTCATGGAACCCGAATAGGTGTAACTTGTGGGCAGGTGATTCTGGATGGAATAGATATATATATATATAGCATTACTGTATACTATATTAATATGTATTTAATTGTATTTAGTCATTACGAAAGCCAGCCGATAGGCATCGCTGAGTCCTCGATGGCGAACGCCGTGAGTAATAGGGGGTGGAGGGAAGTGGTTGCAGGATGGTACCCGCCGGGCAGGGTGAACGCAGAGCTTGGTGGGGGAGAGCGAAAAAAGAGGCGGCGCAGAAGGTAGTGAACATGTATGTTTTTAGGGGTTTGGTGATGTAAGTGATGCAAATGATGCTGACCAGTGCATCATTAGCATCAGAAAGTGCTCAGAAAACTATTTATTGGATTGTCTACCGGCCAGATGTGTGGGCCCGGGTAGAGGACAGGAGAGAGGAGACTGAATGACATTTGCAGTGTTTGCAATGGTGCCCTTTGTGCTTCCCTTCCAAAATAGAAATGCAACAAACAACGGCGACCAGGTGTGTGAGTCCAAGTAGAGGACAGGAGTGGAGGCAAGAATGTGAAAAGCGCCCTAAGCCGGAAGAAGCAGGGCGCCCCCACAACTCTAAATGTTGGACTTTTGTACAAGAGCGTGGGATCCAAGCCTATCCTATGACCAGTAACAGTGGATGGGGGTTGGTCAGGCTTGTGTATATCGGCTCTATCATATCGAGCCGCAATATAATGTGAAACTTTGCGTGTCTCTGCCTTCTGTTTTCCCGTGGCTAAAGAACGCAAGAAATAAGTGCAGCTTCGGTTTTGCCCTAGAATAACAATAAGACTTCTGAGGCCTCTTAGTCCCTACAGGGGCTGGCTTTCGTCTCCTCCCTTCTCGGGTATACGTATGTATAATATTTCATATCTTCAAGCCAGGCATGTGTTTTGAAACATGCCAACACAGCTTTTTACAGAAGATGTCACACACACACATTCTTTCTTATTTGCCCGCTGCTGGGCCATGATCGCCTCTCAGACTCCCACCAACGTGCCTTGTGAGGAATTGCATGAGTCTTGGCAGACGAGCCGGCAGTGGCAGCGAATCTTGTGGTCGCCTTTGATGGACGAAACGGGAAGTGTGGGCGAATGTATATGGGGGAAGCACATGAAAAAATGGCCACATCATGCTACCGCTACCGGTTTTATACTGGAATTAAGGCTTTGTCTCTCATTCGGCCTCGGAGGAGTCGGAGTTGTGGACGCGTGACGTGGGAGCTCGGCGGAGGAGCCGGACCTGGAGAGCACGGGTGCCCGGTGCGGGCGAGGTGGGTGAAGCAAGTGCCCGGTGTTTGAGTCCTTCCGGGAGGGCGAGTTGCCGCTAACCGGCGCGTGATGTTTCTTTCATTTGCTTTTTTTGGGGTTGTGGTGGTTTTCAGATATTTGGATGCTTTAGTTGGGATGATTCATCACGAGTCATCCCGCTGACTCATGTTCGTTGAGTTGAAGTCACCCAGTTTTGGTTTTGGTGGGGGAGGGTAGTTGCGAACAACTACGATAACCAATGCTGCGACTGCTATTTTTTGTCATAATCATCATGATCATCATCACCACCCTGCTATAAGGATAACAAGGATACTCCCAAAATGTAGCCCAACTACCCAAGGTTCAGGTTGTTCGAGAAAGGATCAAGCCGAGCTGGTCATGTGTGATGTCCAGGTCCTGCTGCTGGACGGGTCTTCGACTCAGATGAAGACCCCGCCGAAACCCGCCGAAGAACCAGATGAATTCGCCTGGCCAAGGTTGAACACCAAGGCAGGTGGTGGTGCAGTCTTGGACATTTGTTCAGATCATGTGAATCAATGTGAATCACGTGTGAATCATGTGATGTTTCATCAGGTGTCCTTTGATTTCAGCATCTCTCTTCAAGCTCCATGCCCCTACGATGCCGTCCTTGGCTTATCTCTGCTGGTTTCTGAAACGGACACCACGCCATAGCCCTTTCATCGCCATACCCAAAGCCGGCCCCATGGCAATGGTGATAGTTTGCATTTCAATGCGAAGTTGGACTCATGCGGGAACATGCGTAATTATGCAGCATCAAACATCATCAAACATTTTTTTAATTAGGATCCTGGAGGGGTCAAATCTCCGTAGAGCATTCACACCTTTTTCGTTTTCGCCTCTTTTACCGCAACGGCGTACCAGGTTCTCAAGCGCTGACACCAAGCGTTCAGCATGTCTTCGGAACCACCGACTGTTCATGAAACGAAGGGACGGCGCTTGATGATCCAACCGAAGGTCATGACCGGCCACCCAACCCCGCCCCGGACACTCCAGGGGCCACGCAGGGGCCTGGCATGGCATGACTAAAGCCTCCTTTGACACCTGGGCCACGTAGGAAAAACGCAGTCCGACGCGCTCGCCACGGAGGTTCTTCGTCGGTGCCGAAAAGCGACGCACGGAGCGAGGTGATCCGGCACGACTTGGCGCGCACGTTGCCCTCGGAGGAGCTCTTCCGAGAGAAAGACGGTGCGTTCCGCGTGGACTGGAGCGGAGTCTTTTTGGGGCGGTGCGGACTGGCCGGGCGGTGTGTGTATTTGCGAAGGGGAGAAGGGGAGTTGTGTAGTTGTGGTATGTTGAGGGAAGTAGTTATTTGGCTGCCAGGTTTTCACTCACTGCCATGCGAGTGTCAAGATTCGTGGTCAGACAACTGCCTGGCGAGTATAGACTTACCTGATGTTGCACAAGTGCTCCACCGTGTGGCAAGCGATAGAGGCTCACAGCAAACTCATATCAAATGGACTAATTAGAGGTATGCAGTCGCCTGCCCTTGTTCCTAGTAGCGATGCCCTTGTTACTAGTACTCGTAGCTTCTTGTTCTTAGTAGTAATGCCACGAGCTACGAGTAGCTTCTGCTACTATTACTAGCAATGCCCTTGTTCCTAGGGGCGGATGAAGATTGAAGTGCCACATCTTGTGTGACCGACCAACCATCACAGCGATGCTTTCGCGCGGCTGCGATGGCCAGGCAAAGGGCAGCAATCCTTGTTCCGCATCCTGCGTGCTTTGGCCGTGATCGAAGCTCAGAGTGTAGCAGCAAGAACGAGGTGACAGATGTAATTACTATAGCATCTTAGAGATACAGTATCCTATGAGTCTTACTAAGAATCCTCGATAATTCATCACCTTCACCTTCACAAGAGTTCGGTGTGGCAGAAGCCGAGGCACTTGTGGGACATTGGCTATGTTCAAAGCCTAAACTTTGTAGTCGCAACGCTGATCGTTGTCCAGGGCCAAGATTTCGACAACGCGCTGTTCGCTCGCCATGCTGACAAGGGCATCGGCCTTCAAGTTGGTTCTTCTCTCTCAGATTGGGGAGGTTGAAACGGCCTTCTTTTTTTCAAGGGTCCCACCCGGACAGCTTGGTGAGGTCGCCTGGGCCCAGACAAACGAACACCTGCGCCTGGGGTTCGGACTCAGGTTCTAGCAGAAGAGCCAGAGGCATTCAGGGAGTCATCCTTTGTTTGGCTTCCTCCAACTCACCCCGCAACCTGTGGGCCTGTTTGGCCTGTTTGGTCCTTCCAGTTTTTCATGTTGGCTCAAGCTTTCTCCAGCTCCAATTGTTTTTGAAAACGCAACTCATACACGCAAGACGGAAGAGAGCGTTTTGGGCGATATCCTACACATATAGCAGATCCAGCAGCCCAGCATACGTATTAATGAAACAGGAAGTTTCCTGGGCTCACGGCTGATGCAGAATCACTGAATCACTCTTTCGATTGAAGGAGTTTGTCATAGAATGATGGGAGTGAACATTCTGCTCGCTGGAGGATGTCGTCTTCCGCTGTGCTCAAGCACTTCTTTTCCGCCATTCTCTGGCTGACTTCTACAGGCCAGATCTGGCAAGACGTGGCCACTCTTCCCTTTCAACATTGCAAGTGCTGTAGTTGCTGTCTGATTTGTGTCCAAGAACTCTCGATCAATCAACCCCATCGGACCCCTCCCTTCTTCGGAGGGGCGGACGCACGAGTCGACACCACGTGGACACACATGTGACGCCCAACGCCCGCGACCGTGCCGTCGGTCGGGTCGGTCGGAGGCCGCGCTTCCCGAAGTTGGGCGTGACGGTGGCTCGGTGGGGGTCGTCCGTGTCACGGAAACGGTGGAGACCGGAGGTCCGAAACGGTGGTGAAGAAGCAACATAACGTACGGTACAAGAGGTGATCTATAGATGGATGTAGGATTTAGATGGTGTTGGGCATCGAGCCCTCTATGTTTCTAGAAAGAATGGGAAAATCATTGAACATAATCGGTTCGGCGGATTGTGACCATGCTGGAATCTAGTAAGGTCTGGCAATTTGACCGCATCGTGGAAGCCTTCCTCCCGGATGTGCATGCAGCTACTTGGCCCTCACGTTCCGGCGGCAGAACGGGCGGGCCGTTGTATCGAACACCGCAGACGTCGGGTCTTCGGATTGAAGGTCATCCGAGTCTTCACGGAAGACCTTCACCTCCACCATGAATCCTTGTCTCGATTGAAGCGAGACCAATATGAAGTGGTGTCTAAAAAGTGACACCATGGGGATCCATGGGGCTTTCTTCATAGGGTAACAATGGCGTGGCCGCGAGTCATAAAGGGGCGACACCTCGTGTCTCTTTCGGTCGCTGTTGTCGCTGGGACTCGGTAGCTGCGACACCGAGGTTCTCCAGGTCAACGGAGTTACAGCTGAGTACTACGCGATGCAGTGGTGGAACACTGAGTCGACCAGTTGGTCGGAAAAGTCGAGGCTTCCACCGCCAAGGGAATCGGTTGGATGAACAAAATTCAGCCCAGTAACTTGGGCGGTCCAGCTGATCTGATATTCAACTTGTTGATATTCAATTCCAATCACTGTGAATATCAATTCAATGCAATGGAGCTTGTTGATGACCTTTAATCTGATGGAGCTTGTTGAACTTCAACATCAATTTCAATCACTGTGATGATTGTTATGTCATCATCTGAAACTGCCTTAAGGTTCCTGACCCTGTTTGCTAGTGACCTGCCGCAGCGCGCTGTTCATCGAATCTGGGCCGGCAGCCTTAGCCTTGCGTCTAAATCCACGTGGGTGCCATCAAAAACAAGTGGAACATGTTGGAAAACTGATGTCCAATACATACCAACTAATTACTGATATACCCGGTTGATGTTGCAGAACATCTTGTTTTTGTTCTTGTGATTTGCTTCACACCCATTTTGGAAGACGATGTTTTTACCCGTTGCTGAGGACAGGTTTCTGGTCGCCGGCTGGCAGGTCATCGTGCAGGTGGGTGATCTAAGCGTTCGTGCCACGCAACCGCCGAACTGGATCACTTCGGCACGTGGGACCTGGCAGGTGGGCTTAGCACTGCTGAAGCAGATTGCAGATGCTCAGCCCTCAACATCACAGCTACTTCTTAACCTCGAGGTGATGGCTTTTGGAGGTTTCGGAGAGAACTCTACCCTTTTGATTGCGTTCTGAACGGCACAGGTGTCTAGATTTCCTCCTCTGGCATCCGCATGGTGTGAGGTGCTGCAATCCCTCGATGCCTGTGAGACCCTGACCTTCCTGAAGAAGTTTGTGTTTGAAGCCCGGTCCTACTTAAAGACAACCTAAATGAATTCATGAGGAGAATTATGCTTCACTTGCATGGGTGGTCAAATTCTGCGTGTTTTTTTCGTGGGTTTGGACATGAGTACCACTCACCAGACCTGTTGCTTACTGTGCGTACTTCCTCACCAAAACGGGCTTGTGAGGAACCCATAGACTTTTGACATCGCTCAGTCACTCACATGATAAGACATCGAGACAGTATTGTCATTTCGCACTGGTGCGGGATGTGAGGGCGCATGTTTGGGGGCTCGTAGTAGCCAGCATACGGCACAATTGGAAGTTTTGGAACCCAATGGAGCGGCCAAAAGCCATCCAGCTCCTTTTCGCTGGAGGCGAATGCGACGCTTTGAGCTTGCTCCTGAGCTAAGTGTTGGATTCCTTTGATCCAGAGGGAAGTTTAGGCAATTCTCACACAAGCAGCTGCGGTCGAACACTCTCCCAACTCAGTGGAGGCCGGAAGTGCTACTTGCTGACGCACAGCAATTTGAGGCTTGGCTCCCCTGAAATACATTTTGGGCTCCTGTGGGGATGGTTAACATAAGTGAATTTGTCGGACATTTCGTGCAAAAAGAGTCACTTCGCGCAAAAGCGCAAGGGACTGCAGTTCGGTGTGTGTCATTTTGGCATATATATATATATCCCCGGCCCCGGCTGATGTAGAGTCAGACTTGATGACTGAGCTGATGGTGAGTCCCAGCGTTTCACTGGCTGAGGTGTCTCACCGGATGCTCTCGGAATTGGAGGCTGCATACAGTTGGGAACCTCAGGCGGCTTCGTGGCCGACCTCGGCCGGCCCACGGAGCTGGTGGCGCAGTGCGCACGTCGCCAAAGCAGTGGCTGTTCTGTTGGGATTCCTTTGGGGGTTGGAAATGGCTGGCCAATGCTGGCCATTTGGTGCACGAACGCGGCTGGAAAGGCAGATTGATTACTTGGCTATTGGTCTTCTCGCATGTCCCACACTCTGCGACGACATGCTGAGACTGGCAGTCTGAAGATCTTGAGCCCAAGCTTGTGCTGTGGTGGGAAGGCACGACGCACGGTTACACCTAGAGAGAGAGAGAGAGAGAGTTGGTCTGCAGAGGTGCCCCTCAAAATCATGAAAGTGAACAGTTTCCGAAGAAGATAGGAGGTATTTCCTCATATTTCTGCCACTTCCATGTATGTGGGAGGCTATTGCACTGTACATCAGTCCAGAGATGAGTGGTCATGAGTCCACCACATTCTGTCAGGAGAGAAGCTCTGCTGGGAAGTGAAACGTGTCCAAAGCGCCAGAACCCTAAGTGGGGTCATACCTCCAGTCAAGTCGACCTGAATCAGACCGCTCGGCCGACAACGTGCACGCCCGGTCAGACCTTCGGATTTCCCCTTCTTTCGGCGCCCAGGGGCAGAAGCACCAGGGAGTGGAGACCGGCCGGCGCGCAGGTGAAAAGACCGGCCAGGCCAAGGGTCGGCACCGGTAAGGCCGCGACGAACGGTGCGCGGTGAACATCAATGCTCTGAAGCGGTCCGAGTCTGACTTCGTTTTGGCAAGGAGGGGGGTGAAGGGTACAATGTCGTACAAACTCCCCTCTTAGATGGTTCTGTGCTCCCGAGTTCCGCTGGTCATTTTGACGGCCTTTTTTTTGGGTGGGGGGTCAGTTCAAAAACCATAAAATAAGCAACTTCGTTGCTTGCGACGGGAACCAAGTGTGAAATCTCTCTGGACTCTTGATCCTTTTGCAATCTTTTGCCTAAATCTGCCCGGTTGGAGGCCAATCTCCTTCCATTTCTGCTGCACAACCTTGACACGGGAGAAACCTCCGTCCTCGAAGAGGAGTGGAATACGTGCCGCTGTGGGCCTGTGCGAACCTTGATGTGTCCAACCCTGGTGCCGCGACATCGCAGGATGCTGCCGCCGTAGAAGACATGGTCAGGTGACACCGGTTCCTCCTTGGTTTGCCGTAGCAGACTTCGTGGTGTTTTCTTATTCGTTTTTGTGGTGGACCATGGTCCACTGTCGGCTTCGGGGGGAGTGTGCCATATGCTAATTACATGGCATGTATATTGTATAGCGTGTAATGAGTAGATCCATGTTTCAGAAGAACCTCACCCGTCGATTGCGCTCGCTCGACGCGCACGGATTCGCACCGAAACGCCGCGGCCCGCGAAGGTACTTGGACGAGCGCAAGGCTCCCGACGATCCGGGTCCCGATGCGCTCTCCCAGTGCAAGCTGGACTGCCAATCACCGCAGTCTCCCAACTTCAAACACATGATTGTTTTTGGTCCTCGTCATTGAGCGCTCATTAATTTGTCAGACTTCGTAAAGCCGTAAAGCTTGCCAGAAACAACAGTTGTTCACCTGCAGTTCGCGGCCCTTTTCTACAAACGTTTGGGTCAGCAACCTCCAGGCTAAACAGAAACCGGGAGCTTGCTTAGCTGAATCAATGTGAGCATCGCGTGCCCCGATTTTCCAGGAGGTTGCTCCGCGGCCGGGTCCACCGACGGGAGTGGGTGGTAGCCATTGGCTTGCAGGGCGTCAGCGTCCGCCACTGAGTGGGGGTGAAACATGGAGACAAGTTGGGACAGAAACTCGGACACATGCAATGGAATGTACACTCGCCGAAGAGGGAGAAAAAAACACACTTTTGGCAGCAGTTGGTACAAAAGCATACCGCAAACACAGATGGTATTAAACTCTTCATCGACCGCTGTCACTTGATGTCACTGTCGTTTGCTTCATGGCTGCGATTGTTTCGAAACCAATTCCTGAGGCGAAGCCCTCCGAGCCTTGGGGAAGGTGGGTCTTCTTTGGTTAGGGAGATCGGCATGAAACATGGCGTATCTTTGAGCACCTTGGCCATCTACCGAATGTCACACATGTCACGCCTATCACCGACATGTCCTTTAATATGACCAGTTTTCCTTTGATAGACGTGTGCATCAGTTGCATCTTCTTCGACTCCTCAGTTGGCGCCCAACTCTTGCGCCTCGCAGGCGTAAGATGGCGACGTGGCGGCGTGGCTTGGCCAATGGCCTTGCAGTCTCACCAGCCGTGGCGTCGAGATCTCTTGGCCTTTCCTTGACTTTTGACGTTTGTACAGTGGCTTCGTTGTTCAAATGGTGATGCGAGTGTGGGATGGTGTGGGTGGACCTGAATGTCCCAAGAAGGGCTGAAACGAAGACCATCGTGGTTAATTAGGCCTTTAGACATCACCGAGGGTTTGGTGTCACATGTTCAGCAAGTCTGCAGTAGGTGGCACTGCTTCGGATTTGCTACTTGGCTTCTAGCTGCACACACGGAACCTGCCGCTGGCGCTTGATCATTAGCATACTACTGGGTCCAGTTTAGGCAATGCACAGCAGCTCACATTTGTTGAATGCCATCAATGCCATCCTTGGTTTTGCATATGTCCAGCTTGTGCAGACAGAAGGCAGAAGGCACATGAAGACCAAATCAGCCATGTCTCAGCAGGGCTTTTGAAAAAAAAAAGACCACAGCGTTAGGTACCCAAAGAGCTGTCATGTCTCACCCAAAGCTCATGGATGGCACGTGCAGAGAGGACAAGAGGCAGGTGTTGTTTTTAGGTTGCTTGGGGGGCGACTCTCGAACTGATGGCGCAAGTGTTTGTTTGGTGTTTCTGGGTCTGCAACTGCCAGAAGTTGCTTGAATTCTGAACTCGAAACCAAGAAGCAGCTTCATGAGAACTCGTCGCTGTCTCGCCACTCACGTGCCTGCACTCGTCACTGGCGTGCCGTCACTCGCGTGTTCATAGCTTATCTCAAGGTAGTGGAGTTGCATTCCTTTTTGTTGGGTGAATCTCTTGCTATGGTGAGCGCATTTTAGGAAGCATTGGAAGAAGATGTAGGTTGAGTCACGGCAAGTTATTCTGTCATGTCATGATTCCATGTTTTCCAGTTAGGTATATAATGTACCTCGACCTGTGGCACTCACTGGCAGGGGTTTCAATTGGACCTTGCAACTCTCAACCAAACATGTTGGTGAAGTGGGGAAGCTTTCCTTTCAGTGCTTTGTTCTTCCCCTTGGAATAATATGCATTTGATACCCTCGCATATATTTCCAAAGCCGAAAGCCGAACGGCGACTATTTATATAGCAAGCAGCGAAGCAGCATCGTCTTAGGCAAAATTGACCGGGCCAAATCTGTCGGATGCATTTCCCCTTAAGAAGAACATGCATCCTTACTATAGCTTCTAGACTTAAAACATCTCAACACCATGCAAAACCCGCCGCGTTGCGAAACTACGTGCTGAAGCTGCTTCGTTCATGAAGAAGACCTTAGCCTTAGTCTCCTTCCTCAGGACAATTGCACAACCTGGTTATAGAAAAAACCAGTCAGAACCCGTCCCGATCCTCGAATCTGAGGTCCTTCCCTTGCTCTCTTGATATGGGCTGGCCTGGCTGGCCTGGCTGGCGCCGAAGTGCTTGGAAGCCTGACATCACTTGGAAGCCGAACGCGATCCTAGGAACCACATCCTACTTGCGGACTGAGGATGACTGAGGACTCTCCCGCCAAATCTGAGCAAACCAAGGAAATCGTGGGAAGCCTGAAGAATTCAACCTGGATGAGTTGGGTGGGCACGTCTCGTCAAAGATCCTTTCTAAGATCGAACCTCTTGTTCAGGCATCCGGCATTTCCGCCACATTCTGCCAGTCTGGCCGGCCCGCCGTGGTTTTGGCTTTCTTAGTGTCTGGCCAAAGGCCGTGTCTCCTCCCGAGGCCCGTTCTCGCGGAGCTCCCGAGCGGGGAGCTGCCGGACATCGATTGCTTGGACGCCGATGCCCCGGAGCAACGTTCAGAGAGGAGTGGCATTGGACGCGTCCCCAGGTGGTATTGAAACCGTTTCCAAGACATGTTTCGACGTGAGGATAGGTGGGGGTCTACTTTTTTAGATCTATGACTGGGCCTGGGGGTCAGTATAAAGGAACTGGTGTCTGGAGTTGATGAAGGGAGTGAAGGGATGGGGACACGGCACTGGATCGGCGGAGCGTAGCACTTCGCCGAGGTGCAAAGTTCGCATGTGGACTGGACCAGTATCAGGCAGGAGCCGATCGATCTGTAAATGAACCGCTCGGATTTCAGTGTTCAGGCAGGGGCGCTGTGTCGTGCGCTTGTGTCGTGCGCTTCGGCGACATGGCGTGGTTTTACTGTGGCTCGTAGCCACCAAAGCTTACTTTACCCTATAGCCTTCCAAGACCATTCAAGATTCAAACATCTTCTGACCTGGTTTTGTTTGAATTTGTATGGTGCAAAATCTTTAGTCCAACAATCTTGTTGCTCGGTATGTTCTCATGTAAGAACCGGTCGCTGTGGTGAGCTGGCTGCGGTGAACCTGCAAGCTGTTCGTTCTCACGAGTGGAGCCCAGCTGTTCCCGGACGAAACCGGTCGCTGGGTCCCCGAACTCGGGACGTTCGGGACGGGCGAGAGCGACCTTGAACCGGGTTCAGACGCAGAATAGACCGCCCTGGCCTCCCGCTGTGGGGGGTAGTGAATTGATATACCCCTTAACCTCCAAGGAGCTATAAATAGACACCCCAAGGAGGGGGCCCTGGTTTAAGTAAGACAGTGTCTTTTTTGGCACCACGGATGCCCTGAGACCGGCGTGAGACCAACGCTCGACTTCGCAGGTACCATGCCTGGGAGTTTGATGCCCACTGGCAGGCTCCCCGTCCGGCAGTGCTGGCACAGTCGGACGGCCTGGACTTGGACTGCCACGGCGCCGCTGCGAAGGGTGGGTTGCAGAGGAAGGGAGGGAGGGGAGGACCTTCTTCCCAGGTGGTCTTTCTCAGACTGGACTGAAATGTGTGGAACATGGTGCTGAAAAGATGCACTTGTTTTCTCTTTCTTTTTTTGGGGGGTGTTTTCCGGCAGACATCCAAAGAAGATCATGGATCATGTGAGAATTCAAGAACCACTCAGTCCAAAAGCGCTGTGCGCTTGCTTAGCCTGCTGATGGGTGTGGCCCCTGTGATGGCATCATGTAGGCTCAAACTAGTTTGAGATTAGCTGGTGAAGATAACTTGAACTTTGATTGGATCAAACGCCGAGACAGCAGAGATCGAAGGAAATTGAATCGCCATGACTATGACTTCAATTCAAGCATATTCAAGCCAATTCTCCTGCATCGGTTTTCTCGGCAATGGCAGAGCCGGCGGTGCAGAATGGCCAGCAAAGAGGTGGATTCCTTTGCCTTTGCTGCCTTTGCTGTTGCTTTCCTCAGCATCTATAGAGGATATAGAGGTCCTCCACTTACAACGGCATAAAGATATTATTGTTATTTCAATTTCTTTGCCTTTTCTATATGTTGTGTTTGTTTGGGGCCCACTCTGCTTCAGAATCATTCCACATCTCATTGAGCTTCCAACACCGCGGACCAAACATTTTGACTCTATAATGTGTCACCAAGTGCTATGTCAGGTTGGCGCAGATACCCCTGGTCAGAGGCGCCCAGAACCTCAGAACCTGCAAGTGAACGAGAGGAGCAAAAAACAGATTGTGACTGCGAAGTCCGCGCCTGGTTTTGAGAAGGCTTACTTCCTTTCTTTTGTTAGCGGCTTACTTCCGTTTTTGTGGTTTATGCACTGGGACCAAAGCGCTTTTGACGAGGACTATCCCTTTTTCCCCTCTTTGGGCAGAGCCCTTGGTTTCGTTGCTCTCATCTCTCCTTTTTGGGACCTGTATGCGCGCCGCAGGGCAGCAAAGAAGTCCAGCAAAGGTGCTCAAGCAAAAGAGGATGAGCTGAAGAAGAAAGAGAAGAAACAGAAAGAGAGTAAACACAAGGACAACAAGGAGAACAAAGAGAACAGGGAGAAGAAGGAGAAGAAGGAGAAGGACAAGAAGGAACATAAGGGCAAAAGAGAGAAGAACAAGGCTGGATCATTCGCATACACTTGCACATTCTGTTGGATGTAGGCTGAAACATTTGCTTTTATTCATGACTATCCGTTGGCAGGCGAAGAAGGACAAGAAGCGGAAGCACAACCTGGAGAAAGATCCGGACACCCTTGCTACAGGCGCTCCTTCTTTTTCCCGATTTCTTCCCGGCGATGGGCTTCTGTTCGCATCCACCGCGGCGATGCTCGCCCTCGCCGCGGCCAGGCGAGGACGAGCTGGACCGTCTCGGAGATGGAGCCGATGGATCAGGTCACCGAGCCGATGGCCGGACCGTCGCGCGTTTCGGGCGGGCCTTGACCGAGCTGGTCACGGTCCATAGGTTGATTGGCCGTGGGATGTCTGGTTCGACATCATGGCTTCCGGGTGGTGTCACAAAAATGCGGACATGTTGCATACCAGCACCCCCAGTCGGGGTGGTATAAATAGACACCCCGAATCACAGCTAGTTACGGGGCTAATAAATAGACACCCCACGGTGTCGGGTCCTGGTAGTTGGAAGATCCAGCGAACTGTGGTAAACCTTGGCACCGACGTTCCATGACCTTCATCGGTTCATCGTCTTCCGACAGGATCCCCTGAGCGAGGTTCGGGTATCCCCCGGATTTCGGTGGGATCACCTGACTAGGAAGAATCAAAAAGACTACATACCCTCAAGAAAAGGTCATGTAGCTGCCATCCCCATCATGTAGCTCTTAGTGCAAATAAATTGGAAAAACAAGCTTTTTCCTTCTTCTCCCTAAAAGCCTTTCCTTGTTCCGTGCTCATGTCCTTCCTCTTTGCCTCGTCATGTCCTTCTTTCCGTTTCTGTGGTCGCGATCCTTCGAGGGTGCTTTCTCCATTCCAGTCATGTTCTCCTTCTGTGCTCGTTCGCTCACACATGGGGGCTGACATCATGGGGGGTCTGGCATCATTGCAAAAAACTGGTCTTTCCTTGATCCGATCTGCATTGACCCCCACCCCACCCAGACTCCACGTCTATTCGCCCCGCTCCATGTCGGACTCATTTGTCAAGACACGAGCTCCACAAACAGGTCGGACTCAGCCTGACGACAAACTCCGCTTCTCGCAAGCTCCGACGTTTTGCACTTCAGGTGACGAGGAAGCCAATCTGTGGGATTCCATCGGAGCAGAACTGCCGGAGAAAGCTGTCGTGGAGACCCCAGCGGCTGCCACTGCAGGTGTTGCCACCGTGTCCGTGGCAACACCCGACCCCACGGCGGAGGCAAAGAAAAGTGGGCTGGTGGGTTGCTGCACAACAGCTCTTGCAACATCTTAAAGCCCTGAAAGGATGTCGACGGGCAGGGCGAGTGGTTGAGTGGTTTTCCGGGGACGGGGCCAAGGGGCCTAGGGTGGCCTTTGGATCCTCGGCCAGGCCCAAACAGTGAAAGGCGACTATGTCATTCAGGCGGGTGAAGACTGTTCGGGAGACCGCTTCTTTGTCCAACAGGTGTTGTCTGGAGACTGTTCCAGGATTGACATCCTTGCAGCTTTGGGCCTTGAACGTCCAGATGAGAAAGACCCCTATAGCCAACAGATGCCAAAAGTATATCTATGAGATGAAGAGTAATTGGGGGAGAAGCAGGAATCATGGAGTGAAAGTCGTTATAGTCGTTGTCATCTGAGTCGGGCTGGTGCCATCAGAATAGAGACAGACAACTAAGGTAGTCACGAACAGATGCCGCTTCAGTTGCCTGAGTCATGCCTGCCATTGCCTACCTTAGCAACATATATTGGCGGCAACATGTGACTGCCCACCCCTTGGTTTATGACCTCAACATTCTTCAACTAAGGGCAATCCTGAAACTCAGCATTAGCCCCGAAAAGCAGCATCCTCCACGGGATCACTCATGAGGGGGATCACTGAGTGGTTCTGGATGAGTAAAACGCAGCCAGGGACTATACCGAAACAGACGCCAATCGCGAACACGAGCAGATGAGTCCAACAATCCTGCAGATGTTTGGCACTGAGCCATGACACCTCTGTACCCCTTGCAGTGTCCCACAATCCAGACGATTGTTTTTTTTTTCAGGATTAGATTGCAATTTGAAACACACATATAAAAAGAAAGATATATATAATTAACACAACTGTAACATATTACGTACACAATCGTACATATTAAACTATCTGTATACATACATATATATATATATATATATCAATATAGTTTAGGTAAATGTATACATCATGTCGAATGACCAAACAGATACTTCCTCTTCAAGCCTCTAGAGTTGGGTGCCCGACCTTTTTTCGTTTTTCGATCGAAGGAACGCCAGGAAGACAAGTGGTGTGTAGCTAGGGAGATCCCTCCAGAAATCATGAGACATCCGAATTTCGGGGAAAATAGACGACAAAAACAAAGTCCCAAAAGGGCCAGGTAGGGCCAGCTCCCCCCTATTGAAACACTGGCCAGCCCATTTCATGCCACCGAAAACCCAATGGAGTCATCACCGAGTGCGTGAGATCGTCGGTGATCCCTCGTGGACGTCGGTGCGGCAGCGGGAGCGACGGCCAGGTGGATGCGGAGTTGCGACAGACGATGGCGGAGAAGGTGAAGATCATTGAACACATCGTGGAGGGAACTCAGCTGGTGCTGGAAGCTGGCGCTTTGCAGATCTTTGGTGGCTTAGATGAAGATTCAGTAAGAGATTATGAATAAGACCAATAAGTCAAGAGGTCATAGTAGCATAATGTAGCATATTTGGTCGCTCTCACCTCAAAAGCCTTCGCGAATCCTGGCAAACATCGACGGCCGTGTCTTTGTGTTTGGACCGGGCTCGTTCCCACAACAGATGTGGCTTGGGTTCTTGGATGTTGCTTTGGCTGTTCTGCCTTTGACACCAAAAATGCATCCTCAGCACCCGTGAGGCCCGCCAGAGGCTCAAACTCAAGCCAACCACTGTGCCAACGCAGTGCTCAAGAATCGAGTGCATGAAGGCCTTTTTTTTCCTTCTCGGCGACTCGAACAAGAACGCACACCCAGAAGCAATCATCCAAAGCCCCTGTGGATCCATGTTTCGTGACATTTCTCAACACTGGTCGGCTTTTTCGACGCTGAGAATGGCTGAGAGTTTCTCACTGGTTTGGCATGAGAGGTTCATGTGGATTTGGTCGCTCGTTTACATTCGTTTACAACGCCCGGCCGTTGGTGTCCTTTTCGTTGGTGCACAGGATGCGCGGACGTCTCCACAGTGCACGTGTTGCCAGAGTGGGTAGACGCATGGGATGGGCAAAAGGCCTTGGAAGAAGAGTGGCTTGACTTCAATTTTCGTGGCAAATCAGTTGATTTTTCTTGCTTCCGGAGCTGTACTCTGAAACATTCTGAAACAGGTTGGGGGATTGAATCAACATATTCTGGTCAAGCAGGGCTCGAGGTGGAACAATGGGGCTGGACATGGGCCACAAATCTGGGCTCCTTTGCGACCTTTGCGCACGAATGGGCACGATCTGATTGGTACCGTCCATTCCAACCGACCTACTAACGTTGTCTTCCAACCTCCATCCCTTCGTAGAAGGTTGAAAGCTCCCGGCTCCCCCATCCGGTCGCTTCGCAGCATGTTCGAAGCTTCTTTTTCGACCTGTACAGCGTCCGACCGAGGCTCAATGTGCTCATTGTCTTTGAACGGCTGTCAGGAGCAACGGAAACCGTTGTGTTTGGGTCGGCCAGGTCGGCGTGGTGTTCCGCGTCCGGCGTTGTCGGCGGTGCTGCTTGGGGGATCCGTTTTGAAGCTGCTGCGGTCGTTTTTTTTTTGGGGGGGGGTGCGGCTGAGGAACAAAAGTAAACACATTCCTCCAGTGCTGCTTGCCACTGCGTTTTCTTGTGCCATGGTAGGGCTTTGTCGCTAAATGTCTTGTGGCAATTGGTGTGTATTTTTATGTTTGGTTTGATGACGGGCTAATTGCTGCGATTAGAGTTTTCTGTTTAGGTTGAGGTTCAATGTTCTCCCAAGCTGTTGTTCGTTGAAGCATTTGCTTTCAAATTCATGTACTGTATATGATATTGATTGAGGTTAGGCCCTGTGGTTCCTGGTTGGTCTTGCATATCAAACATCCTTCCAGAGCAAAAGCCAGATTGGCACCAGTTGACTGAATCAATGTATGGCGTGTATGGCCCCTCCTTTTCGACATTCCGATACATCTCAGTGAGGCAGGTTGAGGTTGCGCGAGTACGGTTCATCCTTGCAAGCGGTCATGCACGAACGCAACACGCAAGAGCTTTTCCGGCGCACCGTTAGAAGTGCTTGGACTTTGTTGAGCACAGGGAGTGTTGTAGCGCTGGTTCACCAAGCTCCTATTCAAAGCGATTCATAGGTACCTGCCTGGGTTCTTCATACAGGTTTGCCCCCATTTCAGATTAATAGCGCGTCGACCAAGCTGTTCCCCCATTGTTTGAGCAAACACCATGTCCCCAAAGCATTGCTGTGAGTCATCCAAGAACAATATTGCCATAGAAATTCCGCAGAACGATGTAAAAAAGGACAGTTTTTCAGAAATACAGGAATTGTTATTAATGTCCGAGTTTCCGCAAAACGATTAAAACAAGTACAGTTCTTTTTTCCAGAAATTCAGAAATTGTCAATTTTCGAACTTCCGCCAAAAGTACAGTTTTTTCCAGAAATCCGAATTTACGATTTTCCGCCAAAGTAATTTCCGACAAGCCTTGAAACCCTTCTACAGACTGTAGCTCTTGGATTCACCCAACACATTACACGTATATATATATATATATCCGCAGTATCCGAGTATCAACCATACCCAGAATGAAACCCTGATACCAGTATCCGAGTATCATCGATACCAAGAACAAAGTATCAATCACTATGTGTGTTTGTCTATGTGTATGTGCACCGTAAAATTAGTGCAATGTAGAATCTTAAAAAGTAACACGACATATAATATGCTTTGTCTTTGACACCCGCATGGTTTTGTGCCAACCATGTCCTCCATCGGATGTTGTCCCGGGACAAGTCCGGGTGAGGACGGGGAGCGTTTCCCTTGGGGCAGCTGGCTGGCTTGCCCTGGGTGAAGTGGAGCCGAACAGGCGGCCTGGGCTACAGCTGGTCGAGAATGTGAGAGTCGGATGATTCTGAGGTGATGAGTGCCCGGTCTTTATAAGGTGAGTTCTCCAAACATGATTTCAAAACGAGTTGGCCCTAAACCCTGAAACATCCCTCAGCTTCTTCCCCAGGTGAGGAAATCGAGCTCTATCAGCCGGTGGTGGCGACTCGGACGGGCCGCGCAGCAACAGAGGCAACAAGATTCTCCCTGTCCAGTCCCCTCAAGGTCCCTTACTAGCCCTCAATTTCAATGTTGATGATGTAGGATTTGATTGATTTCACCCGACCTAACCTACCGACAGGCCCACTAGAAATTGAGGGTGCGGGGGGGGAGGTGTTCAGCTGCAGTGCCGGGGTTTTGACTGCAGCCCAGGTGAGAAAGTTCTCACCAGGAGGTGGAAAAGTGAAAGTAACATGGTGCTGGGCAACACGTCTGCAAACTAATGACTTTAGCAGAGAGAGGGGGAGAGAACGGAGAAAGTTGGCGAGTAGCTGTGTTCTGTTTTGGCATCTTCTCAAATGATTGTCAGGATGGCCTGCTCAGAGATGAAGATGCCTCAAAATTACAAGCAGCTGTGCGAGTCCACATCATTGGCAAGCTTGATGGCTCAGTTTCAGTCTTTCTGTCTGACAGCCCCCCCCACTCACTGAATCCAGCTGCCATCCAAGCTGACCAAAGAGGTGAAAAAGGAGCCTTTCTAGAGATAGATCATGCTATAGATCCAATATGATCCAATCCCAAAGACGTCGCGCCACTTCTCTCGGAGACTGGGTTCTCCACCTTCTCCCCAGGTTGAGAGATCGCGGCGAAGCGCTCCTGCGCGTTCTCACCTTGGCAGACCAGAAGGCGCCGACCCGACCACCGCCGACCCGACGACCTTCCTCGAAAAACCGCGGCCGCGGCACTCGGTGGGTCACGTTGGTCATCGTCATGCAAGCCGCTAAACGCGGGGCGTTTTCTCGAGTGCTTCAGTGGAGAGGCGGTGGGGCTGATGGCCTGTCAGATGGAGACGTTGACGAGAAGGTCTGACATTTGTGGTTGTGATGGTGGGCCAGGCAGGGGTTCGCGAGAACCGCGTTACTGTTCCTTGGGGTGTTGATGGGTTTTGAGTCTGGCAGTCACGCTCCTTTTTTTGCATGGCATGAAAGTGTTTTTTGATAGCTTCGGGTGTGTGGCTGAGATTGGACGTCGCCTTAGGAGTCTCGGATGGAGTCATCTGTAGCGGATTCTCACGATGCAACCAGCTTGCGAGCTGTATCCTATACCAGCGGAGCGCATGATTCTGTTTTTTGACCGAGGTACTGCCGTGCTAGGCTAGGTGTAAATGACGCTGAGACATAGCTTGTGGCCTTCAGGAGGTATGGGGCTGCAAGAGTTTGATTTGGGCTTTGATCAAAGGACTGATCTCTTCGATCGGAGTGTCCAATCACTTGCTTTTTGGACTTTTGTCATCGAGATCCCACCTTTTAATTGAGAGGAGCTTGAAGAGATTCTGGGGGCCTCGCACCCAGTTCTCTTTGGGAACAGCATGGAACAGCATGCTAGCACTGGCCGTTTGAGCCACTCTGGTGCCTCCGGTTTGAACAGTTCCATCAGTTCTTGGGAACTGGTGGGGTGCATATCTTCACTGTGCCAAACGGGTCGGAGGCTCCCTCCAAACGGGTCTCTAAATTTCATCCTGACTTCCACCGCTCAGGAATAATGGATCGGAGCTTGTGGATCTGGCTCCTGGGTCGATTTTCAACGAACCGCCTTGGAAGCGAAATACAGGAGCGATCGGACGCTACGAACGGGGCGTTTCTGGCCGTACTACGAGGAACAAGAAGCTACTTGAAACAAGACATAAAGATAAAATAGAATTATAAGTATAACTATAATTATAATCACATCGATATTGATCCGAACTGATGTTCCAGCACCACGGAAAGGTAGGAGCCCCTGACTACAGGCAGGATCGCATGGCGGACAATGCATTTTCCATCCAATAACCACCCAAGACACCGTGGTGCTGGTTGACAATGTGTTGATTCTGGGCATTCCGTCATCATCGCCCCATGGTAACCTGCACCCATCGACATCCGTCTACTAAACCTCCATGGGGGACGCCATCTCCAGAGTGACTGTTTGAAAAACGATGAGAAAACTCAGCAATTGATCCGTCATGTAGGCACGGGTGCGCTAACGCGCAAATGTTACGACACAAAACCACCTGACCCCAGGAAGCTTTCTTCACTTCCTCAGGAAGCTCAGGATCCGCACTCGACTGAGGTCACGAAGGTGAGCCGTTGCGTCACTCTGAGTGTCTACGAGCGCCCCACTGCTGTGAGCGAAAGCTACAGCAGAGGCTCCAAACAACACATCATCGTTGCTAGGCGGAATTGAATACAGTTTGCGTTCTTTTATCACTTTGGAGTTGGGGAGCTTTTCTTTCTCGCAGGTTCGTGATGTCCTTTTGAAGCGGGCTGGAGCAGGGGGGTCGCTGCAGATTGGGCGAGGCTCTGTCCAATGTCCCAGGTGTTGGTGTTCCTTCTGTTGGCTCGCGCAGCGCAGCGAACCAACAAGTTGAGGAGCCCAAAACCCGACCCAAAAGTGGTGGCCAGGAGCCCCAAGTTGAACGGACTCGCAGGAGCGGAAGACTCTCAATATGTCCTAATTGAGTGGCTTTGGGCTGCTGAGATGTCGCCCCAAATGCTTCCCAGGCCCGAGGTGTGGCCCTCCAGCTGAGGAGTTCTTGAAAGGAGTTCCCTTCAGCACACCGCTTTTTGAAACGCCTTTCCTTGCGGAAGAATTGCGATAGAAGGTTAGGGGTGCTGCGCCCTTCTTCTCAATAGGTTTCGGGTGCTGTGCCGTTCGTTTTCTTCTTTTTCAGGCTTTGGGCACCCGAAAACAACGATGGATGGCTGCGGAGCTCTTGAGGAGAGGGGAGCTGGGTCGACTGATCTATGTTCTTTCATGTTCTTTCTAACGGGGGGGGTGTTGCCTGGGAGGTCTCCCCATTGTAATGCTAGTAGCGATGCCAGGAGCCCCTAGTAGCGAACATTGTTACCAGTATCGGTATCATTCAGTTTGTCTTGTTTGGTTTGTATGATGTTGTAGGGCTCGATGGCTCGGTCAATCTCGGCCATTCGATGGAACCTCCAACCTTGGTGGGATGCGCTTTCCAGGGCGGGCCGTTTCTGTGGGTCGGGTTATTCACGTGTTCCAATGGGACCGGCCGGCTCTAGCGGCCCAGCTCTGGCTGCCAAGACCTTCACCAGTCCCAGTGCCTCCCTCTTGCTGTTGCGTCCCGCAGGATGATCGTGTACACCACCATCGAGAAGTGGTTAGGCCGAGTTCCTGCCAAACTTGGTGGAGAATGCTGCCTGCTGACTCTCCCAGGGCAGGCAGGACCTTCCAGCTTCTGACTGTCTCGTCTGACACCATCCAAAACCATCCTGCACCAAGTCACAGGGAGAACATGCAGCACTTCCTTTCTTCGCACGCCGGGGTCTTCGGTGGTCCAGCTGGTGTCTCTTCTTAAAAGCACATCCATTGAAAGCACACTCCCAACAAACATGGAAGCAGGGGCCTTTGGAAGTTTCTTCATCTGTCCTCTCCCAGTGAGAAAAAACACTTCTCCACATGAACTTTTTTTGAGCCGTTGTCTCTCTCCACACGTGGGGGAAAGGTTTCCCCCACCCAGACTTAGCTGGCAGATGCGTCCTCGTCCGATGAAGAATCCAACGCCTTGTGAGGCGTTGACACAGTTCTTTGGCTATCGGCAGCGCCACTACCGAGACTTGATGCATGAGACCAACACCATCATTGTTCCGGTGCAACAAAACAAGGGCCCGGCTCTGAGGAGGTTGCAAACCCAAACTCCGATTGATCCCAATGAGCATCAATGAACTGTTTGAGTCCCCATATTTCTCGTATAGACATGAGTCGGGCACTTCAGATTGTGTGTGTTACACCGTGTTTTGAAAAACACACGGTGCGCGACCTGGTTGCCACCTTGAGGTGGCATCGAGAAGAAGGACATCGACGAGGTGGAAGATTTTATCGCCAACATGATGGAGGTGTGGCGGAACTGGATGGAACTGGATGGAGACGATGGATTCGGATGGGAAAGACAGTGTCTTGAATCTGCGGGCCATTTGAGGGAGGCCCGGGACGCTATAAGAGGAGCCTTTAAGAGGAATAGTCATGAATAGTCCAACAATATCCAACAATTGCATAGATGTTTTCCGATGTCTTGCTGGCTTTGCCTGGATGCAGTTCGTTTTGTGCCCACGAGAGTTCCTTCATCGCTATACTCCTGCTTACCTCTCACCCATGCCACTGCTTGCCTCGCGATAGGCAGACGATCCGTTTGAGATTGCCATTTTCGGGGAGCCATTGGCGCAAAGCATTGTGCTTGTGAAGCTGTATGCCCTTGTGGAGAGCAGCTCGGCCCAGCTCGGCGTTCGTTAGCTCGGCGGATGGGGGGGGGGGCAGCGTCATGACGCATTCCGTCCACGACACGCTCCGCATGGACAGCATCGCTGGTGAAACCTCGACCAACACGGCGTTCCGTCCGAAGGCCGCGCCGGCGCTTCTTGGCGCCAGGAAAGGTGCCCGGCTTTGTGATCCGCTCTGGCCAGTCAGAGGAGCAGATCGATCCAAGTGATGGCGTTGGCATCGACAAGATCCGATTAACCTTCGATTTTCAGGACGGGTCCCGGAAGACGCGAGCCAGCGGCAGAGACCGGACCTCTTACTGTACCAACAGAGGTTGAAGAACCCAAAAGACTATAGGTACCCCTGTAGGATCCTATAAGGTCACTTAACCTTTGTTGGACCTTCTTTTTTTTCTCTCTCTCTCTCTCTCTCTGCGCTGGAATTGTTTATGAAGATCAGAGAAGGCGTGCGAAATACCCCCCCTCACCATCCAACGATCCTCCAACTCGTGGACATCGACACCTGTGCACTCAACGACCTCCTACGGTTGTGACATTTGTCGCTGGTGTTGCGATGCCTTCAGGAAGATGCCACCAACAAGAAAGCTGCCTCTTGGATCCTTTTGGGACACGAATTCGCCCCGGTCCCCGTTGCCTCCATTGCATGTCCCATCTGCCTCCAAGGAGATTCTATCGGAAGCTGCGGGCTGCTATGCTGCTTGTATCGGAAACCTGATGCTTTGCCGCAATTGTTTGTGTTAGAATTTCGTGGTGGAAACGTGGTTAAACACTGCGCTGCCTGGAAACGCACGGTTGAAGTATAGTCCCACGGCCGTTCGGGCTTGTTTGGTTGAACCAGATTGAGTTGGGAGCGCAGGGGACCCCAGGTCCTGTGTGTGTATGCTGCTATCTTGCCACTGTAGGCTTTTATTGGCAGGGCATTTGAAGAACCGACAGCGTGCCAGAGAATATGCTCAGTTCTTAGCGCCAAAGCAGCGAACGACTGGCATCTGGGCACGAAAAAGGAGTCAGTTAGAGGGCGCCAAACGAGCGCATGACGCCGCATGCGCCGTGGTTTCAGAGTAGATGGCACAATCCCCATACGTGTAGGTGTCTTTTGGATGATGTCCAAGGAAACAACCTTTTGGGGGATTGTACCATCTACTCTGAATGTCGCCGCGTTGTTTCGTGCCAAGAAGCCAAGGAGGCAAATTTCCCTACGTCCATGACGTGGACGTGAGGGCCGACATGATGGCCACGTGGGTTCCGGAAGATGCAAGCAAGTCCAAATGGTTTAAAGACCGGTTAAAGTCTCTCATGGAGGAGATGGGGGGAGTGTTTTGGAGGGAGAGATAGGGAGTCTCGGGGTGACTTTTCTTTTTTGTTAAATATAGTAATATTAAATAGATCACAGGCAAAACAATTCAAAACCAGGTTTTGGTTGGGAAGGCCTGCTTTTTGCGACATGGCTTTACTTTCTTTTTTAAAGGGATTCAGTAGATCTACAGGTCTGTAGGTCATCCATGGTTCTTTTCTTCCCAAATCAACCCATCCAGATCGATACAGGAAGGAAAGATGTGCGCCTTCTTTGACGACTGCACCAACGACAATGGGGAGCGACGCTTGATCTTTGCGGGCATCAGGGTGGAAAATGAGGAGGAGAAAGAGGCGCGTTTGGTGTGTGTATGTGTTTCTGCTGTCGGTATTGGATGGTATTGGGTTGGTTGGCGTAGCACTCTTTTTTGAGGATTTGCGGGGTCGGTGGTGTTTCTGCTTCCAGGCCTGCCTTTCTATTTCGCCAGGCTGTCATGGAGGTGGTGACCAAGACCCAGGATCTAGCGAAAGATGCCGTCGATTGGATTCACGAGAGGCGCCGGGCCCGGGCAGCTCATTCGGCTTTGGAGAATCACGACAGATACAAGTCAGCAAAATAGAGTCATAGAGCTTTCCCAGACATTTTGAGTGTAGGAGTTGGAACTGGTGAGGGGTAAATGACGAATGAGGCTCTAGCTTGAGCTGAGTTTTTGTGCCCAGAGACTTTGCGAGGGAAATGCTCTTTGTGAGTTTTTTTGGGGGAGATATTTGATATGATTTCACAAAGGTGTTGATACTGAAAATCAGCCAAGATGTTTGATTTGGCTGGTTCGTTACCCAAAGGCATAGAACTGAAGCACTAACAAGTGCTAATCTTGGGCTACAGCTACACAACCTCAAAGAATCTAGGAACCATTCTTTTGGAACCTACATGCAGCACACAAACAAAAGAAAAGGGATCGACTTGATCAAAGACCACGGAATGTCTACCAAGTATCACAAGTATCCTTATGATACTGTAACAAGGGGCTGGCGAGAACATGGGGGCATGGTTTCATTGCCGCTAGTCAGTTGTGGTTTTGTGGCTTTGTGGTTTTGCTCAGTGCAGCTGTTCCAGAAACTCGATTTCTAGAACCTTCTTCAGCGGCGCGCGAAGCATCGATTCAATATGAGCCCTACGTAGCTACGTTGATGAAAGCTCAGAAGCGAACTGACAAACGGCAGAACAATGAGCTACACTTCAAACACCCTTCCAAAGCGTTAGTCCTCTTCGTCTATTGGAGGGGAATCTTTCAATCAGCGTGTGAAAACCAAGAAGGATCGCGAAGGCGTTGCAATCACGGGTGGCGTTGCAATTATGGACGGACACGGTGATGGTCGGTAAACAATGGTCACTATTTGGATCAAAGGCCGTTACTGTACGAACCATCATCCACCGGCAAACTGGTCATGGGATAATTGGGATAATAGTTATTATATATATACCCTAGGGATCCACATACCTTCTCAGGAGGTACTTGGGCCCTCCAAGCCGAATTACATAAATAGTATCTAATCACCTTCTGAGAAGGTACTTGGATCCCTAGGGTATATTATATTATGTATATATATATTATGCATATATCATACCCAAGTCAAATCCAAAGGATCTTGCTTGAACTTGAGTCGTTCATTCAACGGGTCTCCGCTTTCCAAGCGGTTGGAAGGCACCCCGGCCAGGTACAAGAGCATTGACTCGAGCCAAGAATGGTCATCGTGGAAGCGCCGAAGGACGATGGTTTCCAGCACCCTCACGAAGCAAGAGGATAAGCCGTCCGATCCCGTGGACAGTGAACACTGGAACCAAGGGCGGGAAGAGAACTCAATGAGTTCGTCAAGCTGGTCCAGCTGGTCCAACTGGCAGAATCCATCCGATGAGCCCACTTCGGCCTCCAGCGGGCTTCGTGTGCCTCAGACGCCTGCGGGCTTCGGGCCACATGGCAACACAGCACCCCACACGCCCATGCCCGCCGCTCGCGGCGCGCCACGGACGCCTGCGGGCTTTGGCCCTTATGGGCTCTCGGCACCTCAAACACCTGCGCTACCCGCGGCATCTGCGGCCGCATGGCGCCCCAAGGAGCCCGACTCTCGGGCTGCTGTGCCACCACCGGCCACTCCAGCACGGCCTGTGCCTGAGCCGGCGACCCCTGCCAGAAGCATCCCGCCACCAGCCACGCCAGCCAGGCCCCTGCCAGCTACACCAGCCCCGAGTCCTTGCCGCATGAAGCTTTTGGTTGGACCACGCGTTTGGACGGGATTTCCATAGATTTTCCTTGACAAGTCTCTGTTGATTCTGGACAGGTCGCTTCAAGATGCTTGAAGAAGTCCCGCAGAACTGGACAGTTCCCCTAGAAGCCCAACCCCCCCATAGTTCAGTGATTTCATGACTTATGATTTGAGAAGTGGTACAGTAGCCAACGAGGAATCCGAAACGAAGCATGTCATTGAAAACCTCACCTGTAACCCCAGCTTCAAGAGTCTTCAAGGCTCTAAACTCGGAAGGGACCCAAGCTGTGGCGCAAGGAATCCGAATCCAGATGAAACGCTGCCACCTGGATGGCAGAAGTCTGGACCCCAGTGATCCAAGACTCACATCTCGACTCGTTGACCGTCGCTGCCCAAAACGACTCGGACGTGTGCCAGCAGGTGTACTTCCCGGAGCAGCGGCAAGTCATACTACTTCAACGCGAGACTGGTGATCTCTCAATACGAGCGCCCCGACGCTTGATGAATTGGGCCGTGGCAGCGTCTCACCCAAAAGAGTGATATGCCTCTCCGCCGGAGAACAAAAGCGCCTCCGGCGTTTGGACGTCTGCAGACTCTGCGGGTTTGGACTGGGCGAAGAACGTCGGTGTCTCGAACCAGAAATTCTCAGGTCATGTCTCAATGTTCTTCCCGACAAGTCGGAGGAGCATGTGGTCTTGCATCGTTTGAGCCTCAAATCTGTTGTCCTCGTGGCGTACTCGTTTTCTTCGTCATCCGTCGCGCACAGGTGCGCCAGATTCTTTTGCCGAGTGTGCGCTGGGCACTCTCTCAGCTGTCCTGTTGGTGCCTAGCTCAGTTCGAGCCGCTCAGCTCGAGCCAGAGCGTGTGGTGCAAAACGGACCATGCTGCCGATGCACCATTTCAGTGAGTTGGATGAAGTTAGCAGGCAAATGTGAACAGCACCAGCAACAGCACCTTCAGATGAAATGGACATATGTATACTATGCCATGCGTACATATATATACAAAGAGAGAGAGAGAGAGAGTGAGTGAGTGAGCGAGCGAGGGAGTGAGAGTGAGTGTCACGACCAATATTGGAGGAAATTCATGCTCCATCACCGCCACCCATCCTTATTGCTTCACGTTTCTTGAAGTTCGGGGTCCCATGGGGCCCCCCGTCACTCCAAGGTGTCAGTTTGCGCCGTCCTCGGCCGATTTGTTGTTGTGTTGCAAGTGCCCGGATGTGCCCGAGAGAATGCTAAGATAGGAGGAACTTGAGAGGCTTTTTCGACTGGAAAAAAACGACTCATTTGCTTTCCGAGAAGTGAATTGGGCACTTGTTTTGACATGGGGCGTTGAGTTGCTGCCTTGGTCTGTCTTGACATGGCAGTGTCTCCTATGTTGAAGACGCTTTGCCCCCAGAACGTCGGATTTTTCATGCTGGGCACCGGCCAAGGCACAGCCGATTGCTCTGGTCAGACTGGGCCGATTTCTCAGGATGGGGAAATCAAGCAGAGAGCTCGGTTACTATATTTATATATAGTTTTTTTTTCCAGTTTGTTTTGTGTTTTGTTTCCTCCTCTCTCTCTCTCTCTCGCGCTCCCTCGCTCTCTCGCTCTCTCTCGCTCGCTTGTCAGCTTCATCGGTGACTTAGTCCTCTATCGTGGATTTTTCTGGTGCTGCATGGCACGTTGATGTGCTACAGGTAGTAAGGCTCAGCCACAGGGCCTGCAGGAAAGCCCCAGGCCCCCCCCCCAACGATCCAAACTCAGAGTGCGGAAACCGAAGATTCCAAAGCGCAAGGCCTGGGCCTGGAATCTTTGATGAGTTGTGGTCCAAGCCCCAAGAGAGTTGGAGATGAGTCGGAGCTGCACGGTTTCTGTGCCAGCCAAGCTACACAGTGGGCGATAGGTGGTAAGAGATGAGTGAGGAAAGGTGGAGCATGATGCTACGAGAAGCAAGAGAACAAGCATGCAACATAGAGCATATGTCACGAGATGTTCACATGAATTTCAGGTGGTTATGCTTAACATCAACCAGATCTCTAAACGAGGCGTCACGTTTTGGTCCAAGGAGAGCGCTTCTCCTAGGACCTGATGCAGTCCCTTTGTTCGCTGGCTCAGTGGGTGGGGTCGGGGTCTTCTCACCTCGGTGGCTCAGTGACCGGTGGACTGGCTGCGTTGAGCAGCTTATAAAGCCAGTCAGGCTGAAAAGACTTCTGCTTGTGACTAAGCTGGCCCTACAGGCCTGCAGGTCAGCTTAAAGCTGTCAGGCCCTCCATGTAATATCATGTACTGTAATGAGTTTTTCGGGATCGGTCACCAAACAAGCACTAGAAGTGACCCAAAAAGTCACTCCTTCCTTGACCTTTCTGATTGTCAGTTGCCATAATGGTCTAGTCGTCGCTTCTTCCTGGCTGTGGAGCGTCAGGTACACACTGGGTACATCCACATGGCCGATTGCATCAATGCTGGCGGGAAGCATGCCATGACTGAGGGTCAAAGCTACTGCCCAAATATATGGCAAGTGAAGCAAGGGACCCTTCCGACAGACCCTCCAGACAATTCCGGTCCAAAACTGAGCCCATCCTCAACATCTCCATGTCTACGGAGTCAGCTGACCCTTGGGGAGGCCAAGTGGCAATCCTACTGTGGAGAAGATCCGGATTTCAAGATCGTCCGCGACTCGGGGCTCCACAGGAGTTGCCGCGCGGCGCGGTTCTTTGAACGAAGACAGCTCCTCGATCCGCTGGGAGTTGGCGGTGAAGCTCGTCGAGCCTGGGGCGGGTCCTGAAATCCTGGAACATCCTGAAAGCAAAAGCCATACAAGAACCATGCAAAAACCATTCAAAACAACTATATAGGGTAATAAGTTATGAGTGTTATAGCTTTGCATCATTTCCGCCTGTCTAACGCTCTGTCCGCCTGTCTAACCACCTCCAACGCCTTCCCTCCAGGTCGATACCGGCAACCTGTGCAGACAGTCGACTCCTTAGACAAGTCTGCCGCAAACGAAACGCAGTACGTCCCCTCGGCCGAGGGGCCAACGTGTTAGTAGCTATTTGCTCCGGCTAGTAGTAGTGCCCTTTGTTACTTGTAGCTTCTTGTTACTAGTAATGCCAGGAGCTATTAGTAGCTAGTATCGAACGTCCAGGCAGGAGGTGGTGCAATTCCTCTCGCGGGCGGAGGAGGCCACCGAGGAACAGCCGGGGGCCGCATCGCGCAGCGGAGCGCGAATCGTCTGCGACTAAAAGACCTTGACAGAGACCCGGGGACGATGCCGAGGACACGTGGTTGTGCTACTAGTAACCAGGGCAGTAGGGGCACTAGTAACAAGTGCAACTACATACTAGTATAGTAACGAGAAGCTACGAACGGAACAAGGACCCCTGGTCCACGGCTGTCGAGCTCACACCCGCCCCGCCTTTTGGGGCGAAGTCCGGTCTCGGGTCTCGCTGAGTTTGATGCCTCTTCTGTGGCAGCCGCGTGAGAAAGCTGGAGCAGTTGAAGTGATGCAGCAGTCTCAGCTGAGCACTGTCAGACGTGAAACATGCCATCAACGGAGTCCGGAGTGGAGCAGGGGAATTCTTTGAGGATGAGGATCTTAAGCCTTGAACGTGCAGATTGAAGTGCATCTTTCAAAACGCTAATATGAAGAAGTATTCGGTCAGTGAAGTTTAGGTTGATGTCATAGAGCGAATGAGATGTCTCAGCTTTCTGCATGGCAGTTGGTGACTGGTATTGACTGGTCTATTTACATTCATTCACCATATACTCGCGCTTAAATCATGCGGATATCCTTTGTGAAGGAATAGGGTCACCTTGATGCTCGTCTCGACTTTCAGGTTGGGCATGTTTGTTGCCACCACACTGCGTCCAGCTCTCAACCTGAAAAAGAACGATAGCAAAAACCCATCCACATGAACCACACGAGCCACATGAGCCATGTGCATTGCCTGGTGCAGGTTCCTTAACAACCTTCATGAATAGCCCGAGCCCAAAAACGCTCTCCACTCTTCAGCGCGCACGAGCGACTTCGAGCGCACCGAGCAGCGGCCAGCGAGTAGCGGGAGCGGCTCGCGTCACAGGCGGCCCACATGCGGAGCCCGAGTTCGCGAGCACTTGCCCGGCAGCGGTGGCCTCGGTTGGGTCTTTGCTCGATTTTGGGGGGTCCCGGAAGAGAGGTCCCCGGCAGCTAACGGCCTCCATGGCAGAAAAAGAAGCAGCACGGAACGACGTGTCCGTTCTTTGGTTGCAGAACGTGCCGGAAAGGTTGAAATGTATTTCGGACAATTGGACCAGACCATGTGTGTTGACCATCGAGGCAATGCCATAATCTAGGGCCTTGGGCCTCAGGAATGGACCTTTTGACCTGAGGTCATGTGCGCGGAAGGTGCGACACTCATGCTGTGTTGACCCCAGATGCCCATGAGGCGACACTCATGAGGATCATGGAGCCGCACGGCTGTGGATGGCGGTCATTTGATGTGGAAAGGCGACAATCATCGCATTTCCCATGAAGTTTGACATCCTCAGTCCTCAGTCCTTCTTTTAAACAAAAACCTCAGAAGAAACGTCGTGAAGCTCAGGATCCGTTTGCTTGGCCCACCTGTGCCGCGAGACCCCTTGCATCGTGCATGGCCGAGAATGGCACGGTGTCGCTGCGACAGATACAGCGTTTGAGGGTGGGGCAACAGACATGAGATTGTTTTGAATAGATCACTTATCGGCATCGGACTTATAATGACTTATATATCGCATATGATTTATATTGCATAATATGATGTCGCCCCATATCATCATCCTCATCCCGACTCATGAGGAGTTCGAGTCCAACTCTTTTGGCCGTTTCAGCAGATGGGTGTTACTGTAGCATTGGCATTTCTCTCGGAGGAGGGTGCCAAAGAATCCATGTTCCCTGAAAGCAGGGCACTTTCCAGCGAAGGACCAGAGACACTGGTTGCCAGACAAGGGGGTAGGCCGGTCCCCTATACTCTCCCATGCCGCATGAATCACGGCTTCCAGCAGACTGAGGTCCAAGATTGCTGGAGCCAGGGACTTAGATGGTCTTGGTCCACCAGGAATCCGACTCAGTACGTTTTCAGCATGTCTCAGACCTAGTGGATAGTAATCTTAAGGTTATGTTTCAACTTTCCCAAGCACCCATCCAAGAGCATGTCTTCAAGGTAAAGATGTACCAACAAAAACGTGTCAGAGCCATTCAACACCTCGCCGGTATTGATCTGCTTTTTTTGAGCATCCGTCCGTGGTGTGAGCTTTAGAGTCCTTGGCCAACGGGACCAGGCTGACCTCGCTGATTGCGCAGACCTCTTTTCGAAATCTCACGCGCGCACCTACGGCGGGGTGTTCAGTGGCGAGGGGCTGCTGAACCTGGGAGAGAAGGGTCTCGCAGGTGCTTGAAGACAGGTGTTAAGCTTTTGATAGACTTGGTTGTCCGCATAGATCGCTTCAAGCAACATCTCCCAGCAACATCTTGACTCGGCTTTTTCCAAATCTTGACGTCTTGGGTCGAAACTCAGAATGAATCAGCATGAGATGAAACGAGGCATGTTGTTGCTATTGTTGCTATAGTCGCGCTGGCTGGCTCCGCGTGGCTGGTGGTAGGTCTTCGCCGTCGTGGCTGTCTCCTACTTCATCGCCTGGCGCTCGTTGCTCGGCTTATGCAAGGGCGTGCCGCGTCGCGGGCGTGCGACGTCGCGGGCGTGTGGCATGAGACGGTGAGACGGCGAGTTGAGAGATGTGAGGCATGACACCTTCTTGGAGGTGAAGCATGCCGAGGAGCTGGCCCCAGAGACTTGACTTGGCTGACCCGAATGACTTGGAGGTGAGTTATGTCCAGTTGTGTCCCACAGTGCTTAGGGACATTTGGAATTCCAATTCCTTGTGCAGATGTTGGGAGATCTCCAGAGATTTCTCATATTTCTCTGCATTTCCATTGGTGTCGCAGATCCGGAGAGTCCTTGAAGAAGGCCTTCAGAAGGCTGCGAACGAAACGACATCGGATGGTCAGGTGGTCGTTCACAGGGGATCGACACATGCGACAGGACTGTGCCAAAAGGATCCAAAAGGAATAAGCACACACACATTTATATATATATATATGTAATTAGTAACATCCAAAAGCTGCCGATCTCCGGCAGAAAACCTGCCCTGTTGTGGCACAAGCTAAATTATGCGCATGGCTGCACAGCAGGCAACCTGAGTCTTGTGTGATTGCATGCTGTGAAGGTCAGTGGGTGCCAAACGGGATGCGATTTGCTGCATCACTTCCATCAGCAGGCAGCGCCTGAATGATAGATGGGTTCTTGATGGTTCTTGTTTCTTTTGTGGGCAGGAGTGCTTGGAGAGATTACAGAGAGAGAGAGAGAGAGAGAGGGAGAGAACCGCATAACACATGGCTTAAACATAGCGAAATAAGTACTTGTTTGTGGGAATCCCATGGGTCCTAGCCCAAGTTCAGGGCCCGCCAATCGCCCAATTCGGGCCAGCTCGGAGTCCCCACAGCTGCCAATTCAGTTGGCCCTGCATTTGGTGGAATGAACTGACAACTCTAAGTGGACCGTTTTTGGTGAGCAGAAAAAGCAAAAAATAATAGAGAAACAGCCAAATGTTAAGTAATTAAGAAGGGGGAAACTCTCGCGAATTTTTATTTTTGGGTGTGCCTGTAGCTGAACTACGGGCTTACCTAAGTTTTCAAGATCAATTTGGGTCACCTGGTGGGCCCAAGGAAACAAGGAAACACGAGCCATGAACTCATCTAAACTCACAGGGTTTCTTCCACAGAAACCCTGTGAGTTTCCTGCTTTTGGTATAGAGAGCGCCATGTGCACCGCATTGGACGAAGTGTTGGCGGGAAAGATGGCAAAGGACGTGCTCTGGTTTTCTGTGAGTGCTGGCACAAGGAACCTGGTGCTGATGATCAATGCCAACCGCTGATAGGGCAACCAGTGCCTGAGGACTTGAAAAGGATATGGCGTCCGGTCTTCAACCACGCTGGCATGGCCAACGAGTGGCCAAGAGCACGGGCGAAACGGACAAAGAGAGCCGCACAGCACGCTGGTTAGTTCCTGCAGGACTGACACACGTAGCACATATAAGCACACACGCACTCCAGACTTTGTTGCTCTTGAAACCCAGCTTGTTCTGCAAATTCGGCAAGGGCGTCAACGATAACTTATATATATTTCTTGAAAAGTTGAACACATCAAAATCAATGCAATCAGAACATCAACTCGCACCTTACCTAGGAAAACTGGCCAGTTCATTGTTCAACGCACATGGCATCTGGATCTTTCCTTTGGGCAAGAATAGTGAGGTTTTATTCCAAAAAAGTCCGAGAGCCGCCCAAAGCTGCCCTCCAGGGTGAAGCTGCTCTTCGAACCTGGTGGCAGGCGCTGGTCGCTGCCCACGCTCCACTCGACCCGCTCGGCCCGTTCGACCCCTGTGGAGCGGAGTCGGAAGGCCGTGGGCTCGAGTGCCCAGCTTCCGCCGTGCGTGGCCTCAGTCCGCGGGTTTTTTTCTTCGCACGCGGAGCGAGGTGAACAATGATTCCATGTGAGGTGCGGAGGTCTTGGCTTTGAGAATGATGTATAGCATGGCAACGAAGTCTTAGTCTTGGAACATGACGATCAATAGAGGGATTTCCTGTGGCGATCAGCTAGCAACAGTTGCATCAGCCTCAGCCGGTGAAATCTCCTTGTTCAATCCGCCCCGTGGCCCAGTCTTTGGAAGCAACTTGGGCGTGGGTGACTGAGCTGGCGTTGGCATTTTGACCAGGCGTATGTAGAGGTCTTGTGTGTGTGGCGTGTGGCACCTTTGGTGGCCCTTGATTCATGGGGGTCCCTGTGCAAATGGCACCACGAAGGAGACTTCAGTCTAATGTCTCTAGCTGAGGTTGGCTCGTGTCCCATCCCACTTTGCAGTGTCAAGGAGCAGGCGAGCGAATGTGTGCCACATTGCCGGCACAATGACCAAACTGAGAGCTATAGTGACTTCAAAGCAAATGACACGAAGGCTGCCCGAAAGCGTCCGAATCCAAGACTGAATTCACGACAGAATGCAGGTGCTAGGAGGAAAGATTTGTCACTTGGCCAGAAAAGCACTCTCATGAGCTGCGCAACAGATCCATTTCATCCTGTTTTCACAGAGGCCCTCAAGACCAGCTCCGGTCTTCGTGGTGGGGGGTGCTCATGGCCCCATCCATGAACAATGGATTCTCCATTTTCTGCATCGGGCAGCTGATTTGAAGTGGCCACCTGAGAGTTTTGATCGTTTGCAGATGTTTGCAGTCTTCTGTCGGCCCTCCTACTCACTAAGATGGAAGTGGAAAACACCCTCTTCCGAAAAAGGAAAGCAGTCTTGGTAGTGGAACATGGACCATTGGATGAATCTCTTCCTTTGCCAACAGGGTCCGGCCATCCACTTTCCATGTAGAGTGTTATGTCGACGATGTGAGCTGTTGCAGGCGCTTTTCCGGGTCAAGTGCACATCTGGTGAAGCTTTCCGAAGCGATCTGCGTCTTTTTCTGCGTGCGCTGCAATGTCTCGAGGTTGCGGCGCATGATCTTCGTCACTGCTGAGGTGGAGTTCGGGGAGCCCAGCGTGGGTGGTCGGTTCACTTGACAGTGTCTGGATGTGTCTCTAGATGGGAAGATGCTGGAGGCAACGCAAGGAACTGGGTCCAACAAAACAAGGTCCAACGCAAAAAATGGGAACAATTCACTGTAAACATAGATGATCATATAGACTAGATGCTTTTTGTATGTGTCGATGAGTCTATACCTTGATGCTCCATGGTCGGTTGAACCCGTCCGGGCGCAAGTTCCGCCGTCTAAGATGGTTGCTGACGTGCGAAGATGTACGACAAAGCCGCCAAAGACTGGGCCATTTGTTGTGCAGCAGCCTCAGTGTGCTTCATTTAGAAGGGGATTCAGTCACAGACATGACTGATCATCTCACTTTCAGATATGTTTTATGGTGTGTTCTCGGGATCACGCTACCACATGCTACCACCCCTTTGGAGTTCCGAAAAGTCCGGAACGAACTGACTTGAGGCGTGCGCGTCGCGCATCCATTTGCCAAGCCTTTGCATGACAAGGCCCGGTGGTTTTGATGGAGAACCCCAACAATAAGACTGAAGGGTTCTTGAGAGCATACTCCAACTGAAGTAGTATGCCCAATCATGGACCCACGGAAGGTAGTAGTTAGTATAGTTAATTCTTTGGACCCACTCTTCCCTCCAGCAATCATGGAAGTGAAATATGCCGATATGCCCATAGTCTGCATTGTTCTTTTTATCCGGTGGCAAACGATGTCAAGCCTCGGCAAACACAGAACCAGATCCAAAGAACTTCCACCAGCCCTTCGCCCTTCCCCACTTCCAGAAGCCCATATGAAGAGATTGGAACGTGTCACGAACGAAGACTACGGGTGTTTTGAGGCGAAGTTCTACTTGTTTCCCCTACTCCTGTCGCTGGGTCGCGGGCTCAGACCCGGTCACTGGCGGAGGGTACGAGCCCGAGGGCGAGCACGCGGGGGGGCAGAAGCTGGTGAGTCCTTCGCAGTTGGGGATGCTCTCCGGTGGCGAGTTCAGGCCACAAGCATGCAAGACCTAAAGACGGTTGTTTCGGAACAGGTCGGATTCGGAGCCACCTTCTTGTGTCAGGCATGGACATCGTGTCGTTGGACTTGGACGTGTTTCTCTTCAAGGACTCTTGCTCTTGATGTCTTTTGTTGGTTTCTTCGCCCTGGACAAAGGTGCCACCAATCACGGTTGACAGGACCCAACGGCCAAACTCCTGGATGCTGTCTATAAGAAAGATCCTTTGGACATGGCTGCAGGGAGCTCAATTCTTTCGAAATGTCCTTTATTACGTGGCAGGCAGGCATTTCACTGGGTGTCTTACGTGCCTGTTGGGCCTGCTAGGATCGGGCCTACCACACTGAAGACTCCATGGAGTGTTGGTCCATGAGGTCATGGACCACTTTGACGGAACCTGCTTGAATGCCGGAGTCCTTGTGGCACCCTGGCTGCACTTAGACAGCTCTTCGCAGCTCAAGATAAGTCTTCTGACCTTGCGCCCAGCTGCGCCGCGAATGCGGCGCGACGTACGCGTTGGACGGCGTCCACCGTCCACCCCTCACTGGTTGCGGTCGTCTTCGCAGCTGTTCACCACCGAAACGCGCTGCGGAGAAGGATCTCTCCGCCGAAAACGGGCTCGACACTTGGACCCCATGAGGTTCGAGCAAGTGACCGAGCACTTCTATGGGTTTTGAGCCTCGCCTGCACGTCGGTGAAACAAAAGCAATCAGTCGCAGTTCTCAGTTCTTGTGCCTGATTTGTACCAGACACACATTGCCACATTGCCATTCTCGGCCGGACAAGCTGAGGCAGTATATCCAATGGATGCATGTCTACCCCTTCGGCCACTTGTCTGATCAAATCACTGGAACCTGTCAAATTGTGCAGGTGCTTGCAGCATGGCAACCCTGCACCCTAGTCCAACTGTCCTTCTGCCAGTGTGGCTCGGAAAAGCCACAGTTCCTCGATGTTCAAATCACGTCGAAACTGCCGGGACGCATTCGTCCAGAAGTGTGCCAGGTCACTACCAGAACGGACAGCACCTGAGTTGGAACATGCACAAGTGAGGTCAGAATGCCGTCATGTGGAAGGCCAACACTATAGGTATCAAGAATCCAACCATTTCCAGCATGTTTGCAATCATGTTCCCAATCTTACAGGCCTTGTTTGCCCAAAGAAGTAGCTTCTTCGTCGATTCTTCCAGCCTGACGGCTTTGGGCGGTTTCTTGTTTGTCCGATTCCCAAGGCTTGGACTCCTTTCTGAGAGGCTCGGTGGAACCGCAGTTGCCCGAGAAGTTGTTGAATGCGTGGGAGCTCGGTGCGGACGAGACCGACGAGACCCAGCCGAAGATGATGAGAACAAGGGTTCTAAAACGGGTTGACTGTGGAGATCTTGTAGACTTCCGGTGTTTGAATGGGATTTCCGACCACCACCATCACACACACACATATATAATATATATATAGAGAGAGATACACACACACATCGTTTTGTTCCGAATCATCAAATTTCCGGAAGGTCTTCTGCTCTTTGGGGATCTTCATCGCAACGACCCAGCCACAGGTGTCCTATGGTGTGCTTTCTTCGGACCTGGAGTTCGTGACTCTGGCAGGTCGGCTGGTCAGCGTGGAGTTGCATGGGCACTTAGCCGCGTCTGTAGATTCCGTTTTTGAGGAACTCAGGCTTCTATAGCTAGGCTTCTATCATCACTTGCATTTTTAATATCAGAGTGTCCCATGCCCCCCCATCAGCCACAGCATGAAGACACCACATCTTGTGGTAACATGTGGTAACACATCTTCGGCCGTGGGACGCCGGTGGTGGGACCCGCCGCAGGTTGGTCGGGATCGTTGGAGAAGCAACGGCATCGAGCCTCTTGATCAACTCAGAGTGTTTAGAAAGAACGAGCAGCTCGCCCCTAGCTTGTAGGGAGAATTTGAGGGACATTCTGGCATTCTGGGACATCGTGAATTTCATTGAATTTCTGTTGAATGTCTATAGTTTGAGTGAAATATTTAGCAGAGTGTCCAAGATCAGAAAACTCCTCAACATCTGTGTCCTGAGTCCAGAGTCTAGGCTGTGCTGCTCCACTACACCTCCGCTACTTCGACAGCCTTTGACTTAGGACGTGCTATAAAGGTTCTCCAGTTTGCCAAACACGTGTCCCTTACGTCCATTTCACATCATTTCATGAACCACCTTCAGCCACTTCGCCCATTTTCCAAGGGCCTCTCCCGGATGGAAAAGCAGGTACGCGGAGAACGCAGAGTCACAGATCCAAGTGATCCTCAGACGAGACGTGCTTCAGCTGCTTCCCCACCTTCAGCTGAACTGCCATCCCTCAGACGACTTCAGACGACTTCAGCTGCCATGCTCACACACGCCGTTTGCACGCCACCGTTGGCACCGCCGGTGGTGCAGGCGCAGCTGATGCAACTCTTCAATGCCACGGCTCGTCGGCCCCACGAGAAGGCGAGGCCGTCGGTGGAACGAAGCACGATTTGCGCGGCCGCGGTGCTTTTGTCTCTAGTGGAAGGTCTTGGAAGGTTTTGGGCCAGTGTGGCCCCGGTGTCAGAGAAAAAGACCTAACTAAGATGATACAAGATGCATGGCGTTTTCTTCATGCCCTTCTCTTGGAAAAGGTTTGGTGACAGGGGGGGTGACAGGAGTGCTCTTGAAAGATCAGGTGGGAAGTGTTGCTTCTTTTGGCGAAAGGTCCGGTGGGTGGATGAGTTTCATGTCGTTTCATGAGTATCGAACATATCAGTCCACCTCTTGGCAACCTGCCTAACGTGCAGAGGCAGGTGACCCCGGTTGCAAGTGCACTTTTCGGTTTTTGGTCATTTTGGATCATGCCGCTTTGGTCATTTTAGCACATCTATCATCCGCATACATCTGTTTGGCTTGGTGGAATGATGTGCCTCCAAAACGGCTTTTGCAATGGTCCACCACCTGAGGATGGCCACGCCACGCCACGTCGAAACACTTGCACAACGCCACGGCACGCTATGCTACGCTCGCAAGGAGCCAGAGCCGCGGCGGTTGCAGATGGCCAAGTGGAAGGATCGGTCGAAAGACGAAGGATCGGAAGACGGAAGACCCAAGTGAGACCCAGCCCGGGTGTGGGGATCCACTATGATCCACTGGTCTGTTTGTCCTTCGGGGTCGGAACACCTGGGTGGGAAGGTCCTTCCCTTATTGGAGCTACACACCCACCCGAATCGAGGAGGTGGACTGGAGGTGGTGGGATGTCCGGGAGGTGAGTTGGATCGGAAGACGGAAGACGCCAACGAGTTGCACGGTTACCGCGAGCTCGAGAACCCTCATGGGTTCGATTGGGGCGCATGTGGCTTTGGACCCTCGAAGCCAACCCTCGACAGCAATAGTAGCTTAGTTTGGCTTTTGGATGATTTCCATATAGGACCGGCAGCATTTTGCGATTTTGCTCGTGGTTTGAGTCACTTTTTTTCGCGACATCATGGAGGTCTTGCACCGCTTGAAGACCACCGCGCAGAGGCGGGATCGACACGGATGGGATGATGGCCATGTTTTGCAATGGGGATGAGTGCTCATCAAGCTTCGTGACAATCAAACGCCCAACATCCACCCGTCAAAGCCGCTGAAAGCTGCTAAAGGCCATTGATCCATTGGCCCCCCGTGGAGCGTCTCAAAAAACGTTTCTTCTCGATGAAGCATCTCTCATGTTGTTTGCTCATCTGAAGCGCTGCACCACCGCCAGGTGGAAGACACCCTGCCACCTGGGCATCCATTCGACCATCAAGCAACTCTTGGAGTGCTGCACTCGGGGTGGTTTCAGATTAAGATGGAAGGAGATAAATGCGTTTTATGGTGTGTTTGGGAGATTTTGCAGGTTGGGCATTTTCAACTCCAAACATGTCACATCTAAGATGACTTGAGGACTGGACTCTATGCAGAGCTTCTGTCCTAGCTGCGGCATGGCGGGTGATACAGGTGCATCGACCCGACCATGTGGGAGCTCTGCTCCGATACCGGGATCTCACAGGCACAGTCAGGTCACGTCGCTTGGTGACTGCGCCTGGCTGCGCCTGGCACCATGGGCGAGGTGAGATGGCTTGCCGACCGCAGGGGCACGACGACGGAGGGCCGTCTACGGCGGTGCCGGCTGCGTGGAGATGGCGGTTTCAGCGATGGCAGTGATGGTTAGTGATTGCAGAATCTTCGAGCTGGCCGAGACACAGTCGGGTGCCACCGTGTGGGTGGCCCAAGTGTGCGACGCCTGGCGTCGGTGGAAAATGGACTCGTCAGGCCAGAGGACTTGCAGTGGTTTCAGAGTAGATGGCACAAACCCAAAGACGTTGGTCATGTGGGCGTCCATAGAAACCACCTTTTGGATCCTTTTGGGGATTGTGCCGCCTACTTCTTGAAACCACTGTAAGTATCTGTAAATCTATTTCCTGTCGATGGGCGCTTGTAGTGTGCACACAGCGTTACAGGCTTACCTCCTTGCAAGTAAACTGCCATGATCCAGCCATTCCACTTTCAAACTACAAAGCTGTACAGACTCGTAGTGAGGTGGTCCGCCTACCCGTCTCCGGCACTCGCTCGAGAGAGTGCCATGGAGAACTTAATGCAGTCCTTTCCGGAGCGGGCCTATGATGTGACGAATTGGATAGAAGCTCTGATGGGTGTTTGCTGCTGCTTGATCACAAGGACATCTGAGAGCGATATTGGAACCCAAGACTTGCTAAGGCGATGAATTTTTCGATCCCAAGACTTGTTAGATTTTGGATGATGGGCCGGTCAGGTGGGTGGAGCTCAAGAGGTTTAACAAGTTGCATGCGGTTGCATGCAGTTGCCCAAGAGCCCCCTGTCCCATCAGAATCACATAGAAAACCACATAAAACCCTATTCACTGACTTCTCAGACTGTATCAGTGGTGAAGAATCTCGATGCATCCGATGACCTGGATGGACCTTTGGCCACGCAGAGAATCAAGGGAATCATTCCCCCCCACAAGCTCAGCTTATGAAACTCTGGGACAGAGGCTCACCAGAGAGGCTTCGCCCCAGAACCGGCTCACTCAAAGAGACACAGGCAGCCTCCGTCTATATCCACTGTTCGTGTGCAGGAAAACCTTGGAGCTTCAAAGTGAAGAGGTGGTTCTTCGCACGCAGAATTGCTGCTGCAGCAGCTCGCAGCGGCGACCCTACGCTCAGCTGACCCTGCTGGAGGCGGGGCGGGTTCACAGTGGAAACTGACCGATCCCCAACGAGGGCCTAGCGGCCTAGCCTAGACCGGGACGGCGGTAGGAGGGGTGGAGGTCGCATCAGGGGGCGAAGCTAGGGGCAAGCGTTGAAGGTGGGACAAAGAGAGACAAGGCATGCTCGGAGATGAAGCAATTTTGGAAGACGCTGGACTCATTGGACTCATATTGAACAATCTGGATGTTGACTGATGTAGACTGCAGGAAAGATCGTTGTGCTGTGGAACCTGTGCGCAGATCAACTCGGATTTAGCCCCTGTGAATGACAAGGGTGAAGGCGGCATTGTTCCCGGCTGCGGCTGCTCCAGTCAGCTCGTGCGTGAAATCGTTCACGAGCTGAACTTGAGGAAGGATGGTCGCGGGAAAGTCGCCCAGATGAGGCAACAGAAGTTCATGTTGGAGAAGATCAGCAAGATGGCGATCCAGTTTCCAGTCCTGTTGACTCGTTTGGGGGGTGCAATACCCTCCAGATGAAGCCACTCTACGACGGATCTTCGACCACACTCCTTTGATGCGGCCTTTGGCAGAGGTGGCCTATGTGGCACAGAATCCGGAGTTCCCGGCTCATCAGTATGATGCTTGGACCGAAGTCAAGGTCATCAAGGAGCGGTGTAGAGAAGGCCTTCTATGGCCTTCAGTCTTAATATCCCTTTGGTCAGTCAGGGACAGTCAAATTCTTGATCTCATCCCCTGGTTCATTGGCCAGTGTGAGGTTTGGGCACACGACGGTGCGAAAAGGAAAAACACATTACCAGCCCGCACAGCACAACCACCATCCAACTCCACGATTGGAAGTCGCTCTGTCAGAGTTGCCCAGATGCCACATCCATATTTGGAATCGCCCTGGCTCAAGTTCAGCTCAAGTCACTGGAGGTCACTGGTATTCTATGATTGAGTCACCCAACTATGACAGCGTCAACCCCCAACGCCACCAGTGAGATTCACCGCGCAGTGAATTCCAGACACAGACCCAGTGACCGTCACAGTCTCTCACAGTCTCTCACCATCTCTAACGCCACAGCCTAAGGATGTCACCTGCTGCTGCGACTCCTTGTGCTGTTCCTCCAAGCTCTTGGAATTGGCCCCGGATGAAGCCGTCTTGACCACGCGGCAACACCTCACAGGCAGCGTGAGGATCTCAGGTTTTGACGGTTGATCTCGAGGAACCTCAACTCGGTGATGTGGAAGTGGACAATTCAACATAAACGGACTTGTTGGTCAAACAGTCAAAGAGTCAATTTGCTAAGGTTGCCACCCTTTTGGAGCAGTGAACATGGTGAAATTATATGCAGCCTACAGTAGCATGCTTAAGGGAGCCCTGAAATATCCTAAAATCAGTTTTGCCACTGGCTAGGGTGGCCCTGTGTCTGGTTGTTGGAGTTCGCATGTGATCGGAAACAACTGAGGTCATCACAAGCAGAGTTCCGTATGGAAACATTCAGTCAGTGCCCAAGCTGCAAGAGGAGGGGAGAATTGGAGAATGGGGCATGGTGCATCCCAGGAGAAACTGTTGACTCCTGCAACATGCAAGACCGGCTGGTGGCAATGTGTTCTTGTTTTATGTTCAACCTTTACTTGGTTTCGATTACTCCTCCTAATGACTCGTTTTAGTCAAGTGGTTTGAAGCCACCAAGAGCCCAAGCAGAAGAGAAGGACCTTTCCGACTTTGGAGTAGCCTCAAGGACTCCACAACCTCCCTGACCGACACACCTGACGTACCGCTCACCAAGTCCTTCCTGAGGGGAGGCTTTTGCTGTTCACTGGTTGGGTGACCACCTCCACTGCACAGGACGGTGCGGCTCTTCCAACCACCCAGCTCCGCCAGCTCCGCTCACCTCCCAGGTGGACGCGATGCAGTCCTGTGGATGCTGCGTGGCTCTGGAAGCCGGGGAGCTGACGAAACCGCCGGGACGTGCGGAGCACATGCCGATTCAACCCGGCTTCGGCTGTGATCGAGCCTTGGTGGACACCATTCGTGAGGATATGCAGGCGAGGACGGATGATGGAATTGATATTGGGGGGGCGGAACATGTGAGGAAAAAGGCATGCTGGCACGGTTTCCATCATTTTCCTTGGATTTGAGCCAAGTCACCCAACTAATCGGTAGTTGTTGAATTTCTTTGTTTTTCTTTTAATCAAGTCTTCTTGTGGGGCCTGAAATGGTGATGAAATCGTGTTGGCATGTGTTTGCCTCCGGGCTCCCTCCGGGCTCACCCACCACCTGGTCGTGTTTTCCACAAACATTTCAAGAAAACAAGCAGGTTCCACTTGGGGAGGTGGAAACCACCTGAATGGCTTGGTTTTCTTAAAGCGTCATTACAGTCGAAGCAAAGAGGTTTGACAGTCCATGCCTGGACGGTTGAAACATGTTGAAACAGACTCTAAGAGTCTAGTTCTGAACGGCAAATGAGAACCGTAGAACGCTGCAGGCCAGGGTGGATGTGCGTGGCAACGTGGGGCAGATCAAACAGTTAGAGAAGATGATGGCCAAGTTCGGTGACTTTGCGACGGAGATCCCCCTGATGCTTGACAAAGCGGGCTGAGCTGCATCCAAATGGAAACAGAGGAGACATATTGAGACCTTGAAGATCTTTCTATAACTGTTGGTGCATATCAAAGCCCTCTTCTGAGCCATCTGAGTTTCGTTTGTGTGGCAGGTGCCTGTTGAGTTGAATTTGGTGTGTGAAAGCCAGTACAAAAGCCATCCAAAACTCATGGGTTGGACCATGGATGACCGGTTGTTCACTGGAACAGGTACCCTGATACACTCCGGCTGGTGAACAACCAATACGTGAATTCGTAGCAAACCAACCCCTCCTTTTTTTCCAAGAGGACATCACTGGGTTGGACAGGGTTGGACCACTTCACTGGATTTTCAGCCACGAACGACACATGTGTTCCGCAGGTTGGAGCCGATACCTCGTACCCGCCCTCGCAGCAGACCATGAGCGCCGTCTACGGCGAGCAGGGGCCTGAAATTCAACCGCCCAGCAGTTTGCCGCATGAGGTGCCCAGTCAAACCTTTCAGAGTCGACACTTCAACGTGCGCAACGAGCTGCCTGGAGCGGATGGAAAAGGGAGTGTTGAAGAAAAAAGACACCAAGTGTGGAGGTGGGGGTGTGGGGGGTGTCCGAGTTATATGTACAGTTTATTTGCTATTGTTGACCCATTTGCCAGATCCATGTGCCAAACCTGGAACATTGATTGGGGTCATTCTAAGAGGCCCTCCACGTTCTGCCTCACCTTCTCAGCCCAGGGTGCTCAAAAAAAGCCCGCGGGCACAGTAGTCACGAAAGCTAGCATGCTAGCTGAGTTCTTCTTTGCTTTAGCAATGTTGTGGTGGGAGGGGCTGCGTGCCTTAAAGATTGATATATCAAGCTAACCCCCCCCCCCCGCGGTTCAACTCCTAGCTGCGCCGCTTCGCTTATTGTTGTGGTGCATACCACCATTCCACTGAATGCATGATGTGTCCTTTACTGTCTTTCTTAACAGCTACAGGTTCAGAGAAACACCCGGCCGGGCAGACAGGGACACCTTACTGCGTGGCGCTTCATTGCAGTCCTCTACTACTTCAAGACCCGGAGGGGGCTGCACCCACACATCAAAAATGCTAGAAATGCTTGCCATTGCTTTAAATTAGAAAATCTGAGGGGTAAATTTACCCCCCCGCTTTTGGATGCCTTTGCCGGTTCTTTGGGGCAGTCCAGGGGAGGCTTCAAGTTCTATTTGCACCCACACATCAGATAATGCAAGAAATGCTTGCCATAGCTTCTACAAAATCTGAGGGGTCAATTTACCCCCCCACTTTTGGAGGCCTTTGCCGGTTACAAAGTATCAGTTATATAAACGTAAGTCAAGCTTCTTTGGGGCAGTCCAGAGGGGGCCTCCAGCTCTATTTGCACCCACACATCAGTGATGCAAGAAATGCTTGCCATAGCTTCTACAAAATCTGAGGGGTAAATTTACCCAATAGAGCACTCTTATTTCTCCTCAGCCTTTCATAAGCACTCTTATTTGTCCTGCTTTAACTTTTTTCCTCTTTACAATTCTCAGCCGAAAAAGTCCGGTGCGCTTCCGCTAGCTTTCGACCTCCTCCCCCTGGCCTCAAGTCAGTAGTCGTTCTCAGGTTTCTGAACTGCTGCTGCCTGGCGGTGACCTGTGGTCTGGCTGGCTGCACCACGCGCGAAATCAACTTGGAGTCTGAGCAGATGGTCACAACCTCCCGCAACAACTGCTGTAGCTCCATCGACCGCAAGCCCTATGCACAGCTTCGAGCAGTGGATGAGGAGATCGTGTGCTGCTGCTGTCACATGGTGAACGGACACTCGGAATTTACTTGATTATTTTCATTCAAGAGGTGGCACTTAGCCGACTTAGCCCTTTTCATTCTGAAAAAACCAATGTCTTTTGCATGTGGTCCCGGTTCCCCGGTCTTGCAACTCGGTGGTAACACCGTCGGGTTTTCTGAAAAAAAGGCAGGTTACGCCCGTGACGCCCCGTTGGTGGGGGCGTGTTCGAACAGGCAGGGGGCGAGTCCGGACTCTCTTCAACTGAGATCTGTTCGCTTATGCGTTCTTGAACCAACAGCTTCTGGCGATGTGCTTGTGCCAACAGCCTGCTATACAATGTTTGGTCCCGTTACTATACAGTGGCGTCTCTTTTCCCCTTTTGACAGAAGTGACCTGGGGATATTGCAGGATTCCACTATTAACATAACTTTCCACTCAACAAAAGCCCGTGTGGCAGAACAAACTTGCTACTCACCCACGCACCCACCCACCCCCCACCTGCTTCAAACAGCTGCCCCTCTGCAGAAATGATCCAGCAACCCGGTGGCCGGCGCATGGTTTCCGTGCAAGGCATGGTTCCGGGCTGGTGCGGCGATACGGACCGTGTCCGCGACATTGCCCAAGAACTCCAAGCGCGGAAGGTGGGCCGCGGGAACATCGCACAGCTGCGAAACCAGGAAAACACCATGATCAAGGCTTTAGAAGCCGAGCCTTGGAGACAAGAGACAGCTCAAGAGACTCAGACGAGACATGAGGTTGGAGGCCAATCGCTATTAGGTTGGAGGCCATCGCTACTAGTAACAAGAAGCTACAATATAGACGCAGTAAGGAACCTAAGGACAAAAATGTTGAAAGACGAGTGATGGAAAAGCCTGAAATTCTCGATGCCCCAAAGTGACAAGGGATGGAGCAGGAGCAAGCGATAAAAGAAGTGAGCTGGATCAGGCTGGATCTTTGTTTCAGGTGGCAAGACACGATAGGCGATGCACTAGAAGGGCTAAGGCAAGCCTGTTGAACGCTTTGTGTCATACAATGTAGCACAGTGTGTCGAAAGTTGGTTCGGAGGATATGTTTTCGAGTGTTTGAGGACATCCGCATGGACATCCTGCTGAAGAACCAAGGGGTCGCTTATCCTCCTTCGCAGGAAACCATGCAAGCCGTGTATGGACCAAACCCACCCCAATTGCCGAGTGCAGGAGCTCAACGAGGAGAGGCAATGCATTTGAGTGCATCAGAGCAAATGCCACAGAGAAGCTTCAACATCACGAATGCCTGCGACTTTGTGTGTTGTTGCTGCATGACCACCAACCTGGAACTCAATGATGAAGAGGCCTGGCCCTTGGGGTGTGAAGGGTAAAATCAGACGACATACCGATACATACTGCACCAATGGACTGCCGGTCCACCAATCGGTGACACTTTGGTGGTGCAGAGGTGGCATGCTGGGCCTAGGGATCCACCAATCCATTTGCTGAAAGATGGCTCTAGCTGCTTACATAAGTATGACCAGGCCGGCACCTTAGGACTGCACATTTAGTCCTATATACATATGCTCAGAACGCACGGAAAGAGGTCACAAACATCACCCCACCTAGTCCTTGCTCATCCTTGCCTCCCACCTGGTTTTTCGACCTCCGTCCGGATCCCGACCCATTTCGCACCCATTTCGAACCCCGCGTTTCGACCGGAGGCGATCTTCCGCCAGAAGAGCTGTTGTTTGAAGTCCGTGCGGCGCGAGCCCTATGCACAGTTGGGCTCCGTAGAGCCCGCGCGGCTTTGCTTCGGAGCCTGTGTGAACGTGACGCGGATGACAGCGGTGGCAGCGGGTTGTGCAGGAGAACGTGGTGACAGGTGAACCCATTGAAAACTGGAAGGCCTAGCAGGTCCGTCCCATGTAGAACCAGAATATGGATGGATTTATGTGAATTTCGCATCCCATGACCCAATCCTTACAGCCTTGCGGTGTATTTCCCCCAACTGATGGGACCTAGTCCTAGTCCTGGGGTTCCCCATTTGCACCTGGTTCAAGGGTGCCACGGCCACCTATGGCAATATCACCGCACCCTTGAACGATGTACAGATTGGGACCCATTTGTTCACCAGCTCTTGGGAAAACAGGGGCGCCATCAACTACTCCGCACGACGAACAGACGAACAGACGAACGAGTCGATTGATGGAACTTCAGAGATGGACATGAGGAAGGCGGTTGTCTTCTCTTTCGAAACTTTCGGCACCAATGGTTTCATGATGTATCGATGGTGTTTACAGGGAGCTTTTGTGCCCTGGTGCCTTGTGGGCCCCCTCCCAGGTTCACACCGATCAGAACATGGTGTGTCCGGGCTGCGGTTGCAATCAGCGGTTGACACAAGAGATCTCCGATGAATTGCAGCATCGCAAAGTGAAGCGTGGAAACATTGCACAGATTCGGCAGCAGGACGGCAGTTGCTTCCTGGGGACCAGTTGCTGTTGCTGTTTTTAGGTGGGAGCCTCCCATCCCTGTTTTCAAGGCCACAAGTGGATAGAAATAACTTGAAATATCTTGAAATAACAATTTAGAGCACCCCTTGGTGGATTGGTGACAAGGCAGGCTTTTGGGCCATTGCCAGGGCTTCCAGATGTTCCACATATTCCATGATACAGCCTCCAGGAGCCTTTTTAAACAAGTCACCACTTCAGTGCTTCAGTCATCTCCAACCACTCCAAGTACCCAAGCCCTGGCCCAAGAGGAAAATCTCATGCTCGAGATCATCAAGCTGGGTACAAAAGCCGACCTTTTATCTCATAAACTCTCTGTGCCATTCCCACCTCCTCAAGAGATGATGCAGTCTACCTTTGGTGGTCAAGGCCAGGTTTGTCGTTTTTCCTCGGATCCGCACCACAGAAGGACCAGTCAGCCAAGCAGCTTGGTGGTGACCGACTCTACGAGCCGAGGTGTGCCAATGCCAGGCGAGCTGGCCGACCAGATCATGACGGTCACAGTTCCCTTCGGCTTAAGAGTGGCTTGGGGCTGCATGAGAGATAAACATGCTGTCAGCCCTATTACCTGGAACAGTTAGTAAACAATTACTCCGCCCTGAAAAGACGGTTTAAGAAAAGATGCGTCATCTACGAGTGCCAGAGTACCACAGTAGAGTTGCGCCATCAGTAGGCATCCCGACATTATATAGAGGGCGAGGTTTAAGCTAAAAAACTTCGTACTCGGAAAGCACTGATGGCACGCTCCATCTGTATACTCCAGTTACTCCAGTTGGAAAGCAGAACTAGCTGAATAGAAAGAGTAAAAAACAGAGTAGGATGGGCGCCGATGGGTTTGAGTGGGGTTTGGACTGCTTTGAATGGGTTTCCACTGATTTGTATCGGGTTGCATGGGCGACACAGGCGCATTGTGCCATCAATACCGCGCGTTTGTTTGTTGTTTAAAATATTTTTCTTGTAAACTCATTGTTTTCTTGTGTTGGCGTTTTTTCACCCCCTCCTCTCCCGTAAATGCGCCATCTACAGGTGCCAAATACCGAGGACAAATACATTGATGGCGCATGCCGGAACCCTCCCGGGAACCCTGTGTTGCGCCAGAAACTTTCAGAACGGTGTATCACATATTATCACCATTCTAGAGAAAGGCTTTTGCTAACCATCATCATCCACTGTTACTGGCAATAGGATAGGCCCAAGATAAACACTACTAGTTGGTTATGTTGCTGGAGCAACCACACTCGCGTTTTTAGCGGCATTGTTTGGTTCTATTGAACCGATTGGGGGAGCTACGCAGACAAATGAAGCGATTGGTTGAAGGCAGGTGAGATTGAAGTGGGCTCGATGAGGTTGAAGTTGATCCTCAGAACTCATAACTTATCCTAGATGAACAAGGAAGTTCTTCAACCCAAGGACCAGTTCTTCTCATCCTTTTCAAGCGTCAGCCTTGTTTTAGAGCATTCAGAACGACCAAGCTTCACCCTCCAAACAAGAACGACCTTCTATGAGGCGGGCGATGCCTTCGAGGTAACGGGGCCCAATGGCAGGCACGTTTTTCTTTTTTCGAGGTCTCGTGCTGGTTGGCATCTGCAAACATGCTGATTGAGCATGGCTGAGCCATGGTTGAATCATTGATAGATTGAAGAGGTGTTTCTGTTTAAGTATGTATGAGTTATACTGTATGATGTTATATCAGTCCTCGCACATTCCACATCCTGACCATCAGATACCTCATTCTGATAATTCATCAACTTAATGCTTGGCTGTGCTCTTCTGCCCTGTGCTCTTCCGCCCTTCACCCTTTGCAGGTTTCAGGTCACCGTTCCAGCCGGTGTCGTGGAGGGTCAAAGCCTTGTGGCACGGAGCCCCGGATGTCGTCGCATCGCCATGGAGCCGCGGGTGTTCGCTTTGCGGACGCAGTGAGGGTGTTCGCTTTGCCCTCAAACCCAACAGGTCGAATGATTTGGTGAAGCGTATTTTTGTTGGTCCAAAAACGTAGAAATCATCTGATTCGCTCCCGTTTTTTGGTCAAACAACGTGCTTTTTGCGGCTCTGGGGGTCAGAAACGCCAATTGGCGTGTAGAATTGGAGGTTCGGATTCCTCCACCACCTGCTGGCGATCCTGGGGAATCAGAGATGATCCCGCAACTGGGCGACTGTTTACCGGCGATGGTATGCTTTTTTCAATATGTTTCTCTCTCTCTATTTTTTGTATATATAAATGCACATTGTCACCCATTAATTTATTTATTCGGGCGGATTTGATCTGTTCATGTGTGTTCTTTTATGACTTCTGCATTGGGAGAAGCCATTTGCATGCATGGCTTCATGATGCTTCATACTTCATTTGTCGCTTCTCCTTGGTTGATCGAACTGGAAAGGCTCCCGAATCTTTTGAAAGCAGAAGGAACCCTCTTGGGAATGGAGCAGCTCTTCCCGCTCCCTGAGGTTTATGACGGCTTCGTGAGATCCCTTCCTGTTGGCTTCCAGCGATCCCGAGACCAGCTCGACCCGCCGGATGCGTTGCTGCCACGGTGTTCATGCGTTGCATGCGTTGCTGCCTCCATCATCTCCAGCGATGGGGATCCGGATTGCTGAACAAATGGAATTGACAGAAGGGTTTTGCACAGTAGATGAGGCCCACAGCAATCCGAGAGAGGTACTCTGCCCTGAGAAATCTAAGCATTTCTCCGAATCGGGGGGAGTTTCAAGCCTACGCGACAGCAATGACACAATCAAAGTCGATTCTTTTTAGCAACCGTGGGGCATGTTGGTGTTCCACAAGAGCTGAAATAAATTATCCACGAAAAATATATGGGAATATAAATTTATATAATAAACATAATTATCATAATATATATATATATTGAAGAATATATAATGATTTGGATTTAAAGAATATATTTTAACTAAAATAAATAAATTTAATATTTAATAATTATATTATTATATAATTAATGTTATATATTAATATACATTTTGATTTAAATATAATTTAGTGTTTTTTATTTAATATATTTTAAAAATATGTAAAATATATTAAATTATATAATTTAAATTTTTTTGAATATCTTAGGATTAATTTTAATTTGAATAATAATATAGATATATGAAATATAGAATTTATATTAACAATTTATTGAATATAATTTATATATATATAAATGATTTTTTAATTATATATTAATGGATTCTTTTTTAATTTTCGTTTTTTTATTTATGTTTCATTCCTTAAATTTGTTTATTTTTCTTATGTTATTGTTTTTTTAAAAAATTATTTATATTTTTTTTTTTTTATGGGGTTTTTTTTGATCCTTCGATTTTTTTTAAATAAACCTTCCGCCGATGAAGTAGGTAACACTGGAATCTGAACAGAGAACAATGTCGCTTCCGGTTTGTTTTATACCGCTTATCTGTGCTTGTTAAATCTTTAATTTCATTTCAAAAATTTCTTGTGATTAATCCTTCGAAACCCTCCGGAAATTGCGCAGAAATTGTCCGACACGACGGGATTGACCCGGACGCTTCCGGAACGTGAAGCAACACAGGATCCAAACCAATCAACTAAAGGAAGGAAAATGAAAAAGAAAAAACTAATACACAAACAGAAAAATTAAATCAAACAACCAACACACCAAAAAATTACATTTTTTGCCCCTGTCCATGATCCATCTCTCATTGCATATATTTTCTCCAAATCCAAGCAACCGACAAATCAAGCAGGCTGAACCAACCGACACACCATCCAAAGGAAGGATAATATAAAAGAAAGGGTGGGTAGCCCACCAACAACAAACGAACCAAGCAAGCAAACATTTTCCCCAAATGCTGTCGATACTTGTTTTGCATTGGTAGCCCGCCAAGAAACCAACAAACCCAGCGATCAAAGCCACGCAACCCTGCATTTTCCCAAATGCTGTCGATACTTGGATCGCATTGCGGGGAAGGCGTTGCGCCCTCCCCCGCACCCCCCTCCCGTCTTTATTTATACAACATCCATCCATCCATCTATCCTTCCTTCCTTCCTGCCATCCACCCATCCATCCATCCATTGTTCCATCAACCAAACACACAAACAGAAAAATTCAATCAAACAACTAACACAGACCAAACAATTACATTTTTTGCCCCTGTCCATGATCCATCCATCACCGTATGTGTTTTCTCCAAATCCAAGCAACCAACAAGCCAAGCAGGCTGAACCAACCGACACACCAACCAAAGGAAGGATAATATAAAAGAAAGGGTGGGTAGCCCACCAACAACAAACAAACCAAACAAGCAAACATTTTCCCCAAATATTGTCCATACTTACTTTGCATTGGTAGCCCGCCAAGAAACCAACAAACCCAGCGATCAAAGCCACGCAACCCTGCGTTTTTTCCCAAATGCTGTCGATATTTGGTTCGCATTGCGGGGAAGGCGTTACGCCCTCCCCCACACCCCCTCCCGTCTTTATTTATACAACATCCATCCATCAATCCATCCATCCATCCATCCTTCCTTCCTTCTTATCATCCACCCATCCATCCATCCATCCATTATTCCATCAACCAAACACACAAACAGAAAACATTGCATATCCATCAAACACTGTATCACGCAAACAATCATGGCAAACAAACCAATCAACCAACGCGCAAAAATTATATATTTATCCCTGTCCATAATCCATCCATCACCGTATGTGTTTTCACCAAATCCAAGCAACCAAGAAGCCAAGCAGGCCGAACCAGCCAATACACCAACCAAAGGAAATGGGATACAAAAGAAAGGGTAGCAACCAAATTGTGTTTTCAACAATTGTTGTCGATATTTGCCTTGCATTGGTAGCCCGCCAAGAAACCAACAATCCAAGCAACCAAAATCACACGACCCTCTGTTTTCCTCAAAGGCTGTCGATATTTGATTTGCACTACAATAAGCTAGCCAACAAACCAACACACCAAACAACGGAAGGAGGGTGAAAAAGAAAGGGTCTAGGGTCAAAATGGAAGGGTAGAGGGTGAAAAAAAGAAGGTTCGAGGGTGCAAAGAAATGTTCAGAGGGTGAAAAAGAAAGGTGGAGGGTGAAAAAAAAAGGGCGGGATGAAAAAGAAAAAGGGTTTAAGGATTACAAAAAATTTGCCCCATATTAAATTACATAATAATGATATATTAAATATATAAATTCTTCTATATTTGAAAATTTCGATTTTTTGCGGATTACTATAAGGAATAGAATTATAAATAATAAATGATATTATAAATTTAGATTTTATATATTGATATGAAGGATTATTGAAATATATATTTCAATATTATTATTGATTTATATATATGAATTTACGAATAAATTTATATTTTGAATATAATATATTTATATATATTATTTATGACATTCTATATATTTGATTGATATATATATATACTAATATATTTTTAAATTAATGGAATCAAATAATATAATTAATACATAAAATCTAAATTTATATTTTATTAAATATTAATTATCTGAAAAACAATTGAAAATTTATAATTTGATATACTGAATATATTAATTGAAATATACAAATATTATGTATTTTCATATTTTAAATATATTT